TTTTTGATTTTCAGAAATTTCAGGCCCATTTTGGATTGGTGGACTTCCTTCCTAGTCTGCTGAAGAACAGAGGAGCTCGAAATAATACATTTTTGATCACCCATCTTATGACCGGTTTTTGTAAAAGCTGCTTAGATACATACCTCATCGCATCTCAAACACGCAAATCAGTGCGCCATCGAACTACTTTTCCTTAACTTTAAGTGTGAGTATTTACGCTTAAAAAATATGGTGTTGACAGAGCAATTATTTTTTATTGTCGAATTTTATCTATGTTACCAACACCAATATTATATTGTTTTTTTGCGCAAGATACATATTTTTTTATATGAAAAGTATTCTGTTAATATGGTATTTATTATATCCCGTTAATGTATTGAGTAAGAAACGGAATGTTACACAGATAGTGAATCTTAATGATATTCGTGATGACCAGAATGTATTGTGCAAACCTCGACTGTCTATTGAAGACATTCTAGAATGCAACTAACAATTTGGGACTATCAAATTATACATTAAATAATTCATTTGCATCCGTTTACATATTTGGGGTTCTGTGAAATGGTTAAAAGACGCCTAATTTATATTTTTATTTTTCGTAATTTACACTTTCTATCAAATGCTCCCATTGCCCCTGCCTCCCTGCCACTATTCCCATGCTCACATTTAAAATAAATAGGAAACTATGACCAACTACACGGGTCCAGCGCGGATTGGTGGGTGTAAACGACTGCAACGCAGCCGGGACCAATGGCTTAGTGTGTCCCGCAGCACCGAGGAGTTCGAGATAGATTTTTGGTCACCCATCCTATGATCGACCGTCGCAATAGTTGCTCAACTACCGTATCGTAACCAAACGCGATGACTGCTGCGAGTTTCTTGTAATTTGAACTGTATTGTTATTGGAAGGAGGTGGTATTCGGTTTTAAATAAAAATTTTATTCAATTAATTAACTAGCTGACTTTCCAATGACTGGTATATTTTGTGCTTACTGATAGATGAATTGTTATTTTGAAAAAATAACTTGGTGAAACTTAAAAAGATTAATCACTTTACATTACAAATTAAAGCGCTATTGTTAAAAAATGCATTATAAATTTCATTTTTATGCATGAGTTAACCGCAGCAGAGATTGTATAATTATCATCAAAGAACATGCGAGACAGGCCGTCTTGTATCTGATGTAAGTATTTATTACAAACAAAGTCTTATAAGAGTGATAAATTAACTAATAATGACTAAAGAAGAAGTATTAAAAACGACGACTCCAGCAAAAGTTGATTTTTGCAGGAAACGAAAAGACCAAAGACAAACTTTTCCGTTCCTTTTAACTAATATATTAAAAAACTGGAAGGTTGTCATGGAGAAATCAAGAACGTACCGTAGCGACATCTAGTTGGATTTGGGGAACTAATGTTTTTTTTAATACTTCCTCATTGAAAACAAAAAAAAATAATAAAAACCAAAATCGGTATGTGGCTAAAAGCACTTGCCGTGCGAAGCCAATTAAAAAAAATAATAATCGGTACACAAGTTGACACCTTAGTAAGTATAACAATAGGTCAATGTTAATTTGATATAATAACTTCATTGATTTAATTTCTTGATTGACTATTTCGATTATAAATTCGTAGTAGATATATATTGTTTTCATTGTTCTATGTGTTTGTAATTTATTTTTTATTTTTTTCTTTTTTTTTTTGTGTAAACCAATTTCATTATTATGTTATGTACACGTCGAGGTTTAAAGTATTAGTAATCATAACTTTCAAGGGTCCAAAGGGAAATGCAAGATAATTATTGCTGTTCTCTTGTTCTTAGGGTGACCTCATTAATATATGTTTATATAAACACCTATGTTATTTATCAGACGGGCTCTAAACTACAAGAAATTATATTATACAGAAATAAATTCTTGATTCATTCTGTGTTGTATCCCATTCATGTCCACACAAATGAACTTGGTTCTAAGATAAGGGTCGGTACATATTTGACGAAAGTTACGCATCGTCTTGCCGATCGCGGAAGAACTGATTAATATATGATGTCATTCCCTTACTAGGGGGGATCTGGTATACCTCCTCTAAGATTTAACCTTGAACATTCGAAGGATGATCCATTGCTTGCTAATGATTACTTCCATGATACACTGGACAGATATTTCGTCAAATTTGCTCCTCTTATATTTGAAGACTAACTGTTGTTCCGCGCCTTCGCTTGCGTATGCGTAGCGTCCCGTATGTGAAAGCATTTTCATGGTCTGATCTGTATTTTCGAAATACCTTTTACCCCTACAAATAAACTTTACCACTCTAGAATAATATTATAGATGACATGTAACACATATTCCTAATTAACTCCAGGTGCAGTTTATATTACCCGCCTCTTTTCTCGATGCATTTCGTAACTATAATTTCACAAGCCAAAGATTGAACGCCAGTAGGCATATTCAAGTGTTGCAGTATGGACAAAATATTTATGATCATATCATAAGAGATTACGAAACATCTTTAAACTATTTGATGGATGATTTTGGTCGAGAGGTCAATAGGTTAGAATTGTCCCTTCAGAAATTCAACTCGAACTTAAAACACTTCTTAAGTAGGTACATAACTACTATCTATTTTATTTCACTATTTTAATTACTTCATATTTTATGTTTAATTCTTACAAACTGTTTTTATGGTTTTATTATTAGATTCAAGATAAAAAATCTTGATAACAATTGCTCTCATACCACCCCATATGAGTTAATCATTATCAGGGGAGAGTCAATTGTGCACCTACCTTTATGATTTTCTTAGATACCGAAAAATTGCCATGTAGTCTGCGTTGCCTAAGAAAAACCAAATATATTCTTAATGAAAAATGATTTATAAAACTATGTCTCTGGCACTCTGAGATTCTTATAATATTGTATAAAAATAGTTTTCATTACAGCATCGTGACTGCAAAAGATCAAATATAATAAAAAGAAAATGTTTTAAACACAAATTAATTGTAAAAGATTGATACTTTTTGATACTATAGAATGTGATACTAAAGAATGTATTATACAAGTATATGTATTACTTTAATTTATTTTAAAGTTTTTTTTTTTCAATAGAACCACAGAAAATATAAACATTTTTATCGTGACCGGACTTAAACTCTAGCTCTAGTATGAATAAATGCTATGCAAATGACACGCAAACTACGGTACCGAACTTTTTTTGTGGACATTATGAAATTATTATTATCTATGTACGTAGCAATAATTTACATAATACACACAAGAAGGCTATTAAAGCGGTCAATTGAAGAATATATTATGAATGAACGTTGTTATACATTTTTATATAATATCCGCCACAAGTTTGCTTGCAATCTGTTACTTACAAAAACAATTTTCTTAGGTGTGTATCCCTCCTACTACCTCGTACTTCAAATTTGTTTGCCTAGGCTAGGACTTCCAATGTCCGAATACCGAGTCTCGATATTTCCGCCATTTATTGCAATACCGTGTTGCGGAATTATATACTTACGCGAAATCCGTGGAACTAACTTTAGACTTTTGTGCGCGGTATAGACCAGCAGTACAAAAGGAGTTTTTTTTTTGTCATTGCTAAAATTACAATTTTGATCGTTAAACCTAGCTAGATAAGGTTTTATTTTGTTGTGATTATTTATGAGCGTCGTCCCAGTGTTTCGTCTAGGGCGCCAAGTTTCATTGAACCGGCTCTGGTCGTAACTTATGTCTGGCTTTATAGTTACAACGCCATTATTTTGTTCGTAAACGCCTACATAAATTAATTAGCAATAGAACACGTCAATTGCCATAATTTAAATTACGGATGATAAGATGAAGACTTAATGGTTTATTTACCAATACTGTTTCACCAGCGGCTTCGCTCGCGTGGTCCTTATACCTTAATATTCTTTCCTGTGGAATCACTCTGTGTATTGAGGAAAACCGCATAAAAAGCCGATGCATGTGTGATTTAAAGATCTCTGCGTACAGGCAGTGGATGGCGAATTTGCTTTATATTATGTATAAATTCTATATACCAAATAAAGGTAAGAAAAAAAAGGAAACAAAACGCATAAAAGATATGTTTCCGCCCGGGATCGAACCGGGGGCCTTCTGCGTGTTAGGCAGATGTGATAACCGCTACACCACGGAAACGGATAACGTTGATTGTGAAAATTTATAAAGTATTCTACACCACCTTTATAATAAAATTAAAACTATAATTATTATCATTAGTTTATCGCGTTCAACAGAATATACATACTATTTTACACAAAACAATTTTGAGTAATACGCCCAAAATGAGTTGTATATTTTATGAGGTCGTATAAAATATACATAGGTACAGTAAATAAACAAAAACAATTTCAAAAAAAAATATTTCATTTCAGTTCAATAGGATAGTTTCTATGATCCAAATTATGGAGTATATTTTAAGTTAACTATTTATTTTTAACCCCTAACCCAAATACCCTCACTCGACGCAAAAAGGGGTGTTATAAGTTTGACCTGTATGTGTGTCTCACCGCAACTTGTGAATAAGTGAAATGATGTGAGTGCAGTTTTTTTTGTTCATAGTGGTGGTTCTTAGTTTTGTTTTATGATAATGTTGTTAGGGCACCAAAATGGTAACTATTTTTTTATTAATTCTACTTACAGCATCATAGATCATAGCTTGTAAGCAAATAGCTCGGTTTGATTACAATTTTTTATTTAATTCTGTCAAATTTATAATAAATAAAAACAATGAAAATAATCAACTACTAAGTTAAAAAAAACCCCTAACCCAATAAATCACTCTAAATAGTATTAAAAAATATTGTTTAGCTTATTTTTTAAACAAGTTATATCATGGCTTCGCTAACCAAAATTCTTATTGCATTCTGGGGTTTCAAAGATTACAAATGCCTAAATGATTAATGTCTACAAATATATTTTTTATTCACACTATTTATTGAAAGATACACAATACACAAAAAAAACAACTTTGAATAAATAAAAAGTATATTGAAGTAAATTTCTTATAAAACATGTATAATATGCTTTGCACGCAGTCAATGGTATGAGCTGATTATTGAAAATAATTAGGTAACACCAAAGAGGTACATATGTGTATGAAGATTAAACTAAATTAATCTCATACACCATATAAATTGAGTATACAGCAAAGTGCAAGATAAATTTGTTTATATGGTAATTCAAAAGACCTTTTAAATAACCAAAGAAACCTTATTTCATTGTTTACAACTTAAAAGCTTACAATACATTGAGAATAAAAACATAAGTACTATACATATACTTTTAATAGTACTATAATAAAAAAATAAGCAACCGTAGCTTTATAAATACCATTTTTGAAATCTCACTTTTTATAAAAATAAATATTAACAATTTTGGTAATAATAATTTCATGTATTGCTAGTGACTATTTTTAGAATACTCAATATTTTAAATATTCCAACAATAGTTTAAGTGTCATTTTAAGAAATCAGAATATCAAATAGCAGATAATATTTTATATTAACCAAACCCAGCAATATTACTCTGAGAACTTTAAAAAATATATGTTATAACATGCAGTAGCATTGAATTAATAAATATTTAAAATCAGCTCTTACAAACTTATCAATATCTTTTTCCTTTAAATAGTGTACATGGAATGATGAAAAATGAGCACAAGCAAGGCAAAATAAACATTATTTAACCATAAAAATAAAGCAAGATATTAAAAAAGATAACCTTATAATGCAAAATAAGAACCAACCAAATATTTTTTTCAAGTTATGCAACTTCAATCTTATTTTAACAGTTTTAGCAAATGAAGTTTATCTATCTTGCGTCAGTATTTTTCTAACTAGACAAGCTACTCCTTATTAAAAACAAAGTTGCAATCTACAATTTGTAGATTCTGTTCAAAAATAAAAAATGTGTTTGAAAAGTTAAATGATATGGTTATTAATATTATGAGTGAACAATTCTTGACAGAGCTACATAACTATGTTTACTATCCAAGTCAAAGTAACCTATTGGTCCAGCATCACAGTCTGCACATATCAGATACTTGTGGTTCTCTACTGGATGTGTGAAACCAATATTTTCAAACACATACATGTGATCAACATGATAATACTCAATTATCATTTCTTTCTGCACTTCCCCTTCTTTTCTATTTGCATCTTGCTGCATTAGAGGCAACTCTTTCTGTAACAATTACATATCTTTAAGTAAATAACCTTAAATATAAATTAACAGTAAACAAAAATTTGAACGAAATACGGTATATAGGAATGCAAAAAGAATTACCTCTTGCGTTACATATTTTGCCGTTTTCTTTTCTAATATTTTTGAACCACAAAATTTACATTTTACGATCAACTTATTCTTTCCATCTTCAACAAAGTCTTTCTGTATTTCTTCCGTTACTGTGTCCTTATTTTCTATTTCAGACATTATTTCAAATTGAGTTGGTATAAGATTTTAGTTTTAGCTAGTGGAGAAAGCTCATTTAAATGATAATTAAATGCGAATTAAAAAAATACCGGCGCAAGTAGTTGTTGCGGTATTTTTTTTATTGACACTTGTTTGACACGAACGATCAGTGTTGCCAACCTAAAACGCTGATTTCACTAGCCAATCTATCGGGCACGATTTATCGGCCTCGATTTAGGGCGGTTATCGTCGTTGTGATTACACTGCACTAGATCGCCTTCCTAACTCGTTGAAAGGATGGCTCCTGCTCTCACAAAGTACCAAAAAATGGCATATCCCTTACTTTAACTGCGGGCGTAAATAATAAAACAAAAAAAGAAAATGTTGGGTGAAAAAATATTTGCTTCTAAGAGACAAACTATGCAGTTTGAACTACTTCAGAATGAGTTTTGCACAATTTGATCATATATTAAACTTAGTCATACCTTATATAAAAAAAAACAATATACGCTATTTAGAACTAGTGTACGCGCTAAACAACGGTTAGCTGTAACCTTAAGATTTTTAGCAACGGGAAATGCATATCATGACTTAAAGTATAAATCATTGATATCAGAACCCCTGCTATCACAAATTGTACCAGACATATGCAGGGCTATCTATAAATGTTTAAAACATTATATAAGGTTAAGAAAAATAAATAATATTAAATTACATTATTTCTTTTCTTTTGAGAAGACATTTTTCTCTGTTCGCAAATTTCTGACGTCTCACACGCACGCTGCGCAATAACCGACTGAGCGCTCTAACACCCTAACAGCGATCACATTGCCCGATAAATCAGTCCTAACACACTAACTAGTGAGATCGGGAGGTCGGACGCTCACGATCACCCGATATCGAGACCCTAACTCTCTAACAGCGATTAGACTACCCAGTTTACAGTGTACCCGATGGATCGTGCCCGATAGATTGGGTAGTAAAATCGGCGCTTTAATGTGCTATCAATAAATAATATTTTAAAAGTGTACATCTGTCTGCTCAATTGAATTGCTAAAATAAAAATGCTGATAGAACCCTTATACTAGATAAGCAAGAAGTTCGAGGGTGATCTTTAAACTGCGATATTTTATTTGTTTATACATTGCTTCGTGCGGTCTCGATAATAGTGTATTGTGCTTATCTTTGTCCCACCTTAATAGATCTATTACATCAAAAAAGTATAACAATATGTTTTTAGCGATCTCATTGATTTAATACTACTTCGTAAGGTTATCTTTGTCGGCGAACTTTATACGTTTTAGACGAGAATAAAATAATAATATCTATTAGGAGGGTATGAGTGTTACATTATGACAAAAATCGTATATTACGCTTTCATTAATATAGCATTGAACTTTTATTCTCGTAACCGTAAGAAACACAGTAAACTGTAAATAAAATTATAATATTTTGTAACTTACAAATCAATAACGATAAAAATCACGAAAACAAAATTAAGTAGACGTATTAAGATGATGTGTTTATTTTTTTGTGATATTATCGTTATTAATTTAAAAGATTTTCAGTATTGTTCAGTAAGAATTATAACATGATTTTAGCGGTTACCATTTTGTTTTCCGAGTACGGCTATATTATATCTTATCTTTGTACTATTATCTAAGCCACTTCTTGTTAAATTAAATAAATAAAAAATACGCAACTAATATTTTTTTTATTATTTGATTGACGAACTAAATAAAATTTCTTTCTTTCTTTACACAATCACATCTTGTGTGCGCTGCGAGCACCAAACAAACCAAAATTGATCAAAAACTTTTATCAAGTTTTATCGAAACGCTGATCGGCAATCGTGTGTATCACACTTTACATCTATTTTTCCCATCGGCAACACAAATCAGAAGTTCAAAGAAATGTCAAACAGAATTTGTGTCAAAAATATTTCGTTTTCGAGGTTCGGCTGCAATTATACGCAATTTGTGTTGATAAAAAGTAAAATCATCTCGATTTATCTAAAAGATGAGTTCTGGATTCATTTCAGAATCTGAAATTGTAGAAGCAAGAAGGCGGCGCCAAGAGGAATGGGATAAAGTCAGAACCGAGGACCAGCCTCAAGGTAAGAAAAGGTTATAGACTAATACGTAGGTACTTAATCAAAAACATTGGTAAAATTGATTAGGTATGTATCTAAGTTTTCCTGAAAACATTTTTGATGAATTATGTTCCACTGTTCCATTTAATGTTATTTCGTTCCAACTAATTTAAAGTATACATTGATTGTTTAGTAAAAAATCAACCATTACCGAATTAAATCTATTATTCCCTTTAACACATAGTTGCCTAATGTTTGATATAAGTCACATTAAAAATATTGTGTAGTGTATCATTGTGCTGTGCTATTGTGATAGGTGGAGGAATATTATAAAAATTACCATGTATTGTAATGTGAAATATTAATGAAATTAAAAAAAATGGTATAATAGAATGAGCTCATAATGTTATAGAGGCACCAGAGGAACCTTACGATACTAGACCACTATTCCAGCGTCTAGAAGAGCAAAGGCTCAAGAAAGAAGCTGAGTATGAAGAGGCTCATAAACTTAGTAAGTTGGTGAATTCACTCCTTAAGAAATCTCATTTACTTACTGAATTTGGGGCTAAACTGTACAATATCCCCCCATGATATGAAAGTTGGTAATTTTTTGGTGAATAGATCTATAATATAGATGTAAATTCTTTGGAATTAGTGATTAAGATTAGAAACTATCCTAAAATTCTGTAGAAATCCAAGCCCAAATTCAAATTCACTTAGGTGTCCGAATTCACTTCAAAAAGCGGCATCCACTAAACCTTGAATTGGTAATAATGTTTTGTGGCATAAGTGAAGTGAGTTTTGAAATGACATAGGAATAGAACATCTGAGACACGTATATTCAATTGATTATGTTTTTTATTTTTATACAAAAATAAAATCAAAAGAATTTCTACACTAAATGATGTGAATTCACACACATGAGTGAATTCAAATTTGGGTCTGGATTATTACAGATTCACCCAGACCTGTGAATCTGTAAAAATTCACACTTTTTTAAAAATTGTATTGACATGTTAGAAATATTTATATCCAAACAATTTGAGACAATAGAGTTAGCCAATAACAGAAATGATTACTGGGTAAAAAAAGAAATTCCAAATGAAACATTCTCAAAACTCTAAAGTGTATATAATTTGTAGAGTAGAATTGCTATATTTATATAAAATCTCTTTTAGAAAACATGATCAAGGGTCTTGATGATGATGAAGTCGGTTTTCTGGATCTAGTGGAAAGAACAAAAGCTAAAGCTGCTCAACAGATCTCTCTGGAGGAACAGAAAGAGATGCAAGAATTCAGGTAACATCCTTTTCTGATTTTTTGATCAAAGGACAGTGCAGTCGTATGCCACTGATCATAACCAACAAACCGTTATGTATAACCTTTGGTCATTGCTATTATAATATGGTTATCGCTATTGAATTCTAGTTTTAAACTTTTTAGTGTGATTTAGCTGTAATTTTGAACTTATTTTTTAATTTAATTAATTTTAGGGTGTATTTTAGCAAAATCGCAAGCAAAAGCAAGCAATATACATACATATGATATCCAACTTGAAATTATTGAATTTTTTTTTAGTTTCTTACTTAATGCCCTCTAGAGAGCTCTGTTGCCAATTTAATGTTACGTCACAGCTGCAGACAACTAAGACGCTTCTACACCTCATTTGTCCAGTTACGATGAGTAGTTTCGAAGTTATGAGGGAACAGATGAACATTCTTACTGGTCAAAATCATAACCCTACTTTTCGCTTCGCCGCCGTAGTCGGGTAAAAAAGTTACAAAAAACATTTCACCAGTTTAAATGTTTATTTTTATTTATAGTATAAAATAATATACTAAACGCTGTATCTATCATTTCTTATTAGTAGAGTCTTTAGGCCCTATTTATGCCTTAGCGTCTATAAATTGTGCAAAATAACTGAACATTTTTTTGCTGATACATATAATACATGACTTCCGAAGCCGAGTGGTTTGCATGTCAATTCTAACGTGTCGCAGTCTCTTGGGTCAATAAAGAAAATAAAGGTTATTTATTGTGTAAATATTTAGTCAGGAATTTAGCACTTTTTGGACATTTTCAGGGAGCGAGTTTCAAACTTAGCAGAGAGTGAAGAAATGTTGAGACTAAGGGCCCAACTAGCTCCCGCTCGTAACACTCAACCCGTTGTACAAAATCAAAAGAATAAGTTACAAGGGGTAAGTTCACTCACAAAACTAATGACTTATAATAAAGAAGATAAGCTTGATGTTTCATTTGTTTAAAGTGACATTAACCATACAATTTTGACTATCATCAGAGCTTTAAGGCGTCATTAAACCTTAATGGACGTTTGTGCAACTGTCCAATAGACCATCATTTCTTGTATTAACGTCTACATTTGGGCACAAGTCGCTGTCTATGCCTTCTCTCCCATATCATGTAGACCCAATGTACAAATCTGCATGTGTCAACGACTGAAGTTGCAGCTGAGATCAACACTTTAACTTGCCTTCCAAAGGACGAAGAAGAATGAGATAAATGGTCTTACTTTATATAGTGTATATTCTTAACATTGGTTAGTACAGTGATTTGATTTGTTTTCAGGTAATTGTAAGAAAAAGGAAAGCTAGTGATGTAGAAAAGGAATCCCCGCCGGCTAAAGTCAACGGTGTAGCTGGTGACAGGTAAATCGATTCATCATTATTCCCCGTAACGGGCAACTGTTCAGGATACCTTATCTAGATAGGGAGCACAGGTAGAAACAAAATTATCAAAATACAGATTTGTCAAGTAAGATTCAACTTATTTTGGCGCTTGGTGAGTCTGTTTGCCCAGAGCAGAGCCCTAATTGTCTAATTTTAAAATCTATCACAATTCCTTTCAATTCGAAAGATATTCACGAAGTTCACGCTAATCGAGACGTTTTTGAAAGATATTGAATGAACGATATCTTTAATTTGACCTTTTGGAATTGTTTTAATGGGAATTGTCTAAGGCAAGTGTTACACGTAAATATAAATACAAGTTACTAATGATATGATATGAAATTGACATTAGCAGTACAGAGTGGTAAGTGTAAGTTTTACGCTAACACGTTCACTAGTGAGCGCGTTAAAATTTTGTATGGAGATTTGTACTTCTTGGTAGTTACCTCTAGGGGCACTGTACCGGATTCCATACTAAAATCTTAACGCGCTCACGATCGACAGTGAACGTAAACGTCAAAAAACCTAAGCTCGCTCAGGGCAAATTCGCATTGACTTTTATTAAATTGGTATTAATATTATTGTACTAAGCAACGACTTTAGGGTAACAAACCTTTTCTTTCTGCCACTGTTCATCGTTGAGCCATATGAGTTGTATCTTACAGCAAGGTTAATAAGTAATATAACAGACCTTTTAAAACGTTGAGGAGTTTGAGACTACATTTTAGATGTTGGGTCATGGTTTATAATCTTTATCTCAGTGTTTTCCCAAACATTGTTCTACCATGACCCAGTAATTTTCACACTGCTCCATCGTCAGCCACTCAATACTTTAAAACCCGACCTTAAAACGTTTTATTATATCATTATCATAGTAAAAAAATACTATACACTTTGGTATCGTTTATTTAATTTATTAAGGTCACGTTGCACACAAGGCGGGAACGTTGCGACCCGGTATTTGGTTTTGATGTCCCGTTATCGGTGCTTGTTCAATTCCTCTTGTATTTGAAATTCGAGTGTACAAAGAAAGCTACAATCTGTCCTATATTTTAGTGAAACTCATCGGTATAACGTTAGTTCTGAAACGGTAGAAGATTGTGGTGCTCTACGATGCGTGGGCGTGTTACCAGGACTCGGACACTACGATACGGATACTTCTTCCGACACTGACGACTCCAGCGACTTTGAACAGGTGAGATAGACAGGGGTCAGGGGTTATAACGTTAAATGTCTAACTGATGCATCAGGGGTGTGAAACATTTTCTTTATTTCTTTCATTATTACCAGGGGGAAAGTGGGTTGCATCCCGGAATCTCCCCTCCCCCGTACCGAGGGTATCTCACAGCGAATTTTATGAGGTAGGGCAGCCACAGCTTTCTGACCCTCGGGGACAGAATGTCCCTCAGGGCAGTCGATAGTGGTTAAAGAGCTCTGATTAAGGGTTTACATATATTAAAGAAAAGTTACTTTGTAATACTGGTGTCTTATAAGGACGATATGTCTTCTTCTTACATCAATGGTAACAGATATATAATAATATGAGACTCCAGGTAGATAGTATAGTGGCAAATACAAGCAGGGCTAACAAATTATTTGTTATGGTAACTCATATTCACAAATTATAATTATCATTTTATAACCTGTAACATTGGAGATAAAAAGATGATATATATCTAGTGTAGCTAGAGGTTGATGATCAATTTTTGCACCTTCAGTTTCATATCACTACTCTTAAAATAAGTATGTTAAAAATAAAATTATCTTATCTGAATATGAAACTTGAAAAAAAAAGATCTTTTCGCAAATAAATTTTAACAATAAACCATGATTAAAAAAAAATTGCATTCTTGACATTTTTTTTCCAAATTAATATCGTTAAGTATATATTATATTGGTGATTTAAATTACTGTATTTTTTGTTTTAGAATGATAAATGCTGCAAACGTGATCTTCTCGGACGACGGCCCGAACACAATGAGGAAAAGACACAAAAGCAAGAAACTAAGAGTTAGAGTGACAGAGCTAGGTCTAAAAGTTATGGAGCTACATATATACGTCTCTTTCTTATGTATAGTTATCATATAGGGGCCATCCATAGATTACGTCCCACGCTAGGAGGGGGAAGAAGTCGAGGAAGTGTGACATTTGTATAACGGTGGGGGGGGGGGGGGGTTAAAGTCATGTATTACGTGTGACTTAATTTATGGACGGCCCCAAATGACTGACAGGGATGCCTCCAGTTACATGGGTTTTCATAATTTTAAGTACCTTGTTTCTTGAGCGGATCTCTAATAAAAAATGGTTTTCACTAGACACTAAGTAGTATCCCATAGTAACTTTGGGTTAAAAAATAGATGGTTCATCACATTCTAATATATTAATAGCTGCCCGCTAAAAAGCCGGTATAACTCTTTGTCTATATAAATGTATATTTCAATGTTTCGAGTACATAACAGCGATAATTTCGATTTTCCCTAATGCATGCCCTTATCAGCTGCGCAGGCGCAGACTATCTAGGAGTCGTGTAAATTAATAACTAGTTTCATGTAGATATTCACAATATTATTTGTTTTCAAATCAACATTGCAGCTTATCTGTTTTATTAAGTTTTATCAAAAATCACCATTTTTAAGTGATCCTGTATAAATAAATGCAAGCAATAAACGACTTCGATTTATTTGTATAAAATGTGATTGTAATATGTAAGATATTAAAAATAAAATTTTAAAAGCCAAAAGTCTTGTAATTTTTTTTTTTTTTTGCTTATTCTACTTTTCTTTCCTTTTCTATACTTTTTTGGTTGTCAACCAATTTATATCCCCACTATTGGGGTACATCTCCTCTGTTGACTTGAACAAGGATAATAAGCATATGGAAGAGAACGTGTTCGGTCTGCAATGTGAAGGTACTCGTTCTTCGGAAGTTACGTTTACATGTTGGCCTCGGTTACATCCACATTTGTTAACACCCACCAATCTCTGGATATATTTCTGGTACTCTGGATAGATTGTAGATCTGACCTGTTCCCACAATTTCATTTTAAATATATATTTAAATAAGTAACTTGCGTTTTATTTTATTGCTATAGTCATAGGATACCTCATCCACATTATGATTTCAAACAATATATTGCCCTTAAATCGCACTTACTCAAATTTTATTAGAAGTGAGTAATACCGAAAAATCTGGCTAAGCGCGAGTCGGACTTGCGCACGAAGGGTTTCATAGAGGAAAAGAGCAAAAATCACATTTGTTGTAAGAGGGCCCCTTTAAATATTTATTTTATTGTTATTTAGTACCTGTATGTTATTGTAGCGGCAACAGAAATATATGTAAAAAACTCAACTGTCTATGAGATGCGAGATACAGGCAGTCCTTTGGGTAGGAAACTATTAAAAAGGCACTTTTTAGGTATTTATTTAATGAAACTGCTAAAAAGTTCACATATTTCATTTTATTAATTCACCATAGGGAAGTTACTAATTACAAAATGTTATTACAATAGTATAAATGTCACACGACTATACTAATCAGAGCTAAGCCAGAGGTTCATATAAAAAAAAAGATACTATTTGAATATTAAGTCTAATTTGGCTTGTTATAAGATGGCGTCGATTTCTATGATTTATTGTATTGAACAGTATAATAATCACTATTTTTTTCTTTATAATTATAGATTTGTATATTTTTATAAAAACAAAATAATCAAGTCAGTACCCTAGCGCCATCAATTGATCAGTTAAAGGAATGAAACCATGACGTTCGACTATAATTATTTGACTAGAATCTCTAGAATATTAACATTCACACAACTATACGTTGACCTGGCCGAAAAAACTTACATATATCATCGAAGGCAAAAGGGTCTTGGAGTATTTTTTCGATCGTGTCTCAATTTGTTTATTATATAATTAAAATCCTCAAAAGTATTTTAAAAATAAAATATTTTCCTAAAATTACCATAATCATTTTCAATTTGGCGCTAAAACGCTACGGTTGTGCCATTGTACTTGCATGACGTCATTTATCATAAAGGTTGCTAGATAAAGTAAACAGTATTACCGAAAACAACCAGGCGAATAAATTTGTTGATGGTTGGCTAGTCACCAGGTTTCAGCAGTTTTACGATGTCTAAATTTATAATAAAAAGTCAATACATATTGTATACTTCAAATTACAACACATAGTTTATTCAAACACATTTTATATTTAATTATTTGTATGTATAATTGGATAAAAAATGTTGGTATCTCATTTGGCCAGATCGTTCCAGTAACTCTGCAAATGACAGTGCACTATGACGTCACAGATCGTGATGTTTCAGCTTCAAAAATTATTATTTTAGAAGTAAGAAATTTAATAATAATATCCTGCAACTTTTTCACCCATTTGTTTTTATTATGCATTTCAGTCCATTTTATTCAAAATTTCCCTTCATAGTCTATTTTATATATTTTAAGTTTTAGAAGAAAAATATTTCGACATTAGAAGCCCTATTGAAAGATAATTGTGATTGTGTTACTTGGTGTGTTAATGTTGAATTCTTGCTCGTTAAGAAGAAACTATGAAAATCCGTTGAAAAGTATACGACATAGACAGCTTTGATTATACACATGTCACAGTCAAAGATATACAGTTGATCAAAGGATTGAAATAATGAGATATGATTGCAGAATCGGCATTTATCCTAGTGATATAAATATTTAATTATTCTATCGCAGATGCTTAATTTATTTTTTATGTGGAAAAAACGTGATTCACACTTTTGATAACATTTCACGATTTTCGACTAAAAATACTAAATTTGAGAAGTGTTCTACTTAATAATGGAAAGAAATCCTTCCTTTGGACCTACTTGAGGATGGGCTTCTTGTTTTATAATTAATAACTGCGAAAGTCGGCATTTTTAACACTTTTTGTGGCGTGTTTCACAGTACTTACAGCGCGCGAGTACGTGAATGACTAAACATTGCGATCGCGTGGTGAAGTCACGATCCTGTACATTTGTCTAGGATCGTGGCTATACTGCCACGCCCACAAGGCCCTTCTAACGTCTTTCTGTGTTTTGTAAGCTAAATGTATGCGCACGAGTGAAAGAGATATGTAATGCCGGGTCATTGTACAAATCTAAGTTCGGCAACCGTGCTATAGTTGTATACAAAATGTGTTTAATTTGGGCAGATTGTTCTGATAACCCTGAATGAGACAGCGAATTATGACATCGTAATTGGTATTTCAGACCACGTGATTTTGTCATCAAATTTAGTAACATCCTATATATTGTTTTTAAAATAATTTGTTTTTAAAATGGTTTTCAGTCCTATTAACTATCTTAAGACAAAGCACTACAGCCAAAGACCCCAATTCAATTTTAACTAAGCTAAACTTTTGGAATGTGATAGTCCTACACTCTTGCAGTGCTATTAATAAACAAAGTTTAGCGTCAGAGTAAATTTACGCTAAAATTGTATTTAAGTATTAGTCCAAATTCATATTATACAGAGAGTAGCAAACCTGCTACGTCCTAGGAGTAAATATTACTACTGTAGAACCTTGTATTAGGTTAACCTTTTGCTAAGTCTCTGTTTAATATGAATTTTGACTAATACTATGTGGTGTCAGCGTAAGTTTACTTCAACTCTAAACCGTATTTATTAATAACATTGTAAGAATGCAATGGTCAAGTAGCATTATATAACTCGTACGAAGTTCTCGAACGAAAATTTGGAAAAGTTCTTAGATTTAAAAAAATCATTCGTGAATATAATTTATGCATCAGAGGCAGTAATCAGGTTCTACCTCCGTCGCATCATAAATTCTTGAAAAATGAGTTTCTTTGATGTATTAGTTTCAAAACTGGATGAAATTTCATTTCAGAAAAAATAGAATAAGCCCACAAGTGTCATGTTACGAGTACATATTATTTCCACTATTCATTTAGGTGTACAATAAAAGCATAAGAACTTGTAGTATTGTGTAATTTTACAATAAGTGAATGCATTTTTCAATACATATTAATTAAAAACACATAACAGAATACATTTAATCGATTAATGGTGATTCAATATGTTTTCAACATAATTTGAGAACCTCTGCTTCTTCTTCACATGTAATTCTTACATCCCAAATCGACGCAAACGCTTCGAAAAGTTAAAAAAATCTCAAATTGATTTTATACCTTAACTTATTTGTGGAAATTTCAGTATTTGCCCTTTAATAGTAACGTTATGTGTTAATGTATGTACTGTAAAAAATCAATAAAATGCAAAAATTACACAAATTTATTTTTCAAATGCATATTATGAGTACAGTCACGTGTAGAAATAAAGGAAATAATAAATATCTATTTCGCACCTGACTGCACCTCCTGTTTTAAGACAACGTTAAATAGTGCATGTTCTCATCGGCCAGTGGTCGATCTTGCATCGCATCGGGCACCGGTTCGAGACACCGTTCTGCTACAGGCCTCGTCTCTTCTGGAATACTCTCCTCTGAAGATTCATCGCTTTTAGATTCTTCTACGTCTTCTGCTGTGGTGTGAGGTTCATCCTTCTTTTTTCTTCTGTTTCTGAGGTAAAATATCATATTGTAAATAAAATTAATTAGATTAATTAAAGTGATATATAACAGGTTGCTACTTTATCGCAAACAAAAAAGAGTGTTGTCGTCTGAGTGATAGGAAATTATGATCTAAAGATCTATGAATAGGGATGATCATAGAGTAAAAAAAAAATATATTTAGTTCGTCAGTCAGATAAAAGAAAAATATTAGATACGTATTCTTTTTTTTTTTGCTTCAATTTAACAAGAAATAGCTTATATAATAAATAGGCTTTAAAGTTAAAGAGTGAGGACTCGCTACATTACGACTAGGTAGAGAATGTATAAAGGCATGACGTCATGCGTCACTCAATGTACCACAGAAATTTATTGATTACGCAACAAATAAAAAAATACGTGTTTAATATTCTTCAATAACGGACAAATAAACAAAAATTAGTCATCAATCATCATCCCAAATAAGATTCGTTCAAATATCGTACTTATTTTTTAGTTTTAAGCAATTAATTCAAGTTGTTTGAAATACTTTATATAAATTCTAACTTTGGTGGGACTATAAGTATTTCATTAAAAAATATAAATTAAACAACCTAATGAGGACATTCAACTACACTTTCAGATTTATGATGAATAAAAAAATCCAATGAGTCATATTACAGAACGGATTAATGAACCATTTAATAGAACTATGTTACAACACTAGACGAAAGCTTGCAATATTAAAAGACAAAAGGGTGAATTCAGCTGTCAGTTTAATCCATGTAATTAATAACGAGAGTATAGGATGTTAATACAACAATCGAACGATTGTCGATCGATGGCAGAATAGATTAGTTTAAGTCGATCGCCAGTTTCTACTACATCTACACTATCGTCGATGGAGGCCATCGAGGATCAATGATAGAATGGATTAGTTGACATGGACCGTCAGTTTCTCTTGCACCAATCTATCGATCAACGGCTGAACAATTGGATACTTGACAGTTATACCAATAAATTATAAAATCTATTGAAAAAAGTTACTTTTATTTTTAATGAAATCTTTATGTACACAATAACTACATAGTATTTTTCGTTTTAAAATTATTTGTGATTTCTATTTTTGCAAAACTAACTTGCGTTTTACCAGAACCGAAAGGCGGCCATGACAGAGCTTCGAGTTACGTCACATTTCAATAAACTAAACATTGTGTTGTTACGAGTGCAACTAATACTCATATTTATTGAAATGAGAAGTCCCGGCTCGAAATGACGAAATTGCAATTATTAAATAAATATATGTTTTAGAGACACACTTCTCGTAGGGAAAAATAAATTTAATAAAGGCTTAATATCATTATATGGAAGTTATAAAATAGTTTTCCCAAAACAGTCAAGTAGCCGTTTGTTTTTCTTCCGCCATCAGTCGCTCGTTTAAAATTGCACAGTCAATCGATAGTACAATCAGTCAATTTGTGTGGTAACACCCCTTGTTAAATCTGACTGTACGTACGGATGCGTTATAAATATTGCGTTGTCTGTTTTTGTGTATTTATCTCACCTTTTCGGATAGGGTTGTTTGAGATGGAATGTACGGTAGTGGAGCTTCATACTGTTGCTTTGAGTGAAACGTTTGTCGCATAGACTGCAAGCGTAGGGCTTTTCTCCCGTATGCGTCTGTAGAAAGGATATTGAGCTCTTTATTTATGTCAATAAAGTTTATTTCTGTTTTACGCTTTCACATTCGAACCTTAAAGACGATAGTAATTAAATAAGAACTACAGACAATTTAAAGTTAGTTTTCAATAAAACTACTACAGATAATAACAATTTACTGTTATACAATTTTAATATTGTCATTTATTTTGTTATGTTAGAACAAGTAAGAATTGACTCTTCATCTTGATGATTAAATTATAACCTTAGAATGTAATAGAAAAATTAAATGAAAAAAATGTTTAAAAAAGGAAAAATAATTTACTTTTATCTTAAAAATTGCGCCCTCCCCTTTTTGTACGAAAAAATAGGATAAGGGCCCCTAAAGCATTTGAGATAAAGAATGGATAATGCTAAATATGAATAATAATATTCATATACAACTAATTATTAAAATTTGACTGTTTTAAAAAAAAATTGATGAATATTCGCCTGCGCACATCTTTGTGGCTATATTCTTCCAAAAATTAAAAACAAATCTTATCACGAAAGCAATAAGAGCTATTACTAAATACTTTATATTACGAGTATATTATTATGATCTATGACGCACGCAGTGGTAGATTAAGTAACTTTCGCGAGGCCCAATCATAGGATAGGTGACCAAAAATTTATTGCTTTGGAAAACACGTTAAGCAATTGGTCCCAGCACCAGCTGTCGTTACAACACAACGCTCCTCACTGGGCCCGAATGGCGAGTCATGGCATTTCCCTATTCGATTTAATTCCATTTATAGAAGAGGTTTGTATTCCAGCAGTGGGGAGCTAATAAGCTGATACTTACGACTAGATGCCTCTTCAATCCTACGCTAGAGTGGAATGATCTGCCGCATGTGTCACAAGAGAATACTTTACTGCGAGTGTGCATGTTCTGGTGCATCGCGACACTGCCCGGCTACGCGACAAACAAACAAACAAACGTTATTTGAAACAAGACATCGTAAAGATAACTTAAAAATCAGTTTCGTCGACTGTGGTCATATAACATAGCGTCGTAATGCGAAATTAAACTATAACGCCTTAAGTACTTCGCCGCATTCACTTGCGAAAGCAAAACTACTGCGAAACTATTGCGAATGTGAAATATCTACGTCTGTGTAACGACGTTTTTCGCAGTTGCCTGTGAACACTACTGACAAGAACGCAGCTATTCCGTCGAGCTCATAATATCGGGTTGGCACAAAAGTAATGAGACACTTGGTTTAAGTTTTTACTTTTTTATTATTATTACAATAAAAAAAGTTTAGTCAATGATGTAATTACCATTAGTATCTAAGACTTCTTGCCAACGATCCGGCAAAGTTTGGATGCCATTTGCCCAGAACTCTGATGACTGTGCCTCGAAAAAGTTGTTCAACTCCGCCTCTACGTCAGAGAAATCATTAAATTGTTTACCCCGCAAATGCTGTTTCAGGGCTCTAAACAAATAATAGTCTGATGGGGCGAGGTCTGGGGAATAAGGTGGGAGGGGTATCGTCTCCCAGCCCAAGTTCTCCAACTGCCGGCGAACCACAGATGCGACGTGAGGTCGAGCGTTATCGTGCAGTAAAACTACATTGACTCGTCTTCGTCGTTTTTTCTTGATAGCGGCAGATAATTTGGTAAGCTGGGTTGAATATTTGTCAGCGTTTATAGTTTCATTGTGTAATAGCTCATAAAACAGTATACCTTGCGCATCTCAGAAACAGCAAAGCAGAATTTTTCGGCGGTTCTTTTGACTCGGCTTCGGTTGAGTTGGTGGCGTTTCTTCTCAAGGCAACCAAAAAGCACGACGTGTATCGTTCTAGTAATAAATCCATGATTCAACTCCAGTAACCAGATTGACAAAAACTCTTTACGTCGGGGTCGCAGCAAAAGTGACTGACAGATAGCGACACGGACTGCACGACTGGCGTCTGTAAGGATGAGCGGTACCCACCGAGCCAAAACTTTTCGATAACCAAGCTCATGCAGATGGTGTTCCATGGCGTGGTGACTGCATTTAAGTGCTTCCGCTAATTCACGAGTGGTAGCATCCGGATTCAACTGCAGTTCGCGGCGCAAATCGTCATCATTCACTGCGGGTGGTCGCCCTGAGCGTGGCTGACTTTCAAGGCTCGTGTCTCCTGATATAAAACGGTCAAACCATCGGGTCACCGTCGCATGGTTTGTACTTCCAGCGCCTAATGCATTGTTGATATTGTCAGCCGCAGCCCGCGCACTGTGGCCTAACAAGTACTCGTATAAGTATAGTGTTCGAACTTGTCGCTCGTCCATTTTTCTTCAAACTGACTAAGCAAATCGCGAGCGCGGCTTTATATACCCTACACCAGAAGTACCTAGAATGTTCTACAACATTCTAGAATATTATCGAAAAAATTGATTTTAAAAAGGAAATGTTATAGATTTTTCTAGTGTGTCTCATTACTTTTGTGCCAACCCAATAGAATGAAACATTGGCATACAATTGACATGTGTTTTGGTGTTTCGCTTTCGCATGCGATTGCTAATGGCATAAAATATGTAAGAAACAATAGGGTAGTTTCGATAGTCAAAAATTAATCACGAAATAGAGGTGCAGACGACTTTTTATAAAAAAATATATATATATACATATAAAAGTATAAATTTTGAAATTTCCCGCTAAAACACCAACTTATGTCAAATTCATATCTCTCTATTATTTCTAAGATCTGATGTGAGTAATAGGAGCGTTTGCTCTAATACATAATACAAAAATATTTGTATTATATAATCTATATATATAAAAATGAATCGCAAAATGTGTTGGTAAGCGCATAACTCAACAACGCCTCGACCAATTTGGCCAAATCTTTTTTTAAAATGTTCGTTGAAGTTCAAGGATGGTTTTTACGGTGAGAAAAATTAGAATTATTGCTGGAAAAACCCTAAAAATAGCCCTTTTCTTTTTCCCATACAAATGATTTGTAACTAAAACGTAGTCAATTTGAGCTTTATTGCTATGGTATAAAGTTCATATTAAATTACAAGCACTCACTGTTGTCTAAACAATGTAGGTGTGTTCCTAACGTCAAAGATCATATCTATCAAAACAATGTGCGTGTGTGCGTTGGAGCACAGAATACATAGTTGGAGGAGTTTAATGTCGCGTTCCGAAACTCACGGTTCTGTTCAGGAGAATTTTTTTAAATACGTAGGCAAAAAAACTGCCACATTACAAATCTTTTTGACAGGACGAAGTCTGTCGGGTCAGCTAGTTTAAAATATAATAACCTTAAAAGTGTGATTATCGGTAATAGTATATTAAACACTACCAGAAAAAAAAATATTTATTTTCATTTACTGTCTACACCCGTATTGCACAAAATCTTAAATTTACATTGAAATATACATCAATACTCTCATTACGAGTCATAAAATTCCATGATTATATTAATATCTCAAAATTAAAAGTAGAGATTTCTGTGCATTTCATGCAACTTGAAAAATGACCCGTCATAATGTGACGTCATTCCGGCCACATCTGTCTGATTAGTACTGAATTGTCGCCTAAAGCTATTTATTATAATATACTATAGGCGTCTGTTTTGTGTTACTTATTTATTTCATGGATTATTTAAATTAAAAAAAAGAGTAGAATATTATTATAAATATTTTTGACTATATTACATATTTATGCATCGTTTTAAACAATTAAACTTTCGTATTCATACTCTTATTAAGAATTTATGTCATCTCCATATTAAATTGCTGTAAAATAATGTATCAACGCCCTCTAGGATTTCATGCTGACATTATTAGGTAAATGCAAATGCGTCAACTTACCGCCAGGGAGGCGCCGCAAATTTCGCAGATATGTCTCTCGGTGGACGAGAAGAATGAAGTGCGCGGATGTTCAGCTATATGATGACGCATACACGCCGCTTGTGTTTCAAAATGTTCTCCACACTGGGAATATGATAATATTGATGGCGAATTGTAGTTAAAACATTAAAAAAAAAACACCTGGCGTGCGACCGCCTAATTCTCTTGGCTTAGGATACGATCATCAGCGGTCGCACACCTGGTATCCTTAAACAAAGAAATTTCTTGGATATGAACTATTAATTTTTGTTCATCTATCGAAAGGATGAAGAATATGAAACACTTTTTCTTATTATTTGCGTAATCAATAAATTACGACGATACAATGAATTGTAACGTCCCATGACGTCATCTTTATAAATTTTCTACATAGCCGTGACGTAGCAAGCCCCCACTCCTCAACTTACTTAATAACCATAAAGGCTATTATCTAAGCCACTTCTTGTTAAATTAAAGTATAAAAAACACGTATATAATATTTTTCTGTTATCTGATTAAATAAATAGAATATCGTTGTTTTTCCCCAAACATCCCTATTGTGCTAAAATGTGTGACGCACGATTACAGCTGTGTGTGACAGAATAGAGCTTCAATCAATTAAAAATCTTTATTGTCTTTTGAAATACTACTGCATAGAGACATCATAAAACAAAACCTTATTTGATTGTATCTTAGTGCAGTTACAACGCTCCACTCATCGTATAGGGTTTATACATAATAGCAATATTATTGCAGGAATAATAATGAAGCTTCTTCGAGAAAATAGTAGCGTTTCTTACTTATTCTATGTTTAACTACATTACGCTTTGTTCTGTTACGCAAATGGTGGACAATTATATGAGTTATTAGTTATACTTTATAATTATATGAGTTATTTATACAACGTTACAGAAATAACGCACATCCTTATTCACCTCAATTAGACAATGCATTTATAATCATAAAAAGAAAATTGGAATTTTACTATTATGTACTGAAACATTGTTTATGTAAGGACACAGTTATACTTATTTCTGGGCAACAGTGTAGACATCTTACAAATCCACAGAATGTCAAAATTACGGCTTAGTCTGCAACTGCAAATGTATGTAGATGCCTACAGCGCAATACCACAATAAAGTATTCTACTCCGTTTGAAATAATACCTGTAACTGTTTATTTTGATTTAAAAAAGCCATAAAACAAATATTTCGGAAAAATAAACACGTTTTTTGCCTTAAAAATTTTATCATAATTTAACCTTTTTTTTAGACCCGCGAAAACGCTGACTGCCTTATTTATGACGTCATTGTGATATACATGTCTTTGTAAAGGCTGTAATGGTTACAGGTGACCATAATTTACTTGATTCCAATTCAATATAGCAAAAAAAATTACCTATATTAGAAGTAGCTGAAATCGAATCAGTATCTGATTATAAACAAACTAATTTCAGAGTGTGCGTTAATTATGTTACACGTTGTACACAAAACTATTCCGGGTCCTATACTCGTAATGCTTAGGAATAACCGGTGTAAGTACACATACTTACTTGATGACAATCCATCGGTTTCCGTCGCAACCGTCTGGGTTTCTTTGGACGTTTCTTAAATGGCATTATCGGGTCATCGTTACATTTCCTATGATGAAAGAGAAACAATTAGCATGGATAAAACACATAAAAAAATAATTGAATAAAAACTATTTCATCACCTTTTCACTAATTCTTTGGTGATCTGTAACAACAAAAAGGTATATTATCGATATAATTCGAAGTGATATATGCAAATAATTTTTACTGACGTCACAAACATTATTCTTAGTTCTTACCTTGCTTTGTTCCTTTTTACCGAGAACTTTCCTTGGGAGAGAGTATTCGTCTTTTAATTCATCCCTGAAGAACAAAACATATTGCTGCTATATTTTATGACTTACATATAGAGACTGGAGACTAATAATATAAGTGTAGTAAAAAATGCTAATAAGACAAGTACGAGTCGGACTCGGGCACAAAGGGTTACGTATCATCCTATAATATATAAATACGAAATACCTTTAATACGAAATTAACTGTTCTTAGATAAATAAATAATTTGTAAATATTTCAAGCGTCTACCAAAACAAAAATAAGCATAAAAATCGCATTTGTTATATGGGAGACCATTTGAATATTTGTTTTATTCTGGTTTTTAGTGTTTGCGTTGATGCGGCAGCAGAAATGCATGATCTGTGAAAATTTCAACTGCCTGACCTTCACGGTTTATGAGATACAGCCTGGTGACACGGTGAAGTCTGTTTGGTTCCCGTTTTACCCTTTGGGTATGGAACCCTAAAAAGGGTCGCAAGTAATTCAAGGATAAATGTGATTTTTCGCTATAATCAGTGTTTCTATCGCTTAAATGATATTTTGGTATAACACCTTTGCCGTATAAAATCGGAAATACTTTAACTACTTTTCAATACTGCCAGAAAAAGATTATAAAACTGATTACTGCTAATTTTTACGACTGATGGTATTTGACTTCATAAATGACAATAACTTGATGGTACTGTTGTGAAGTAAAAAAAAACAGGTAAAATGCAGTTGCGATATTATACGTAGGAGGATCTATTAAAAAATATTAATTACTTTGGCGTTATGTTTTTTCAAATTTTTTCTACGATCAAGTTTATGAGAAAGTATACTATAGCATATCAGACACGATACTTAATAAGACTTTTAAGACATAAATTAAACTGTTTACAAGCCATGTCCAGCTTATCTACTAGCTTTCCGCCCGCGGCTTTGCCTTTGTGGAATTCGGTTATTAACAACCTGTTCCAATTATATGAGTCCAATCTATCCGTCCTCCCACACACACATATATTTGGCATTTATAATACTCGTATTTATAGATGTCTTTTTACTTAAATAACTGAACTAACACCCGGTTTCTAAATTGAGAATTTAAAATTAAGAACGTCTCGAACTGTACTTAAACAGATTTTTGTTTCTAATTTTAGTTTTTAGATGTAGACAGTATACGATAATAAATACATATTTATTTATTTAAACTTTTTTGCACAAATAAAGTGTACAAATGGCGGACTTAATGCCAGTAGGCATTCTCTACCAGTCAACCGGATACCGGACATATAATTTTTTCTGGTTATGGTTTATTAATATACTATTACCGATAATAACACTTTTATGCTTATTACATTTATAATATTGCTCAAATTAATTATAAAATAAAAACAAATATTTTGTACTCGTTGTCACTTGATCGCAAACAGAGCATGACGTCACGCCCCCCTTACTCATATTAGAACTTAGTTAATTAAACCTTATGCATACATACAACGATATTAGTTTTATAGGTGCCTGTCGTCATAGATACGCCATGACAGTAACTGGCGATATCGCGGGAAATTTTGTAAAATAAAAAATATAAAAACAGTTGTCTAAGCACATAGGTGCTTAGACAACTGTTTTTATATTTTTTTTAAATCCTAGTTTTGTCAAACTGCTATTAATAGTAATAGCAGTTTGACAAAACTAGGATTTTTTGACTTGTGAAAGGTAAAAACTTAAGTTACTGAAATTGATAAGTTGAGATTTGATACTTTTCTCAATTCAGAAACCGGCTGTAAGTGATACAAATAACACTTACTCCACTCCTTCAGAATGCATAGCTGAGTGGAACAGATGCTCCACGTATGCCTTGTTTGTTTCAAAGGTGATGTTACATTTTTCGCACCTGGTATTCACATCTTCATCATCATCCGGACTTTCCTAGTAATTTAAGTGTATTTTAAATTATATTGTATTTTAAAATTTTTATTGTATTATGATTAGGAACAACCTATTCAATTCTTCTTTGGATATCTGTAAGAGAGCCCGAGTTACCTGTGTATAAAGGTTTTTTACGAAACTCATATCAGGCACTAATGAGGAACCCTGTTTTCTGGAGAGAAATAAATGCTATTATTAGAGATAACGCAAGGCGTCTACCTCACATCAGTGGCGGACCAACCACGTCGGGGGCCCGGGGCGGCATCAGGCCTGTTTTACGTTTACCCCCGGCCTGCTAAGACGCCTGCCGCCACTGCCTCACAGACCCCAATTCGCTAGTAGTTTGTTGCTTTTGGTGTGTAATAATAATTATTTATTAGTGATTGTGTTGTGACGTGATTCTTTTTTAATTTTTATATGTTTCGAGCTTTCCCTGAATATTCGCTGTCCGTATAGGTACCGGTATCGTATCAGCCATACTTTATCGATATCGATGCACCCCTAATAAAAATATAACTGTTATTATGCAGCGTGCCTTACGCTGCATATCATATCATATCGCGACTTATTGGTCGCAGAAAGACAGAACTGACAAAATATTTGATATGACATTCGACCTTGCACACTAAACAGTAAAAGCTTGACGGATTCTCCGTCAGTCAGATTTGCACCGAACCTCAAGACTGGTTACAGACATTCATTTTTGCGAGAAAATGGCTTGCGTTCGGATCTTTAAATTGGGATTCAGAAAACCGAACACAAAAACGAATTTGCGCGACCAGTGGCCTATTCGTTCAATTTTAAAATCTATCATAATCACTTTAAATTTTATATTTGAAAGATATTCACGAACTTCACTCTATATCTATTTGACATTTGATAGTGATTGCGAATACGACGTTTTTTTTTAAGAATATTTTGTGAACGATAACTTTTATTTGAAATTGTCTAAGCAAAGTGAAAGTTGCAAATATCATTGAAAACTAATGGAAAATGTCAAACGAAATGAATTGTCTATCATATTTAAATCATTCAAATCATCATTAGTGCCAAGATCAACAGCTTAACGTGCCCCTCGAAGCACGGAGTCAGAGCTAATAATTTTTCGGTCACCCATCCTATGACCGGCCCTTGGGAAAGTTGCTTAACAACCGTATTGAAGACCGAACCCGCTAACCAATGTGTTATTACGCCCCGGTTAGTACATAGATTTACAATAATAAATTTCAAAGTGAGGGTAGTACAAACAAACTTACGATATCATCTGTAACATGTTTGATCTTCTTATGTTGATGCAGACCAGCTTCAGATACAAAAGACACGCCGCACAGAGTGCACACATAGTCACTCCTGTGTGTGCGCAAGTGTGTATAGTATGTAGATATATGGCTATAAATAAAAATAAAAAAATATCAAAAATAAATTTGGAAAACTTAAAAGCTAGTATAGGGAAATAAACCTTTTTAATTAATGTTGTTTGTATTAAATAAATATCGTTATCGCGCGGGCATTTTCAGGTCGATCCAAGGAATAGTGATGAATAGAGTTGTCACACTATTTTTTTTATTATTACGTAATATATCTTGTCCTCTATTCATAGTAGTTATAACTATAAAACTACAATATCTAGCGACTTGCATGCTTGAAAATATATTATTTACGCGTGACAACCGTCGCCGTGGGTATCCATGCATTGCTTCGAAAATGCTCACGCGATAACTATGTATTTCTATATTATAGTAATCATGGTTCGTTCACGTATAAAACACGGGCCGCGGACACGATGCCGAGATCATGCTCACATCTACCGCCAGGGTTTACTCGAATGTGACGTGTTGTCAGAGGATCTAACTGCTACTACCGCCGTAATGTTTGAATTTTTACCAATGTCCCTTTGATTAGTAGAGAAGGGACCACTTGACTCTACCGAAAATTGCTCTTTAAAGCTTAATAAGTCACAAACAGTTTACTAAATCAAAAAACGGCCTTTCCACACCCCCAAAATTTTTGAAAGACCTATCCAACGATGGGGAAGACGAAAAAAATTATCATCCCCAATTTACATTTATTCGATGTGTTACTGCATCATTTTTTCGGAGTAAATAACGTGTATGCCAAATTATAACTTTCTAGTTTTTCTAGACGGACATGGCGAGTTTCGCTTTAAAAGTTCCTTGTTTGCTACGGAACCCTAAAAACAATTCATTCATATGATTTCTAGGTTTGCTTTGCCAAATCAGAGTTCTAATCCAGGCTACAGTACTCTAAAAACTATTTTGTGTGAGTGCGCATTACATAACTGACTGCAGCAAATTAAGATGATGCATACTGTATGTGCATACAATCTTATATGTTAAAATGAACAAGCCATCACAATCGGCTGAATTCAGCTCCCATACATAAGCATAGAATTCTTTGATCAGGAATAACACAATTTATTAAGACTATGTAAAAACAATATAATTTATGTATCAATTAATGACAGCTATTCTCCTTAATAGCTTTTTTTATGCTTTTTAATTTTTTTTCAACATAAACAAAGCGAATCGGTAGCACGTCAGATTCTATACCAAAGTTATATTACCTCATAATTTGTCAATACCTGAATTCTTCACCGCAATGTATACATTTTGTTGTAATCCCATTATGGGAATCTTCATGAAGTAATGCAGTGTGCCTGTAAAATAATTATATGCTATCAAAATATAAAAGGTTTTTGTACTAAAATATCTATATTTGTATAAATATTTTATACATAATATATAATGACAGACAGATGAAAACCGAAATTCACTTTACCCATTTTCATCAATACCCAGAGTAATATAATAAATATTAATAAAAAATAATTATTTAATAAACAAAGATATTTTAATAAAAAAAAAATGTAATGAGTACCTAGTGAAATTTTGTTTGAAGTTTTTTCAAATCATTTATTTTCTCATCACAAAAGTAATAAATAGGTTGAACCTATGTGTAGTTATAAGAAAATATTACAATTTGAACGCACGTGCGTGCTTGTGTGCGTGCGTGTGTGCGTGCGTGCGTGCGTGCGTGCGTGCGTGCGTGCGTGCGTGCGTGCGTGCGTGCGTGCGTGCGTGCGTGCGTGCGTGCGTGCGTGCGTGCGTGCGTGCGTGCGTGCGTGTGTGTGTGTGTGTGTGTGTTAGGGTTTAAAGTGTGTGTGTGTGTGTTAGTGTGTGTGTGTGTGTTAGTGTGTGAAGTGGTGTGTGTGTGTGTTAGTGTGTGAAGTGGTGTGTTTGTGTGAGAGTGAGTGTGAGAGCTTGTGTATGCATAATTAACCCAAGACATAAATAAAAATGTTCATGACATTACAAGTAGCAGATTCTCTATGGTATCGTAATCAAGTTGTTGTAGCCAGGTCTGAAATGACAGTTTAGCTTTCTTTTGTTGCTTGTAAAAGAATTTTTGGGAAAATTTTAAGAAAGTTGGATTATCTATATACTCTCTGAAAGCGTTTCCTAAGAACTGTGAACTCGAGAACTTATAATAAAGTTGTTGGACTGTCATTATATTACATCGCTTATAAAGGTCATTGGTGGGAAGTTGAAAATCTAGACAGAAACTAAACTTAAGTACTGCTCTCTGGGCTCTTTCGAGTTTTAATAAATTAATCTAATGATGTGCTTATTGGTGACATGACGAATTTTGAAAATACATATAAGTTTTCTAATTCTAGTGATAATGAGATCTATGTGTCCATGAATTGACTATCTATAAAACAAATTTTCCCATAGGACCTACAATGCGCGTCGTATGCATATTGGTCAAGTAAACATGTCTACGCATTTGTGAGTTTTGGAATACTTAAATGATACTCATGATTAATTTGATACTAACTCACATAATGCCACACAATTATAGTACATACTCATAACGCAAAGATCATGTTCCAAAAAATAACTGAATGTTAGTTATATTTGTATTTATTTTAATATTGAAAGATAAAACCTGACTCAATGAATATGCTTATTCTCAGCTTAAAAAGTCATATGGAAAGGCCATACATAATAAACTACTGCCGAGTTATCAAGTACTTTCTAAAAAATCTAAAATAAAAGATAGTTGACTCACTCTAAAGGGCAGACTAAATGACATCTCAAGCATTCATACTTAGTGAAATGCGCTCTCATGTGTTTCCTCAACAGACAGTCCCATTTAAACCTCATACGACAAAAACGGCATTCATTCATTCCAATTGCCTGCAAAAGAGTTTATAATAATGAAGAACAATTATTGTAGGTACAAGAAAAACTAGTAAGTACAATTAATTTATAAATGTTCAATTAACAATTAAATCATGTAATTTTTAATCCAGAATGAAGGCATAGAGTATTGTCCATAAGGAGCATGGTCCTGGCCATGAATCTTGTTAGTAATGAAGTTATTTTATGAACAGGGAGGGTATTTTTCTAGGGTCCCATCCTGCCACCCCCCTAGCTATGTGACTATGTTCCAAAAAATAACTGAGTGTTAGTGATATTTGTATTTATTTTGTGATTGCAACATAACACCTGACACTATTAAATACATATTATATTCATATGACTAGCTTTCTTAAAAGTAACTCACCTCATTATGTCGAAGTTGCATATGCCTCGTTAGCATATCTAGCTTTGAGAATCCTTTGAAACAATCTGTACATTTAAAAGCAGCTGCTAAATACTTTTGATTTTCAGCTCGTGCCCTAAATGCTTCAATAGCTTCCTCCTCTGATAAATTAATTTTCTTCCAATGATTTGCATCTAGAAACTTTGCATGTTTCTTATTGGATACAAACTTATATTTCTTAGCTTTAGGTGTGATAGCCACAACTGTATCATTATTCATTTTAACATTTTCACTTTTCATTTTAATCTCTTTGTCATTAAGAAACACTGTTGTCGGACTGCAAGGTTGTCCGTTTAAGGCAATTTCGACTTTATCACTATCACATAATATTGGCTTCTCATCTTCTGTGTTGTGTTCTATGAGATCTATTTCAGACTCACCATGATCATCATCTTCACAGTCAGTAAATGAATTCCTATAACTATGTTCCCTATTATACTCTACATCTTGAGTAGATTCTTCTTTAATGTTCTTTATTACTGAATCATCTCTGATAACATATGTTTTCACTCTATCACTAATTGTTAGTACTTCTAAGGGAGACTGCAGGTCAAGTGCAGTTCTATCTAGTTTATAAACTAGTTCATATGTAATCTGTAAATTAAATTGTATTTTCAATAAAATATTTACATTAATTAATAAAGAAATTCCAAGTATACTCACAGCGCCTTTCCAAAGCAGTTCTTTTAGAGCTTTTTGTCCTCTATAACATTTTTCTTTGAATTTGTGAAATTTGTGGAGAAGTGTTGCACATTCATAACAGAAATAGTGTGGTAATCCATCTTTAATGTTAACCTAAAGTAATGAAAAAAATATTAATGAGGACCATGTTTTTAAACTCATGAAAACTTTAATTGATTTATTATAAAATTTCTTGTGACACTATAAGGAGTTGTATTTTTCTACAATGATGCATTCACATTAACAAAACAGTTGTCTGTTGAGTTTTCATAGAAAACTATATTAATAAACAAATGCACAACATATATCATTAATAATGTTTTTTTAGTGGGAGCCTAATATTAAAAAACAACTAGCTTTTGCCCACGACTTCGCTCGCATGGTCTTGTTTTAAGACTTGTTAGTAGTTGAATTTCGTAAAATCCCGTCTTAGCGAGCACTTACATCCTAATAAGAACTTAAATGCAAAATTTGAAACTCCTAGTACTAGTAGTAATGAGTTTAATACAAACTTTCATCCCCCCTTGGGGTGGAATTTTCAGAAAGCCTCTCTTAGTGCTACTCTACACTCCCTAAATAATCTTCATTCGAAATTTGAACGTTTTACGCTCAGTAGTTTTGGCCATACGCTGTCTGTCAGTCAGTCACTCAGTAACTCAAGAATTTTATATATACCAATAGACAACGCCGAAAGTAAATATTGGCGAGAATTCTTTAATTTTTTCTAGTTTTGACGTTCAAATTTCACGTAATTGTAACTTTTCAAAGGTTAAACAGAGCAATACTTACTTTTAATGCCATTACTTCTTCGTAATAGTACATTAACTGAAATCGATCGAATTTGTAAAGTTTGGCCTCCGTTCGGAGACATATTCTACATATTTTGATTTCAGACATATTAACATAGTAGTAAGTTAGTAATAGTTGTTAATTATTTGTGTTGTTAGTACTGTTTATAGGTATTATCACGTAGTGTTTAAATACTCTTTGGGATGGAACATGAATACAAATACAATTTTAGCATTTTTAAATGACATTGACTTTGATTGTAGTGTAGAGCAAAAACAAAAAAAAACGGTTTTTGTGAATACCAACCGATTCTGATACAAAAAGCAATTATATACACCTTAAAATATGTTACTGAATTCTTTAATATCATGCAGCATCAGCTGTTACTAATAAATGTCGAAAAATTATTCTATCGGTTCACAATTCTACGGCGGCTGGAAGAAACACTTACACTACAAAAAACTTGCAACACAATGATCCCTGAATAAATCATCATGAACTTATGAAGTTTGGTGATAAGCAACATTAATTTATTTTTATTTCTGTTTACAAAAAATGTGTACGTCTCATCACTTTTAAAGAAACAAAGATTTTTTACGAATGTTTCAATCCCCATATAAGTATTTATTAAGAACTGAAAAGAATTTTCTCTTTAATTCTCCTAAATGAATTCCTTACCTTGAGATAAAAAATTTGTCAGTTATTCTTTTGTAGTACAAAAGGTGTCCTTATTAAGTAAAATACACATGACAATACTCATAAAGAGTAAACTTTCATTAAAAGAAAACATTTATTTTTAACCGCTTGTGTATGTGGCTATACTGGCAACATAGGTACTCTCATAGGGAATGTTCTTCAAATCAGGGTACATTATGTCATCTAGAAGGAGCAGACTATAAGCAGAATGTTGCAGATCGGATATGTTTTATTAATCAAACTTATGATCTCCTACGTGCAACCTTGTATTTTTCAAATGTATTAAAGTTATAAAAAGCTTCCACAAACCGGTTTTCGAGTTATCAGTATATATCGGTTTTAATAAGCATGTTTGGTTCACATCGCTAATCAACGTTTTTTTTATCGTTTTTTTTAGGACAAAGGGATCTAGCCTACGAAACTTTGAAATGTTTATCTGTTAAGGTAAAAATAAGAGGATTGTTTGTTTTACTGATGCTTCTTTGTAGTTCATAGAAAAAGAAAATAACCTCGTATGAACATAAAGGGGGGCAAAATCTCAGAATGTAAGTTAATAAACTGGAAACTCGAAGACGTTCGTTTGGTGTTATAAATGCTGTTTTATATAAAACTACAAGTCCCAAAAACTATATATTTAACACATTAAAAGATATTAAGTGGGCCCCATAGACTTACCTAATAGTTGTTTCTCCACTGTATAAGACATGAATAAGTGATGGTTTCAGGGTACATGATGGTTTTTATTAGAACATGACAGCATTAGGGAGTTCTGGAACTCGTTCGTCATCAGGGAATCCAGATTGGAAATTATTTTTATTAGATAGGTCGGAGCCCAATAAATTTAGAGAATAACTGACCTAGACGAAATGAAACCTACCGTTGCTTCGTTATGTATAGGCAGGTTCGTCGGTGTTGCTTAAACCTTACCCTTATAGACTCGAGCGTAAGTCTAATTAACATGGCGAAAAAAAAAATGCGTGTAGAGAGGAGGATAACTTATATTGGAAGAACTAGAGTATACCTATCTGATTTTCACTTATTTGGAAGGAGGTAAATAAAGAGTACAGACTCATAGAAAAAAATGTCATTTGAACATTTTTAAATGGTTATATTTTTTGGTTACGATATTAGGTGTACATCAAATACCTATGCGTGACAGTATAAATGAAACAACTTTTAAGCGGTTTCATCGCGTTTGTAGTTTTGACGTGATGAAACTGTTTGCCGACTAGTAGATACTAAAAATAATAAAACAAATGAAGTATGTAATCTCACAATGTTTATTTAAATTGATAGAGTTCTATTAAGCAACATAAATACGCTAATCTCATCACAAATAAATAAATTCATGCAAAACATGATAATAAAATGTAGTTTTCAGTAAATTATATCATTTTAAAATATTTTTCTACAATTGTAAAATACAAAAAGGTTGTATATGTATGTAATCAAAACATTTAAAGCTTAAATATAATAAATAATTTTAGAGTTTTTTTGAGATTGCATTTTTCATAAGATATTCATGTGATTATACATGTGGTTTTAAAATAATACGACAAAACTATCATAATGAAAAATAAAGTCTTGGAAATAAGTTACAACCATTACTATTTAAATACTTTATATATACAGGTTGATACTTCACACTACTCAGTCAGTACAAAAAGATTGTACAATATTTTTATGTTACCAATTACAATACAATAGTCTTTTCACGAGAAGGTACTTGCCCTATTTGATCAATATTTTAAACTATCTTATACTTTTATAACAGCTACGCTATTCTGTTAAAAACGGTCTCAAGCGCTGTCACACCATAAATGAAATAACACCTTTATTACCTTTTGTAAAAGATTCATTTGATTGAACTTCTATGACATAAGAAAGCTTCGTTGGTGATGAATTCGAGGCTGTTTGTATAACAGAATAGTATTAGAGATTATTTCCGGGGTAAGCAGAGAACTCGGCGCCATAAGGCACGGTCTTCCTTGAGATTCATTCAGAAGTATTTTCATACATAATTTAACAGTTTTTATGGCTTCTGACCTCGTTGAAAATAACACGTTTTCAATAATTATTTGAAGTATTTAAAAAATAGTTCTCAAAATCAAAGAAATTGTAGTGTTCAAATAGTCTTGGACAGAATAGCAAAACAATTTAATGGTTTGCCTTTAGGTAATTAATGAGATTGGAATATAAAATAAAAATAAATGATTAAAAAGTTTCAGGATTGTATTATATTCAGTGGTCGGAATTAGGTAGAGTTATTCTACCTAATTCCGACCACTGATTTCATACAGCGAAAGAATAAAGTGGATATGCCTCAAATCCCGAGATTAATTTTAAAGAGCAGAAAAAATCCCGTGATTTTTTAAATAAAAAGTTATTTACTTTTACACAATTTAAACTACTGCACGCACGACGTTGCCAAACTTACATCAATGAAAGAAAGAAATAAAGGAAGAAGAAATAAAGAAATCCTGGGAAGGTCCGCATTAATATCAACATTTCGATGCAAGTACATAAATAACTCTACCTAATTCCGACCTCTGATTATATTTTATAACTCTCAGCATTATTTTTGATGTCAAAATCATGTGATTCGGAACGCAAATCATAATATTTGACCTTTCTTTAAAAAAAAACATGTCCAAGACCCTATTGACAGAAATTTGTTACAATAATATAGCCATCCAGTGACATTTAATTTACGTAGATACTTTGTAAGTGCTATAAAGGTTCTACGTCAAAAGCGCCATCTTGTAACTGTGTTAAGTAACTTATAATCAGCGCTTTCCGTCAATTGTAGCGATGTTGATCAATGTCACTGATTCAACAATCGCCATTACATTGTAATGACAGTTAATATTTTTTAACGGCATATAAATCGTGCTATTCTGACTCACTTTTGGTTAGCTTTATTTTAGTATCTTTTAATTCGATTTCTGAAACATCTTGTCCGATCATTGGAGTATTTATTATGTACCTAACAGTTCCACTTTCTTTAATTTAAGAGTTAGAGTATGTCGAATTATCGAAGTAATGTTTCCATACTCTGTATTCCTCTTTGCCACCGAATGGTCCAGCCTCGGTGTTCGGCACTTCTATTCTTTTCCTTCTATTTCTGAAACAAATCGACAACAAAATCAAACAATATACCTTCGTACTTAAAGACGAAAATAAAATGGTTAGTCAATCAAAGCCAACAAATGCTTCGACAATTTTTGTTTACGCCTAGACCTACTAAATCCGACGATGATTGAATGTATGACTGACATGTATAGTCAGCCTTATTTCAATAGCTATAAGGTGTAAAATATAACGCACTAGGTTTCAGTTTCACTAACACTCAGCGGGGGACGAGCGCGTTTCGATCATTGTGATTGGTCAGAATTCGCGTTTTTTCGAAATTCAACCTTCAGCGTATGTACATAGGTAAGCCACATCGGTTGTTTTTCATTATACTACTAGCTGACCCGACAGACTTCGTCCTGTCAAAAAGATTTGTAATGTGGCAGTTTTTTTGCCTACGTATTTAAAAAAATTCTCCTGAACAGAACCGTCACCCTGGTGATAGGGCGTTGTGAATAAAAAATAATTAAATAAAACATATATAAGGATTTAAAAGTAAGTAATCGCTTTATTGTTAATCATGTGAATCATAATTATTATTGCAATGTTTTAATAGTAATAGTATTAAATATAGAAAAAAGAGATTTTTATGATCATAAAAACACATTACACACAACAGCATTATAAAAGTAAACTATTCGAATTAAAAAAATATATAAACATTCTCAAGGAAAAATGCTGGAAGAATCCATCTACCTGTACCCCGGAATGGGACTCGAACCCATTCGCGATCCAGGGACTGCTCTAACCAATGAGCTATCTAGGACCCAACAGCTTTGCTACTACAGAGCGTATTTTCATCAATGTTCCGGCAATACATGTAATGACGTGGAAACTGATGCATTTTATCTCGCGTGCCGAAACTAATACAAAAGAAACGCGAGTTTCGGAACGCGACATTAAACTCCTCCAACTATGTATTCTGTGCTCCAACGCACACACGCACATTGTTTTGATAGATATGATCTTTGACGTTAGGAACACACCTACATTGCTTAGACAACAGTGAGTGCTTGTAATTTAATATGAACTTTATACCATAGCAATAAAGCTCAAATTGACTACGTTTTAGTTACAAATCATTTGTATGGGAAAAAGAAAAGGGCTATTTTTAGGGTTTTTCCAGCAATAATTCTAATTTTTCTCGCCGTAAAAACCATCCTTGAACTTCAACGAACATTTTAAAAAAAGATTTGGCCAAATTGGTCGAGGCGTTGTTGAGTTATGCGCTTACCAACACATTTTGCGATTCATTTTTATATATATAGATAATCAGTGGCATAGCGTGGGTGTCTGCCGTCGGGGGCGGAAGACAATTTTGCTGCCCCCTTAATTTTGTATTTTATAACATTAATTTTTAAGAATTTTTCGGCAAGAACTGTCATCATTATTTTGCATAATATAGGTTAGATTTTGACTGCACGGTTGGCGACTGGATCGAGTGTTGTGATTCGATCCCCACAAGGGACAATTTTCGTGTGATTTACAAATAATTGGTCTGGGTGTACTTTGTCCTTCGCAACACATGACTTATATCCTAAAAAGCGGGCTTGTTTTTTAAAAAACAAAAAAAGATTTGACAAAAATAAAAATATGAACTAAACAACTGAAGATCCATGAATAAAAGTTTATTTGAAATGTCAAAGCATCACGTACTTTCTTAAAGGTACGTAATAAACATTATTGAACTATTATATTCTTGCTGATTATAAGTCTATACAATCCAAGCACAAAATAAAAAACGGGGAATCCCCGTAAGTCAGTATAGATGGTGTTGCCATTCGCTACAAAATATTATTTAAAGAAAGAGTATTCTCCCAATTCATCACAGAATAAGTACTGAAAAAATCCGTCCTCTTTTCATTCGGTCCGAATATATGGTTGCGTTAAAAATATTAATTGGCTCAAATATATAAAAAAAAAATCTTGTTTACTATGAAATTTTACCGCCCCCTAAACGGTGCTGTCCCCACCCTCCCCCGCCCCCCTCCCCTACGCTATGCCACTGGCTATAATATGCATCAATATCATTGAATCAGTGTACTTCTTTGCAAAGGATTTCATACTTTTTTTTACCTTTTAGGATAAGGTTGTTTAAGATGAACCGTCCTATGATGAAGACTTAAGCTACCGCTTTGTGCAAAACGCTTCCCGCAAATATTGCAGGCGTGGTTTCTCTCTCCCGTATGAGTCTGGAAGTTATAAAACATGCGATAATAGCCTAGCTAGCAAAATTTTGATTATAGACAATTTTTTTTATCTCTATATAGTATAGTTATATTGAAGTAAGAAGTAAAATATGTATGTATAATATATATCGCTTATATGTATCAAAATTGTCTTTTGGAAGTACAATATATACCTACACTATGTCGTTTAAAACGCATAAAAGTAGGGCCAGTTTAATCTCTATGTAGAATTTCCAACTTTTATTAGAAGAAATAAAGTAACTTCGATTTCCAAAAAGTTACGATAATAAGAGTTTATCACATACATATATGTGATTGGCACTAGTATAATTAACATAATGTAAAAGAGTATTTTAGCGTCTATAGGTATTACAGCCGGTTTTTGAATTGAGAAACGTACAAAATCTCTACTGATTAATCTCAAAAACTTAACTTTTTTACGTTTCACAAGTCAAAAAGTCTTAGGTTTATCAAACCGTTATTAACTGATTATTAAAAAAAAAAAACTAAAATCAGAAAAGAAAACCTGTTTAAGTACATTTTGAGACTTTTAACTTTAAAATCTCAATTCGGAAACCGGGTGTTAGTGATATAGAGTACAATACTCTACTATACGGTTGGCAACCCTACGTTTACTAATACAGCAAAATTAAGTGTTATTTTGCTAGTTAAGAATAAAAAAAAAATACAAAACAGAAATAATTTGTAAACAGTATGACAGTATATAACATTATATACTGTCTATATAAGACATTATATGAATATGGATACACTTTGCAATTTATAATATGACCATTTCTTGTCAATATATTTACAGTTTGTCTAATACTGTAAACTTACCACAATATGATTCCTTAACATGTTGTTAGTGGTGAATGATCTACCACAAGTGTCACACGTGTACATTTTACGCCTCGTGTGTTGATTAAGGTGAGCAGGTACACTGCTAGGCTGTTAAACATATATTTATTTATTTAGTCTCTACTTCAAAAGAAGAGCAAAAAGCGGACTTAATGGGAGAAGGCATTTTATATATATCGGACAGAATGTAGTAAATAAACATATAATATTAAAAATATACATAAATAATTGTAGCATATGTCGGTGATTGAAAAATATTTTTATCTGAAAGAAAAATTTATAAAAAATTACCAGATGGGATATATATTTCACATTATGAATTCCAAATTGATTAACTATACGGATTTTCGTAAAATAAAACGTGATTTATCAATAATATTTTTTATTTGACTCAAAAACGCGGCAATTTATTCTATTATCAAGGTATTCGTGTCCATTCTGCAACGTTATAGTGCGCTTAAGCTCGATATCTAATAAATAACATTTACAAAACGTGCTATCAAACTATCAGCAGACAAGTTCCCTTTAAATCAGTACGTACTTTCGACGCCGTAGAATTTCCAAAATAGACTGAGTGCAGTTCGTTAACACAACTGTCATATAGAGGATACGTCAACACCGACTAACATCGATACATTCTGAAAATTCTGCCATGTTATGATGCGGCTACACTCGTTGTTGACAACTTTTACAGATCATAAATAATATTGACTTATTCGAATTACTGATTCGTGTACATTTATGTGTGAAATTACCGTCAAATGGCGTAATTTAGATGCGTGTTTCAATTTATAAAAACAATTATGGCGCTTTCTATAATAAATTTCTTGTACAGTGAAGATAAATTCATCAGCAGCCTATAAATATCAGTACTGCTGAGGAACAGGTCTTGTAATGGGAAAGAAACACAGGAGCACAGATCCATAACTAACCACGAGGCTCAATCCAATGCGTAATGGTTTGGCGTTAACGACTACTATACTTCATTCATTATAACATTAGAAAAAAGAGGGTCACAGAAACAGCAGTACAGAACATTTTATTTTCAAGATAAATTAATATTATATAATAGTTTTGTTGAAACTTTGAACGTTAGGTAGTCTGACAGAGCTGGGCAATTTTTCTTTATTTACGATAACTCGGGGTTGAGATGAGGCCAACGTTTTCTGAATTCATCTTATACTCCCAAGCCAACGTGGAATTAAAACTATCTATCTGTTGTTTTTATATATTCTAATTGTAAGAGTATACATTTAGAATAGAATTTAGTATGAATGAATAATTCTTTATTGTACATAAACACCAATAATATGAAATAATAACACAAAGAACAAATAGTACAATCGGCAGCCTTATCGCTAAGAAGCAATTTCTTCCAGGAAACCGTTACAGTTTGGAAAATTTAAATTATAATATGATAATATAAAATTATTATGTTATAATTATAATTCGTAATATCTATGCCCAGGAAAGAAAGGTAAACAAAATGCAATTTTTATTATTAAAGCTGGAGTACCTACAGGCCGAGACTCTTAATTTGTTTGTAAATATTGATTAACGTTTGCTTTTCTGTATAATTCAGTGGATTTTGCTTAATTCTCTTCTTCTTAGGAGACATTGTTTTACTTTCAATTTAACAACAAAAAGATAACTAAAACAAAGCTATAACAATACATCTTACTTACAATAATAATTTAATCACGGAAAACGGCAAAACAACAAGTATTCACAGCGAATGACAATCCCAGATTACGTATCTTGACAATTATGAATACATTATAATCTGACAAAATTAAAAAGCTGTACTGCCGAAACGTTTGAAGGGAATGTGCAACGTTTTAAATCTGGTAGAATTATAATGACATGAGAATCGTGCCGAAACTATCCAACCCTGCTTCTTTAGGTTCTTTAAGATGAACACTTTTTATTGTCATAGTTATAAAATTATTTAAGTTAGTCAAATACTCATAAATTTGTTTAATATATAGCTTAAACGACAACAGTTAAGTAAAGCAGCAGGTATTTAAGTGGATATGTAGCAAATTAGCCGTCAGTCTTAGAGTAACATAATTATTGATATAAATTGTCACAAAGTATACCATAAAAAGAACCTTATTTTACTTCGGTCTAATGCTATAATGGATGGAGTATAGACTCGGGACTAATTGCTTAATGTGTCTTACATAACATTGCGGAATTCAAGGTAGTAAATTTTCGGTCACCCATCCAATGAAAGACATTTGCAAAATTGCTGTTAACCACCGCAAAGACTGATTGAAAAAGTGATAGCTACATTGACATCGAGATCTTTGTTTTGATTTCTAATGTCACTTCGGCTATAAGAGGATTGTAATTTTAATTTAAAAAAATAACAACTTACCGCTAGTGATGCTCCACATATCTCACATATAACTCTGTCTTTAGGTGAATAGAAAGGCTTCCTCGGATGCTCAGCGTGATGATGCTTCATACATGCCGACTGAGATTCAAAGTGTTTACCGCACTAAAGTCAATCAAGAAATAATATTAATTATTACTATATTCTAAAACAAACTTCCAAATTAGGAAAGTTGTACAAAAATATGTTATCCGCCATTTTGTGATGGTGACAGCGGCCATCTTGGATAAAAAATTATATACTACACATTATGACCCTTTAATTTGATGGTTTATACAAAATTAGCGTCCCGCCATTTTGCTTCGGCGGCTATTATGAATTAACAACAATTATATGTAATCGCACTGTCATCAGAACTAAAGATGTATTTTTCTCAGCTGAATTGGACATAAGCAAGTTGGATCAAATAAGCTTTAAATCACTTAAAGGAAAGCTTAAAAAAAAAAAAAAATCCTTAAAACTATTTCCATATTCACATTCACACATTTTCCGTATCAATATAGTACTATAATGAATAAAATATCCAATATAAGAATATTAGAGTTAAATTGTACACATACACTTAATATACTCACATGTTGACACGTTGTTGGTTTCTTAGCAACTTTCGCTGGTGCCTTGTTGAGATTTCTCTTCCTCACTGCCGATAAAGTCTTTTCCACTCTCGTTTTCCTGGCAAAACATATTTATTTACTAAACTAATATTCTGACTTTTTACAGGCAATACCTTAGAAATGAATCACTAAATCAATATTTTCGCTCACCTAGTATACAATTCCTCCGAATTCTGAAACAAATATAATATAAGAATTCGAAAACATACTTTATAATATCAATAATTCAAGGAAATCACACCCTTGAGCCCACACACACAAGGTCCTATTTACATTATAAATAGAAAAAGAAAAGAATACTCACTTGAATTTCTTCACAGTCTTTTATATCCATATCAACATCATCCTTCATTATTTCTTTCATGGCAGTATCATCTTCAAGTAATTTACTGAAACAAAATGACAAATAAAATATTTTTGCATTCATTATTTATGCCATAAAGCCGACAATAAAAGTGACTTACTCTTCGGTGTGCATAGCAGAATGTAATAGATGTCTGTCATAAGCTTCCGTCGTTTCGAATTTGATTTTACACACGTCACAGTAAGTGTTACCCTCAACGTCGATGTTACCCTTTAAATAAACAAATATTTTCTTTTTAAAATCATGGCGTTGGTTTTCCCCTTATTACATGATACTACTAATACTAGGTGATTTGTAGCTTATTTATTAGAACAGTTCCACGTACTAAGTTACCACAATACTAGGTTAAATACTTGATCCACCAAGTATTACTGTAAATCACACGATTTTCAACCCTACACTAAGATATTAGAGACCATATTTGCATGTGCGTATCATTTCCACCTCTTTGTCGATTCGATTTTCTCCATATATTCGACTTTAATATAAGAGAGTAGTTTTTATCTTTAGGCAACTGCAATAACGTAAATATACTAGGTAGATTAGGTATTTGATGGAGTATTACATAATACTAGGAATAGGTACACTAGTATCAAATTTACCTAGAATAACCCAACTCTAGGCTGTAGCTATAGAAAAAAAAACGAAAAGAACACGCGGTACTCAAACGGCGTCTGAAGCGTCACTGTCACACAAATGAAAGCTGTGTCATTACAAGCTCACGCAAACATAGCGCGGCGCACACAAATGACTAAACTATCTACATAGTAGCATAACAGAGCTGTAATAAACAAAATACTTACAGAATCAGTGATATGTTTCACTTTTTGATGTAAATATAATCCTAGTTCACTGACGAATGATTCTCCACACCGTGGACACATGTGTTTACTTCTGTGCGTGCGTAGATGTGTGTAGAACGTAGACATATGTCTGAACAGAGAATTCTTTTTTTATTAACACATACTGTCATATTCAGTTATACGAAAATTTGCAAGAACAAATTTTATTTCGATAAGAGGAATAATGCCTGGGTAAAAAAAAAGAAATTCTAATTAGTCCGTCTGTCAGATAATAGAAAAATAATGGATGCGTATTTTTTCTAACGCAATTATGGACATTAAAGTTGAGAACTGTTGAGGAAGCATACTAAGTGTCAAAAATATAGGTGTGACATATTGATTACGTAAAAAATATTTATTTATTTATAACCTATAACTTGCCTATTTTGTGGAGCTCGATAGCGCAGTGATCCTTTGTGCTTTAGGCACGTTAAACCGTAGGGCCTGGTTACAACTCTACTAACACTTGAATGGGCCCACGTGAGGAGTCATGGCCCATTCTGCATTTCATACCGTTCATAGGGAATGCCTAAGCCTCAGCAGTGTGGATATTAATATGATATAATAGTTAAAAAATATGCAATATGGCGGAAATGGTAACTTGTACGTGTTTGAAGATAAATTGTAAAAACGTGCGATTTATAATCTGTGAATTACAAGAATCGATACGCAATTGGCCATGACGGAGCATCGTGTGACGTCACATTTCAATAAACTAAACGTCAACGTCTTTGTTGCGGGTGCGTGGGTGAATTGCTATTTAAATAATTCATAAAAATATGTTTTTCATTTATTTAATAACACTTTTTGGAGCGAAATAAAACAGACGTGTTTTAATAGGATTAATAGGATATGAAAGCTTTAAAATTTCGATTTCCTAATACAATCAAATAACCAATTAGGTAGATAACTTATCTTCCGTCAGACATCTTACATAACAATGTTTGATCTTTGAATTTAACCCTAACTCTGTGATTTTCGTGATTTTCTTAGGAGAATACAAAAGATAATCTTTACTTACTTGAATTCTTTATCACAGTGAGGACATTTTCTTATTACGCCATTGTGATACTCTTCATGGAATAATGCAGATTTACTAAAACAAAATGAATTAGAATTACTTATAAAAGTTTTAATTAAAGTGCCTAACTACAAGTGACTTTACTACTACAATATTAATGTTAAACAAATAGATTGTGGTACTCTTTCACGATTACAGGAATCAGTGGCATTCTTTACACATTTATGGTGATTTATGTGGGTATACTCATGGACTTTAGTGTGGTACTTTATCATATTTACCTATGTGCCACTCTTGTCTTACAAACAGGGTTATATGTAGCATTCCGGTATGTAACTTACATGCCTTTATTGAAAATTAAGGGTCTTACGACCGCTGTTATATCGTAAGGTCGTAATGTCAGTGAGCCAGTTAATGTGACAGAAAGCAAAACCGCCTATATTCACAATGAATTATGAATTGCCACGGAGGTAGGGAATGTTTCAATAAACATACAGAAAAAAAAATACTTACTCTATATTACAAACTAAATTACACCGCAGACATTCAAACTTGGTATAGTGCAGTCTCATATGCTTATTCAAAAAGTAAGCTGTCCTAAATCGACACTTGCAGAAGCGGCAAACTAATGGACCTAGTGCCTGTTAATGATGAAACATTAAAAATTATTAATAAATGATAAAACTTAAAAAAAAAAAACTAATTGAAATAAATATAATACTGTTTTCCTTAAATAAAACTTATAATAGGTTATGTAATTGTAGGGTGTATGTATAAGATAAAAATGTCTGTTCAAGGTTAGTATTTGTAAATGAAATGAATTAGGGTGAAATATTGTAAAGCATAATATTAGTTTCGTCGTGTGAATTTTATATTAGTGCAATTGCCATCAATAAAGATCCATACATAATTGAAACATCTTCGAATATCTTACCTCTCCATGTTTTAGTGGTATATGCCTTTCCAACATACTCTTTTGTGAGAAACCTCTATAACAATCTGTACATTTAAAAGCTGCTCTAAGGTACTTTCGATCTTGTGCCTTAGCCTGAAATTCTGCCATGGCTTCTTCATCAGTCAAAAATGATTTCTTCCAAAATCCGGAATCTAAAAACTTAAGGACCTTCGGCTTACCACCTTTTGCTTTTGTGAATTCAACATTTTTTCTCTCTGAAGCTGCATTAGATCTTTTCTTATTAGCTAAAACTTCATCATCTGAGTCGGTTTCTTCATTTTTTTTCTTTTTGCCCATTTTTCGTCTCCTTGTCTGTCTGGTTTTAGACATTTTATTTTCTTTAAGCATCTTACTTTGCTTTGACTTTTTTTTAGTGACTTTTTCTACTTTTGGAGGGTCAGATTCAATAACATCATTTTCAGTAGCTGGGAAGATCTCTGTGTTATCAGCATTATCTACAGCTAAAACCAATTCCGGTTCAGGCTCAACATGTTCAATATTATCAACATTATCACTGATACATTCAGAATCCATATATGAATGGTCAGAGTAATCGATTGCATCAATTCCTTTAATATCATTTGAGTCTTCTTCTTCATCATAAGTGTGTTTTAATATTAAAGTATTTACTCTTTTGTTTCTTTTTACAACTTCCAAAGTGCCATACATTAGTTTAGGATTTTGTTTTGCCTTTATTCTATTGACAGCTGATTGGGTTACCTGAAAAAAAAAAATGTCAAACCATGTAATTTTGAGCTACACATACAGATTACATAAATAAATTCATACATAATTCATGGTTTTATACCCCCTCCCCATCCTTCTCACTGGTTGTCACACTTATTAGTCTCCCTCTTTCTAGTGTCGTATATTTTGCAAATTTACACTCAGAAACCTTTAATATTTATTAAATATTATATTTAATTTTGTGACATCACGAAATTAAGGTCAGTGTTGGGCGTTAATCAATAATATATTAATCTTAATATTGAAATTTTGATTGCAATTAATCTGTTCATTGCAGATCGCAATTAATTTATTAAAATTAACTCATATTAATTCCAAGATGCAATTAAAAATTCAACGAATATTTTCAACTGTTTTCAGAAACAATTAAAACTAGCAATTAATTATCACTTTTCACAATTTCTTATTTCTTATTCGTCCCGATTTCTTATTCATAAGATAAGTGTCGTTCACAAAGGCCAGTAACAGGATGGGTAATCAATATCTTTTATTGGGCTGAGCAGGGTGGGGCGGGACATTCCTCCTTTCTTTCTTTCCTTCCTTTCTGTCTATCCTTCCTTTTTTCTCTCTGTCTTTATTTATTTCTTTTTTACTTTTTGTCTTCCTTTCTTTCTGCCTTATTCCTTTCTTTCTTTCACTTGCTTAGTAGCGAGTAAAGAAAATTTTGTCATCTATCCGATTAGCGATCTTTGTAACGTCGCTCCTCAATCGCAGACGCGCTCAACGCTCTAGCCACTTCAACATCGAGGCAATCCACCCAGCAATACCACCTGGGCCCGCGTGTAGGTCCCAAGTCTGATTGGTGGCGCTAAAGCCCAGATATTCGTCATAGATGATCAATCCACTTAGCATTCCCAACTGGGCTCACGTGTAGGTCCCATTACGGATTGGTGATGCCTAAGCACATATATTCTTAATGGATTGAACCAATTCACCCAGCATTCTTATTTCGGCTATATAGGAGGATGTTACCATATTTTTTTAGCCAAATTGAATATATTTCGATATTATGGTGCTCAACTGAATCGCTCGATTTTACTGAACAGAAAATCAAAAGCAACTCAAGCGTTCGATCGTCTTCAAATGCACTTCGATGTCGAGGAGGTTTTTTATCAATAATGACAGATTGCGCAATCTCATGAGTAAACACTTGCGATTCTCTATATATTTATAAAGGGCGCGCAATTCATGCGGTATCTCACGCATCGATATTGAACTACATCGCATCAAGTTATGAGTAAAAATCTTACTCCCATAAAGATAGATTTAGAACGGCCAGGAGCCCAACGCTTCCTGTTGACTACGCAAGATCATCAGTTAATCTTATAGAAGTCCTGTCCTGTGCCACCCCCCCCCCCCCCCCTCCCATCTTATATTAGTTCTTTTACAATGCTTAATTAACAATTAATCAATTGTCAATTGACAGGTGTACTCATCACATCACCACACATTTTTTCAATTTAAAATACAAGAATAAGTATGATACAAAAAATACTGTGAAAAAACTTCTTAAATATTTACATAAATAAAAAAGCTATGGGACTTTGAAGTTGCGCTCGTTAGAATAATTTCACTACACGCGGTACCTTCGCGTGTGTTGATGCTTATTTTCAATAGGAGATTAGGGTCTGTCATTGGTTTATCCAGTACTGCACGCACATTTCCATTGGTCGACAGGGCCCGCATGCGGAGCGTGGTGATTTCTGTGCTTATTTTCATTAGACGGTCATTGAATCTCATTTATTTACACACTAGTGCAAGTTCATTTACATTGGTCGAAAGTGCCCGCATGAGAGCGCGGACGATTTCTACGTTTATTTTCAGTAGGCGATCATTGACCGTCATTAGTTTACTGCAAGCTCGTTTACATTGGTCGATAGGGCCCGCATTCGGTGTGCGGTGTTTATTCTGCTTATTTTCATTAGACGATCATCAACTGTTATTAGTTTTGCTGACTAGTGCAAACTCATTTATATTGGTCGATAGCGTCGATTTCCGTACTTATTTCTATTAGTGTTTGACTGGAACTGAAAGATTTTATCACTTGAACTATGCATGCGGGCCCATCGACTAATGTAAATATTCCAATATAAAAGTCAACAGTTAATGCAAAAATCGATAACGGGCGAACACTTTAGCTATTGCATCATCACTTCCAATGATGTAAAATGTGAGGGCATCTCCCTTCCCTCCCCCTAACTTTTAAAATAGAAGATTGGAATACCTGTGTAAAAATATGCTGTAAACTCCAATGAACATTTTCAAAAAAAACTTGCTTAGAAGGGTAAAGCCACATTTTGAGATATAGTACATTTACAAAAACCGCAAATAGGTATTACTTTGTCATTCATACAATCACTATAAAAACGTAACAAAAACAAAGTATTAAAAGTATTGGATATGTTATATGGTATGAAAATGTAATAATTCCATGGAATCCTCAGTGCCCAAGTCTGACTCACACTTGCCTTTTATACACATTTAAAGGAATATCTTTACCTTTCGCAGGTTATAAAATATTTAGTCTTCTTCTTCTTATTATTATTATAGAATAAAAAAAATAAATGTCTATTAATAACTAAAAAGTAAAGCCAGAGTACCCAATAAGTAGAAAATAATTAAGTATTTTGTAAGACTTATATTTAATTTGTAGTGCAACAATCTCCAGTTTGGTGCTGTGACATCACAGGCAAGTCGGGGGCAAAAGATATTCCGTGTGAAAACATGCAGTTTCAAATAATCTATAACTTAGTCATTTATTCATGTATTTTAATGTTGTTTTTTGGTTTATTTTAGTTTTTATCTGTATTTTTATCATATTGTTTTGAATATAATAATATCAACATCATGAAACTTCCTAATCGCAATTAAATTTTGCCCAGACACTGCTTTATGCCACTTGTCATACTCCCCTACACATGTGACTGACCACTTAATAACCAATTTAAGAAATTTCTCAAGAGTGCTTTATAATCATTGTGTTACATATGCTATATTTTCTTCTTAAAGTCTGAGTGGAAGCAGCTAAAGCAGAATTCAGTTTAGTGAGCATAAAATGAGCAAAACTTACCTTTCCATTCCAAAGCATATCTGTCAGTGCTTTGTGACTATAATGGCACTTTTCTTTGAATAAATGAAACTTATACAATGTTGCAGCACATTGATAACAAAAGTACTGAGGCAGCCCATCAACTTTCTCAATCTAGAACCATTACACCATATCTTTTTTTTAATGTGTGACAGTAAAAATATCAACTAGACAAGAAAATATGGTTCATAATTATCATGATAATTATAACGTCTATACTCATTGATAATAAATGAGAGTATCTAGATTTTATTAACATTAAAAGAAATATCAAAATGAATAAAGAAAACCTTATGTAAGTACTAAGCACAAGACAAGATGCATAAGTTACATTTACACAAAAATTTATATAATCCAATATACAAACACAAAAACCAATATCCTTAGTATTAGCTATACAAGAGTTGGCACACTATCTGTTCAAATTTGTAGGTCATAATAAAGTTATAGGTGCTTATATTGTGTTAACATTTACTATTATGCTAGTAAATATGTACTAATTAAACTTTTAAATGTTTATTTAATATTATACACTTAGAAGTAGAAAATATAGTGTCGTAACACTATTATTTGCATAAATAAAATAAAAAACTACAATTTTCATCAAGTTATTTTACATATAATTGAATATTACCTTATTTTTAGTAAAAATAGTAAATAAACTATCTTAAAAACTTACTGGCAAAGCCATGATTTCCTCATAGTATTTTTTAAGAAAATACTTATCCATTTTATAAAATTTTCTTTCATCCCGGAGGCATATTCGACATACTTGTAAATCAAACATTTTCGATTTTCAGCCTAAAGTGACCATTTCTTATTTCTTAAACAGAAAAACAATATATCAAAACCATTTTCTTTTTGTCTCTTTCTTTCTTTCGTCTGGCATAATGTCAATTAGGGATGCTCAATGCTTAACTTGAACTGAAACTTTTAGACAATTGAATATGATAATAGGATATACCGATTTTTTTTAATTGATTGATAGAATCACATTTAATCAATTGCCTGGAAGATCGTATGGAAAAATCGTTGTTAAGACACTGACTACAGAGTGAATATTTAAGACAAAGTAAGATCACGCCTAACTCTTTTCATTGTTTGTCATTAGTTTCGTATAACTTAAGACTGCGGGTATAATATATGAAATGAAGAAATACATTAATACTTCACAAAAAGTAATGCGATTCAGATTGTTAATGGATTCCCGAGGTCATGATCCTAAAGATTGGGTATCCCTATTGTCAATATTACTGTAAAGGCGGAAAAAGTAGAAACCCATTTATGAGTCCTATTGTATTATTGTTATGCTTATCAACAATTGTATCACTTTACGTGTAAAGGCCACCAACGTGACATTGGCGGAATGGTATCCACTAGGGATGAAATAGATACAATTTAAGTATAGATACTTTTACTCGATACCATATCGGTTATGAAGTAGGTAGGATACCGTATCTTTACGAACTCAAATTGAAAAGTATCGATACTTACTCGTATCGAATACTTTAAATTGCCTCACCATAGTCATCATATTTATAAATTTTTAAAGCAGATTTGATACAGTCAATAACAATTCTCTGTTTACGAAAGAAAGACAAGCAGTTCTAGGCATAAAAAGTGATGCGTTAAGTATTGCTTTAAATTTTCGTTGACAGCTCTACAGATAGATCTTTGACTACATCAAATTAGTACCAGGTGTTAGTAATGCTTATTGACATACAATTAGAACGCCGTGCTAGTGGGAATTTTTCATGAGACAGAGTTTCGACTCTTTATGACAGTGCAAACAGTCAAGCACGCGAGTTTTTTGACTCTCCTCAGTGTATATCCGACCAAGTACTTATACAATAACTTACTTTACGATGATACTAATTAAACGGTTCGAAAGTATCGTTACCAAAATATTTGATATCGAAAGAAAGAACTTGTATTTACTCGTTCATACCTAAGTACTTTCTTTGAACGAGTAAATACAAGTGTTTTTCCATATATATACTTTTAATCTCTGGGTTTATCCCTAGTGTAAACGCAATAGAGGTGGCCAAGCCAAACGAAAAAAAATCGATATGTATCGTATCGATATTTTTAAATATATTGATAAATAGCTGACCCGACAGACTTCGTCCTGTCAAAAAGATTTATAATGTGGCAGTTTTTTTGCCTACGTATTTAAAAAAATTCTCCTGAACAGAACCGTCACCCTGGTGATAGGGCGTTGTGAATAAAAAATAATTAAATAAAACATATATAAGGATTTAAAAGTAAGTAATCGCTTTATTGTTAATCATGTGAATCATAATTATTATTGCAATGTATTAATAGTAATAGTATTAAATATAGAAAAAAGAGATTTTTATGATCATAAAAACACATTACACACAACAGCATTATAAAAGTAAACTATTCGAATTAAAAAAATATATAAACATTCTCAAGGAAAAATGCTGGAAGAATCCATCTACCTGTACCCCGGAATGGGACTCGAACCCATTCGCGATCCAGGGACTGCTCTAACCAATGAGCTATCTAGGACCCAACAGCTTTGCTACTACAGAGCGTATTTTCATCAATGTGCCGGCAATACATGTAATGACGTGGAAACTGATGCATTTTATCTCGCGTGCCGAAACTAATACAAAAGAAACGCGAGTTTCGGAACGCGACATTAAACTCCTCCAACTATGTATTCTGTGCTCCAACGCACACACGCACATTGTTTTGATAGATATGATCTTTGACGTTAGGAACACACCTACATTGCTTAGACAACAGTGAGTGCTTGTAATTTAATATGAACTTTATACCATAGCAATAAAGCTCAAATTGACTACGTTTTAGTTACAAATCATTTGTATGGGAAAAAGAAAAGGGCTATTTTTAGGGTTTTTCCAGCAATAATTCTAATTGCCGTAAAAACCATCCTTGAACTTCAACGAACATTTTAAAAAAAGATTTGGCCAAATTGGTCGAGGCGTTGTTGAGTTATGCGCTTACCAACACATTTTGCGATTCATTTTTATATATATAAGATATTGACATAAAATATCGATATTTTTGCGTTATAAGAGATTGTCTATAAAAATTGTCAAAACACTCGAAATTTTAAAGCAAATACACACCTGGCGGTTTTGACATCAGTATTATTATTTAAAATAGAAACATAAAGCCAAGAAAACCACATCATCAACACAAAAAAAAAATTACATTTTTCAAATAAACCAGTATTTGTCTGATATTAACATCAGGATCACTCTCAGTGATACCAACAAGCAGTGTCATTGTCATTGACAAACAAAAAAAATAAGCAGGTCATAGACTGTAATTTCTAAACTTATACAGCCTACTAACTACATACCTACTCTTGTTCTAAACTTAAGAAATACATGATGAGACTCATGAGTAGACAACAGAACTTTAAAAATATATCGATTTTGATACGAATTTAATATCTGAAAATAAATATCGCAGTTGATATATCGCGTGAAAATATATCGTAGATTTTTATAGAAAACATATCGATATTTTAATTTATCGATAGTTTTTGCCCAATCCTAAAACGTAAACAAAAACATACGAAAGCTTATTTTGCGATTGATTTCGGTTTGTGGAATTTATGCCAACAACATTAGAAAAAAATTTGATTTTGTTTTGAAAGGTAACTTAATAATTAATTTACAAATATGGATGATTTAAAAGTATGTAGAATATGTCTTCGGACTGATAAGTTTGCGAAATATTACAAATTGGAGGAGTTTTACCTGAAGTGTTATTATGAAGAAATTACTACTATTCCGGTGAGTAAACCATCTGTAATATCCACTACAGAGTGAGTATAATTCGACGGCTAAGTTTTTCTTATAGGTACATTACAAAACACCTGTTTTAATATTGTTTCCTCCTGTCGTTCCCTTTCAAGGACATTCAAATTTTAAATATTCAAAGCTAATAGTATTTTTATCGCGATATCAAGTAATATTATTAAATATTTATCTGAATCAATGGTCTTCATTTTTATATTACAATGGGAAGCATTTTTTACAGCTATTCTGGTGTTTCTTTTTATTATCATTTTAGTTACCTTATATTGATTCTTCATTCTGCCAATAAGAACTCTAGTTTTTTTTTTGTAATCTATTAAATAAATATTCACCTGATTTATTATCTAAAAATCGTGTAGAAAAATAAGTGTAGAAATTCTATTAATCCTATTTTTGTATAAAAATACAAAATAAGATAGATTGATTCATAAATGTATCAGATATTCTATTCCTATGTCATTTCAAAACTCATTTCTCTGATGCCCAGTAAGATTATTACAAATTCAAGGTTGAGGGGCTACTGCTTTTGAAATGAATTCGGACAACTGAGTGACTTCGAATATGTACAGAACTGAATGACATTCAAAAATAGCTAGGTATATTTATATCTAAGAAGTTGTTATTGGATTATTAATAGATCTCAATATGATATACAGTAGAATCAAATGTAGAATCTCAATTATCTAAAGCTTGGTCCCTCAAGATTAGTTTAAATATTAAAGGATTAAAAGTTAGTATAATTAAAATGTGGGTTTGTAAAGACAAATCAAAATTATTTTATATAAAAACAGTGTAGTATATTCAAAATTGATATACATATAAGAGTTGAAAAATAAAACACTTAGGTGTTGCTATTTCAGAGTGAGACAGAAGTTTGTCATGGGCTATATGTACCATGCACAGCTTAAACATACACATCAAGCTAGTTTAGATAATTCAAATTCAATTTATTCAGTATAGGGCATTTAATATTACATCTTTGAGCCTTGAGAGTTTAACAGTGCTAATTATAAACAAGGTTTAGCATCAAAGTAAATTTACGCTAAAATTGCAATTTTAGTAGTGGTCTGTATTCTTATTACACAGAGAATGAGCAAATCTACTACCTTCTAGGAGCAAATATTACTCCCGTAGATCCTTGTACTAGATTAATCTTTGTTATGTCTCTGTTTTATAATATGAATTTTAACTAATACAAAGAGCAGTCTTACTCTAAATATACTCTAACACTTAACCTTGTTTCTAAGTAGCACTGTTAAAATTTTTTTTTGTCTAATTTTTTATCACACATATTCCTAATAGAGACCTTAAATAAAGCAATATACTTTGAATAAATTATTATGCTAAATTTGACAACCAACTTAGAATTTTTTTTAAATTATTAATTTCTTAGAGACTTTTATTTTAAATGTGATGTATTGATAGTATACCATAATAGGGTATTTGACACTATTAAAAATAAGTTGCGTGGTGTGATCATACAGTTAGATAACAATTGAATGACGTTTATTGCTTAGAATCTGCAAATAAAATATGTTTAGCTTTAGTAATATAATATACAGAAAGTGCAATCTTTTTAAGGAATTTTTATGAACGACTATGAGCTGGTTGTCATTGCAAGCAAAAACCAGGAAGCTGTCATGTCAAAAAAGTGTTATTAGAGATATGCAAAATTTATATTTATACATACAATTTTTAGCTCATTTTTTATAAACAAAACCAGATTCCCATGAAAAATATTGACAGTGTATTTATAATGTATTAAACAACCAATTAAAAAAGCTTTCAGAAAAGTGTCAAATACCCTATTATGTTTAATCTTTTGTAGGTCACTAATAATGATGGTCTTCCAAAATACTTTTGTTATCAATGTGCAGCAATACTCAATAAGTACCATTTCTTCAAAGAGAAATGCTGTTTTGCACAGCAAACACTTAAACATATGGCAAGAACAGCTCCAGTGAGTAGATACTTAATATATGGTACTTTTTCGAATTTTCGCAATGAATTTTGACCTCTATGATCAATGTTTTAAAATTTAAATTCATGTGCAGAAACTTGATAATTATGTATATGACATGCTGTTGACTGTACACTTATTTATAGTTCACAACTATGTTATTCTAAGGATACCAAAAGTATGATATATTTTTATGAATCATGATGATTAAGTTCAAGCAATATTCAATTAGGTTTAAAATTTAATTTGTTTTTTGTAGCTTACCTATGATAAAATATGCAATATGTATTCGAGACAGATGCAAATTATAAAACGTGGTAATATAGAAATTATAAAAGCAAATAAAAAAGTGAAAACTTACAATATTGAATTTCAAAAAGAAAGACTGAAGTCCAAAATAATGACATTAAATATAGATCGCAACTGTGATAATTTTGAAAGCAGCAATGATTTTTATGCTGTTAGTAATAATTGTTCAGATAATGACATGCCATTTAATGAACTATCTTTAGGACTTAAAACAGAAGACAGTTCAGTAAGGATTATTTGTCAATTAGAAGAAGAATTAAATGACAAACTAGAAGAAGAGCCAGTTGTGTCTGAATCAGCGAGAGAATTTGAAGAGAAGAGAGAAGAACCTAAAATAGTGAAGAAACTTTTATTAAAGCAGTCTAAAAACAAAAAGAGTACATCTGTTAACAAAAAAGCATCAAACATTACTCATGAGCCAGAGACTAGGAAACGTAAGTTTACAAAATCAAAGAATGGTAAGTTGAAAGTTCTCCAGTTTCTCGATTCTGGTTTCTGGAGGAAAATTACGCTCACCGAGGAGGAAGCTTTGAAGGAATTTCAAGCTAAAAGACAGAACGCGAAATATTTGCATGCAGTATATAAATGTAATGATTGTTATAAAGGATTCTCACAGGAAAATATGTTGAATGTACATCTTCTAAAAAAACATGGAGAGGTAATTACTACAACTGTTAATAATTAATAGTAATGAGGTAGGTCAGAATCAGAAAAACAAAGGGAGCTTGCCGCATCAGCAACCTGCTAGTGCCATATACATTTTATTATATTTAGAATTACATATTATCGTTACTAGGAATACATATCGATTCATGTCTCAATTGGCAAGCTCAAGTAAGTAGTGTCTGTCAGAAAGTAACCGGAATATTGCAAGCGCTTTATCGCCTCAAAAATTTCTGCCAGATAATATTAATGCTATGTCTGTGCAGACCTTAATATTTCCCATAATCGACTGTGGTGATGGGTGCTACCTCGACCTGAATGCAGATCTACTCAACAAATTTGATCGTCTCCTCACTGCATTCGGTTCGTATTCAATCTTAGAAAATACGACCATGTGTCTGCATATCGTTCAAATTTAAAATAGATGCCCATCCGGCAGCGACGAAGAATGCGGGATTTAACTACCTTGTTTTCTTTACTGAACTCTCCAAACGTTCCTTATCTTGCCTGTCACTTCTAGTACTTATGTACCTCTCACACCAAAACTCATCGTTCCTCTTCTAATCGTCTACTCTGTTCATTTCATCACTCCGAAATTATTCACTTTTCGTTCTTTGTTAAATCTATTATTTTGAATGAATCCCACCCTATCCCATTTGATATGAGAATGATCATTAGTAAATTAGCTTTTAAAAACAAGTTGCGTAACTTTCTGTTGGAACAAGCAGATGTATTAAATCATTATTCGTCTTTATGTGTATGTATTTGTTTATTTAATAATATATGTTTAGACAAAAGACTGGTACTGGTTCTTCAACAAAACGTTGAATACAGCACAATATATATACGCATGCTGTAAAGGTATGCATAGTCTATAGGTAGTGTTAATTTGTTTTATGTATGTACATGGTATATGTAAGTATACTCATAGTAAAATCTTTTCCTACAAAATTTCCCCACCGACTATTTGTCTCCACATCATCCTAAAGTTGACTGGTAGATCTGCCTAAGGCATTAAGTCCGCCATTGTACATTTGTAGCAAAATTAATCAAAATATACTATAGAATGGTCGCAGACAAACACGCTCAACACTACGCCATCAAGGTCTTTAGTTTATGTAAATTATTTTAACAGGCAGTGGGTTCGATCGTTTGTCGATTCTGCAAGACGCGCTTCAGGCGGGCTTGTTTCCTCAGCGAGCATATGAGACAGCATCTCACCAAATATGAATGTTTGCGGTGTGACCTGGTGTGTAATGTCGAGTCAGTATATGTTTTGTTACTCATTTGTATGTTTTAAATTTACCTTCTTAATATTCTTACTAGATTTCCGCCAGCGGCTACCTCCGCATGGTCTTATATTATACATATAAATCTTCTATTTGAATTACCCTGTATATTGATGGAAACTGAATTATAATCTGTTGTGTAGTTTAAAAGATCTCGCCGTACAGACGGCGGGAAGCGTGTTTGTTTTATACTATATATTATTATAAGACAAATAAGAAATATTTAGCATTTTATCACTCATATATAATTTTTTCAGAACAACTGCAATGCTTCATGAACAGTATCATAATGGTGTGATCAGAAAATGCCCACACTGTGATAAAGAATATAAGTAAGTAAGTATATAAAGTAGTTGAAAAAAGAGTCTTGTTACAATAATCATAAGTTGTCAAATACAACGCAGTAGATTTCCCGATGGCACGATACTTGAATCTTCTTCTCTGGCCTTATCGCTATGCGGGGTCGGCCCCCTGATATGTTTCCGCCATTTTTGGTGATTTTGAGTCATATCTGAGCTAAAGCCCAACGTCTTCATAGAGTCTAGCTAGTAAGTGAGCGGTTTGTACCTCTTTTTCCCATATGTATGACCATGACGGATCATATAACTTTTAATGCGTTACATAACATGTATTTAGTTTTTTCTTTGCTGACTCTTTTTCTTTTTCTTCTCGAAAGCATCACACCAAAACGATAGTTCCGCCTGTGCATCTTGTATGGATTCCGCTATTAGATCTATGTCATCGGTGTAAAGTAATATGCATTGTGCTGATCTCTGCAGGTGCTTTGTTACATATTTGATAACGATTTTAAAAAGTAGTGGTCTAAGAGCTGAACCTTGATGTACGCCAATTCCTTCTTCAAATAGCTTAGCTGTGCCAACACGAGTGCCCACCTGGGTTTTTATTTTAGTATACATATCTTGAATGAGCAGAATGTTTTTGAAAAAGGCAGAAATTAATGTATTCATGACTTCAAAAGTACTCGCCCGATTTTTATGAAACAAGAACAGGTGTATTTTTAAATGTAAAGATTACACGGACACGAAGTTTCAAGGGATTTGACGAATCCATTGATATTCCTCATTATTGCCCAATTTTCAAAATTCTTTATTCGACAGCTTAATGTACCGAGGTTCAATTTTATAGAAATCGAATCGGTAGTTTTTCTTTTAGAGTAAGATCCCAAAGCGATCTGACATAACTTATTTTTAAAAGCATAGAACTTTCGATACTAGGTAGTCTCTACATGTACTTTTAATACCTGCGTAGGTACTTGTAGAGTTCGCTCGGTGACACCTGGGCAAGTACCAGATGAGAAAGGTAGCTAAAAATCAGCGTTACTTTACTTATTTTTTAATATCTGATTTTTAAATATATTATGTAGAATGTTATTCTGAAGTAAAATTAAAAGTATCAGACGCTTTCCATGGGCCAGAACTTTTTTCAGACGCTTTAAAGCTCCGTAAAAAATAAATTGACTTTACTTATTTTTAAATGTCTGATTTTAAATACATATGTTATTAAGATAACTATTACAAAGCTATATTTAATCAATCAGACAAATTGTGATGACCAAACATCCCCAAAACAATAAAATTATGCAATCATTAGTATGAGCGCGAGAGCACTATTGCATGAGCAACAGAGTAAAAAATCAAAATATTAAAAAAAATACTGCTTTAAATTTCGGTTCGGTTCAGCTCGGTGGCGTAGTGGATAAGCGCCGCGGCCCGCGATCGTAGTCGTTAAGCAACTTTCGCAAGGGTCGGTCACGGGATGGGTGACCAAAAATGATTATCTCGAGCTACTCCGTTCTTCGGAAGGCACGTTAAGCCGTTGGTCCCGGCTGCATTGGCAGTCTTTAATATCCTCCAATCCGCATTGGGCCAGCGTGGAGGGTCATGGTCCATCCTCCTTAACCATCCATAAGGAAGGCCTGAGCCCCTGCACTGGGGACATAAAAAGGGCTGGTAATGATGATGATGATGAGGTATGTCAATCGATTTATTGTTGAATTGTGAACCAATTTCTATCAAATTAGCTGTTTCCCCGCGACTTCGCCTGTGTAAATTATAGTCTATGCCAAACGCGTATAATGTGGCTTCCTACAGATAAAAGACTTATAAAAAGACGTCCATAGGTTCGGAGCCTATCCAATGCAAACAAATAAGCAATCAAATCTTTCCTATTTATAATATAAGCATAGAATTATTGAAAAAGAATATGTGATTTTACGTTTAGTTTGTACGTAACTTAATAATGTTGTCTCCAGACATCTGTCAACATTCTACACTCACCTGCGTACACATCGCAGTAATCATATGTGTTCACTCTGCGGGAAATCTTTCGTCAGTCCGTTAGGTCTACATCAGCATAAAAGGCTGAAGCATGTCATCGAACCGGTACGTAAAATTTCCCTCTATCCTCCTGCAGCCTGGTTTTAAAAAAGGTACTCGCGAGCAAGACCAAGAGTCCTAATATTAGAACAAATTTAATATAGTCCTGAATGCTCAGATCCAAATTTTTATATCTCTGTAAGCACAACAAATAAAGGTGTCACATTTTAGGGGCATTTAATCATTGAAATTAAGCTTGGCAGATGACCAAAAATATTTAAGACCAAGTCGCTACTTTAAAACTTGGGCCGTCACTGCAAAGTCATTTTGTTCTAGTATTAGTACTTTGGACCTCAGGAGGATATCATAACATCAGCAAATGCCCTGAAGCTTGATGGACAATAGGCGGTTAATCTGGTTAATACCAGATTGTACGTGTATAATAATCTAACCGTTTATAAGGATTATTTCCACACTAGTTTCCAGCACTGAATAATCAAAATTACATTTGGTGGCTACAATTACACAGTCAAAGCATCGGTTTCCGAAAATTGTTTGTAGCACGTGTAGTCCGCATTCTATCCTAATAGAACTTGTCTCGTGTTGAATTATACTGTGCAGTCAACAGTACGCCAGTTTTTATATAAAACTGACAAATTTTTCAGCTTGATTTTAAATCTTAATGCATCAAGCTTTTATAATTCAAAATCAATTGTGGAAATTTGTATTGTGCTGACCTGAAGTACTATTTTCTAATGTTGAAATCAGGGCTTGGAAACCGGTTTATGTTTTTAACCGCTTCGACTAAATCGTAACTTTTCAAAATAGTTGTGTATTTAACCGGCTTGAACTAGTACACTAAAAAAACTTTTCGAGGTGCAGGCGTTACACGTACAATGAGACAGATTAGGGCATTTCAAATGGAGTAAACCGGTTTAGTTCTTCGGTACAAAATGTTACATGAAAACCGGTTTTATTTAAATAATAACTTTTTACTGAATCAGTTTAAAGCCCCGGTTGGAGCGTGATATTTCAATAGTCGTATTTTAGTTTTTGGACTTGTTGTAAGTAAGATTTGAAGTATTTTTATTTATTTATTAGGATAATCTAGTAACGAACGGTGAAAACAAGATACAAGAGGCGTACAGGAAACATCTTTTGGATTCAAACATGCACACAAACAAGTGAGTATTAAGGCCGAGCGTAAAGGCAGAAGAGAAAATAAGACGTAGTTTACGCAATAAGATAGGCATAGACAGAAGTATAATTGTTTAAGTTCAATATATCATCACGTATATTGGTCAGTTCATTAACTAAGTGGCTATAGTCCTTGTGTTATGGAAATCCAAAATAGCTGAAGGTACCACAACACCCAGTTACTTGCTTTCAAGGTACACTTTGAAACCGGCATGCGAACCATTCTGCTGGAACTGGGGCTTACTTGGAGGTTGCTACAGTATGGTATAATGAATTCTTATGCGTAACTAGAACTTTTTTTTATATATAGCCCGTCTAAAGTAAAGAAGACGTCAGTGGTTAGAAAGACAAACTTGCCAGCAGAGGCCAGCGTGGGGTGGACGAACCAATATACCATATATCGAAACGTATGTAAAAATGATAATAAATAGACAAAATAAAAGTTAACTGAACAATAAAAAAAATCTAATGTCTACTAAAGCGATATTAAGCCATATGAAAAAAGTGTACTTATAACATTTTGCCTATATTTAAATGAAAAATAAAATAAAAAGTCTTATGTTATTTTTTATCTCTATTAACCACAGTCTTTAAATCAAATCGATATATTTTTTTCTTCAAGTAGCTTAATTCAACTCAGCTTCACAGAAATGGTTTAAAAATCACTACACACTATTGCAACAGGGATGACGACTGGGTAAAAAAAATTATTAGTCCGTCAGTCAGATAATAGAAAAACATTGGATACTTATTATTTTTTACTTCAATTTAACAAGAAACTTAGAAAACAGGCATTAAAGAGGAGTGGGGGCTCGCTACGTCACAGTGTTGTAGAAAATGTACAAAAGCGTGACGTCATTTGACATTTAAACTCAATGTATCGTTGTAATTTAATGATTACGAAAAAAATAAAAAATGCGATTTAATGTTTTTCAACAATTTACCCGATGGAAATTACTCGTCATCCCTATTTACAAAAATAATTGTGTAAATTAACGTTTTTTTTTAAAGGAAAGCGTCGACTTTGAATGCATCACTTACTGCGATGTATGTAAAATTAAATTTGAAACGACAGAAGCTTATGATATACATCTGATACACTCTGCTATGCACACTGGAGAGTGAGTCCCTTTTATTTTCGAGTTTGTGCTATAAATTTCAATCGAAGGTTATTTTATTTCTTATTTTCTTTCAGTAAATTATGTGAAGATGACATGAAAGAAATTAAGAAAGATAATGTAGATATCGATATAAAAGACTGTGAAGGAATTCAAGTGAGTTATTCTTTGTATAGTGTTTGTATAGCTTAGTGGCGTAGTGGATAAGCGCCGCGGCCCGTGATCGTAGTCGTTAAGCAACTTTCTCAAGGGTCGGTCACGGGATGGGTGACCAAAAATTATTATCTCGAGCTACTCCGTGCTTCGGAAGGCATGTTAAGCCGTTGGTCCCGGCTGCATTTGCAGTCATTAATACCCTCCAAAGCGTGGCCCATCCTCCTTAACCATCCATAAGGAAGGCCTGTGCACTGGGGACGTAAAAAGGGCTGATGAATCTTTGTATAAAAGTAAAATATTAAAATATATTAAAATAGTAAAATATATATATGGTTAAGGAGGATGGGCCACGCTTTGGAGGGTATTAATGACTGCAAATGCAGTCGGGACCAACGGCTTAACATATACATATATATTAATGTATACTTGATGGAAAATTCTTAAAAAATCCACTTTTCCCCTGATGCCTTTCGCGATCCGGGCGACTGCTTTTAAGCATTTTTTATTAAGAATACTTATATTCCAGTATAGCATTGTGAATGAAAAATTGATCAAATATAATAAATATATTTTTATACTTAAACATAAGTCACAGTTGAATTTTTGATTTTAACATAAGAAGAATTATAGATTCCTTATTTTATATTTCAGAATACGGAAGAACAATGTATTAGGTAAGCAAAAATTTAATTTTGCCATACAGGACACTTAGAAAAAGGTTATATATTTTTCCAATTTGTATTAATTTAAAAACACAACTTTCAAGGAAGACGACAGTAGGAAATACTCTATCGGCAGTGAGAAAGTCAAATCTCAACATTCCGCCATCTAAATATTCGAAGAAACCATCAACATGCCAACATGTGAGTATCCACACAACATGTACAATTCAAAACTTATTTTGCCTTTTTTGTCTTCACTAGGGGTTAGATAATACCTAAAATCTGATGTTGGAACTTGAAGATGGCAGGGCCGCATTGAGGGTGAATGTGTGGCGTCTAAATTATCATAATATAAACTTTGGTGTCGCTTAATTTGTTTATCTTATCCAAGTCAGTCAAAGATAAAGCGGTTTCCGGTAGATAAAAGCCTTTGAGTTATGGACGTTCTAAATCAATATATAATACTACAGACGACCTCCGTAGGCGAGTGGTTCGCATGCCGTTTCAGGGTGTTGCCATCTCTGAGGTCCCGAGGCAGATTCCCGGACGGCTCAATGTAGAAAATGAACTATTCTGTATTATCTCGGGTCTGAGCTGGGCTGGGGTACTCCATAATACGGGGGCTTTAGCTACTAATCATGGAATCTGAGCGATGTATGTGATTTTGTCAAATATTTGTTTATTTAAAAATCTTAAAGAATGACGACGGTAGTTAAGTATCGTAATTAAAAATTATCCGACACAAGTAAATATTGATTCTTTTTATTCGATAGTGAGTAGGTATCGATACCTCATGACTGATACGATATCACGTAAAAGTATCGATATCTAGGTGGCATCATTCATCCCTATTTAAAACTGACTTCAATGAAACTTTTATTTAAAAATGCTTTTCATAAATTTTAGTGTGGGAAACATTTTGAAACTAAGACGGCATGTTTGAAGCACCATCACGCTGAACACCGGAGGAAGCCTTTTTATTCGTCTAAAGACAGAGTTGTATGTGAGACTTGCGGAGCATCGTTAGCGGTGAGTTGTTATTTACTTTTTTTATTTATTGTTAGAAACTGCCCCGTTTATACCTCGTTCTCCACCAATCGGGCGATGAGAGAGATGTATTTATCCTTCTTCTTATAGTCCCTTTCCGGCTAGTTGGCCGTCAGTTTAGCATACTCCTCTCGAACTTTGGCAAGGTGAAACAACTGGGCTGCCTCGTAACCGCAGTCCACTCCCTGATGTTACGAAGCCACAATATTTTATATTTTTATTTTATAGATATACATGAAATATGTCTAAATACAGCGTGTTTGGTAATACCTGTATAATCCCGAATATGGCACATACGGTATGATGAATAGAACCCAGAAAAATGATCACTAAGTCTGAAACCCAGCACATGACCTAGATATTCAGCTTTTTTTCTTCGAAGTAAAACTGTACGCTGACAACCCTAAAAACAGCTGTTGTGTTGTATTTGGTCATCGACTCCATGTGCCGAACTAGTTTAAAAAATATCAGAAGTTAAATAAATCTAAAGATAAATGCCTAGAATAAATATGCATCCGAGAGTAATTTATTATTTCCAAACAAAGAAAAAGTAAGTAGTAAATGACTTTTAACCATAAAAAAACACTAATCTTGTGATTAGCGGTGTTTCTAAAACTATTATTAAGAAAATTTCTCTAATAATACAGTCAAAATAAAAAAGAAATTGCAAATACTTTGATTGAAGTTCAATATCTGCACCATTGCTCACATTAGTCTATGCAAGAGGAGCGACAGAGACATAAAATCGACGACGATGTGTATTGAGAAACTCGGGTTTCTGATGTGTCAGTAAGGTTCTGTAGATTATTTGCTTTGAAGTTTTGTATTTTTTTCATAAAGCCGTGTTATTTTTACGAAACAATAAAATACGGACTCGCTTATTATCTCGCTTATTCTTCGTTTAAATGATAATTAAATAAAGGTTAGTTGTAATGGAAAGGTCTAATAATAAATAATATTTCTTTTCTTTTCTAATTTAATCAATAATTTTTTTATGCCTTATAATTTTGTTAATGACTTGGTCTTAAATTAGGTAACCAATTTTAATACCTATTATGGCCTTTTTTTCTTTTGTAACCGTAAAAAGCGTAAATAAAATTGTAATAATAAGTAAACAGGCTAATTATCAATTTCGTCAGTAAAAAATAGTATGATAAGTTACTTTGAAATTTCATTGTTTAATTCAATAAAAAAATAACGATTTTTTGTTAGGTAGGTTACGTAACACAGAATTTGATGACGCGGAACCCAAATCGGTGTACTTTTGATTTAGGTACACTGGTGTTCGAGTTGCAATAATAATAACCTATGTAGTTTTGGTCATCGCGTCAGTCGCGTCCGTGTCTTTCATCGGCGTACTTGTGAGTTTTCAGAATTTAGAAGGTCGACTTACGTTTTCGTTCTTTCGGGACTTTTGGTTCGTTTTTCATTCACGTTCTGTTTACCTGTGTGTTATGTTTGTGTGCGGTCAGTGCAATGAATTCGTACTCAAATGCCTAATATTACGAGATGATAATGTGTGGCGGTGCTTGTGATGGTAATCTTGCTGCGGCTCGGCGGCGTTATGACGAGCGCCACGTGTCAGGAAGATCTGAAAACCATCGACGTCTTCCTTCTTGCCGGTGATTCGCGGCACTTGTGAATCGGTTACATACAACTGGTTTATTCCATAGTGTGCCACAGGTAGGCCGGCCGAACACCTATTCCATCGAGACAGAGGATATGATTTTACGTCGAGAGTAACACGACACGGTTTGTGTCGAGTCGAATGGAGATGTGTGTTTTAGGCGGTGGCCGGCATATCGAGACCCTGGACTGATAAAGTGGACGTGAAGTGTAGGTAATGTTGACAAGTGAAAGCTGAAAGAGTGATTAGAACGCTGTAGGTATGTACCTGTTTAATCTTAAATTGTTTTAATTACACTCATACGTAGTCGAGTGCGCGCGTCGGCGACATCAAAATGTATTCTAGGAGATGAGAGAGTGAGAGGTAATGAGAGAGAGAGAGAGAGAGAGAGAGAGAGAGAGAGTACGCCGGGACGGCACGTGTAAGCGTACAGGGTTGTAGCATAGTAATTGAAAACAAATTGTTCAAATATTTGTATGAAAATATCAATTTACGTGAAATTGTTTTTTGACATATCAATTGTGTTCTTTGTGCTAGGTTGTATGGCCATGTTTCGGGATTATACAGGTATTACCAAACACGCTGTATATATATAAAAAGGTAAAATTCATACGTATGATAAGTTAAAATCTAAAAATTAATTTTATTTTCAAATTTTCCCGCAAAACTCCAACTTCGGTCATGGAGTTGCTATGTCGTCACGCTCCTCTATAATCGTACTCTGTCAGTGTTATTAGTAAACAAAGTTTAGCGTTGGAGTAAATTTTAAACCTTATTACCTAATTTATTAATAGCACTGTGTATGCATAAGGTTTAATTCGCTAAGAGTAACAAGGGCATGACGTTTCGCGCTGTTTGCGGTTACGTGAGAACGAGCATAAAATATTATTTTTTTCGTAATTAGTTTGAGCAATATTATAAATATAATAAGCTGTGATTATCGGTAATAGTATATTAAACACTACCAGAAAAAAAAATTATTTATTTTCGATTACTGTCTACACCCGTATTAGCTGTAGCAATTGGAACCTCTCATGTCGCATTACATGTCCCAAATAATGTACTTTTCTTTGATCGTCTGCAAAAGTTCCTTTTGAGTATAGCTGATAGCGAGCGTCCACATTTCAAGTCTATACAAAATCTACTTTTGACGTAAATATAAAGCCATATAAGAAGTACTGTCTACTGTACGACCCATATAAGAAGTACTGTCAATTATGCGGCTGTTTGACAGTACTTCTTAGTATTGTCAAACGGCCATTTTGGTTCGCATTGCGCTTCAACTTCGGGCTGTGGACGTGCATAAAAGGAACGAAGATATTTACTTTTTAATAATCAGCACATTAGAATACAGGATTGCACGTCAGACTACCATTATATCTCAAATTTTCTCAATTGATTTTGAACTCTACTATTAATGCAACAAAGTTTAAAATCAAATGGAGTAATATGACCGTTTTGTCATAATAGTCTGAAGTGTAAATGTGAACAACTGTATCGAAGTGTGAATTTGCTTTATCATAATGTGATATGATATGTCCCGATTGGTGGAGATCGCATCTACATGCTAGATTTTAATGGCGGCTTGGAGCGCATTTTTTTAACTTAATAAGACACAAAACCAGACCTATTCTTGCTTACAAATAATATATAGATAAAGAACTATCACCTAGTTGCATAAACGTCCATTAACATTGTCATTAGTTTTAAACGACATTCGCCCCTTGCACAAACGTCGATTGAAGTTTAATGACGAATTTAAGCTCTAATGAATTTACTAAATTAAAAATTAGAATCGATAATGTTGCTTTAAACTATTATTAATTTTAATAAACGTTTGTGTACCGGCAGTTTGCCAATAATAGAGCTTTAAAAGATAAGAGGAAGAATGGTAATTCTTCGGAAGACGTACATAGAAAAGACTTGTGCTCTAGCAGCGGGGACTTGAATAGGTTGATGAGGAAATTATTAATATAAATATTTGTCAAACAGCCTAGCAGTGTATCTGCTCACCTTAATCAACACACGAGACAGAAATTGTTCACGTGTGACACTTGCGGTAGATCATTCACCACTAAGAACATATTAAGAAATCACATTGCGGTAAGTTTAAAGAAAACCACTCTGTGGTAATGTAGATGCGACAGTTCACTTCGCAGAATCAGCAATTATAAAAAGTTTTTAACTGTAAAAATATATGCTTTTTTTACTATTTACTAGGAATTAAAAATAAATTAGTATTATTAGAGTCGTATATAATTAAATAGTGTTGTATCGAATAGTAAGTCAATTGTGAAAATCACAATGTTGATTCCATCGTTTTACAATAATTATATTGGCACAAAACTTACAACAGATACAACAACAGCTAACTGACAGATAGGGATGTACATTCTGCGTTAATCCCGATAAAAACTTCCTTGCAGTCTTAATAATAATCAATCACAAATTCTTAATTACTATATTAAATTATTTTATCAAGCAGAACTTTATTTTTCTGATTAACTTTTTTCATTAGTGTTTCGTTTCATTAGTGGAGTTTAGTGATGCAACAAATACTACGTTACCATATGTGAATATCTAATCTAATAATGAAATAATGCTAATAATAAACTCAACCATCTAATAATTTGAATTCTAGGCGTACCACTTAACCGTCTGTCACAGGTAGGTTTGCCAAGCGTCCGTATAAAGCCGGACATGGTCATAGACAACGGTGCCCGGCTTGTAGAACCATATTAATTTTAAAAGTCACTGAAACAAAGTACTGAAACTAATTTTGTATTCGATTTTATTTAAGTACACTTATAAAAACTTTCATCTAACTGACGCCCTTAGGGGTCTAATTTCCTAAAATCCGTCTTAGTGAGCACCTACGTCCTAAAAAGAATATGCATGCTAAATTTGAAATGCCTAGCACTTGTAGTAACGATGTTTCATACAAACTTTCATCCCCTAATTTAGGCCCTTTGGGGTGGAATTTTCAAAAAAGCCTCTCTTAGTGCTCCTCTACACTCCCTAAAGAACATTCATTCCAAATTTCAACTTCCTACGTTCATTAGTTTCGTCTGTACGTTGTCTGTCAGTAGGTCAGTCACTCAGTAACGCAAGAATTTTATATACTTATAGATTACTCGACTACCGCGAAGCTAAAAGGAAGGTTATGATTTTGGCCCGTGTGTATGTAAGAATGTTCATATGTTCCCTTTTAACTTCGAAACTACTCATCGTAACTGGACAAATTATTTAAAGTGTCTTAGTTGTACGCGAAAGTGCTTATGTGCTAAACATTTGAAATATATGTATATATATTGATAGCTTGTACTTGCGATTTTGCTTAAATACGCCCGAAAATTAATTAAATAAAAAATAAGTTCTAAAATTAAAACGTATGATTTATCTGTAGTCAAGTTTTAGTTTGTGAACTTATTTTTTTTTCGTTCAATAGTTTCCAATTGCCAAACACGAATATTCGTATATGTTGCATCACTAATGCAATCACATAATAAAACGTAAATAAAAATATTTTTTAACATATGTTTTATAAATTCCAGTCACATACGGGAGAGAGGAACCACGTTTGCAACATTTGCGGGAAGCGTTTTGCGCAAAGCGGTAGTTTAAGTCATCACCACAGTATGGTGCATCTCAAACGGCCTTATCCGAAGAGGTAAAAAGTTTAAAATCATTTGGCAAAATCTTTAAGTACGCATTTCTTGAGAACATAAATCAGTAAAACCTGAATGCATGCCGCACTTAATGAAATGGCCGCCTCATTTTATAACTAATAAATTTATCAGAAGAATCTCTATATAGCTTATTGTTTAATGTCACATGAGTTATTTTTGTTGACCTTAATTTCACAAATTTTGCAAGAATTAACATTTTCTAGAACAGTTTCTGGACGTTCAGATTGATTACGACTTTATATTTCAACTGCCTTAACAATAAACTTTGTATAAGCGTTGTATAGTTTTGTCTTTTTTATTATATTTGTCTTTTTGATTACGTTAACAGAGCTATGTATAACTAAACAACCGTCATAAGTTTCTTATTAGTAAGGGCATTAACTTAAGTATTGAAACGGTATTAAAATTATATTTATAGGCATTAGACGCGCTCGCAGTCTGAAGAAGTGGCCACTAACAGGGTTCGGAAGGTTACGATTATTAACCGAAATGCTACTGTAAATAACCCAAACGGTGAATGGGTCACCGATTAATTTCAGTAATTTCACAATCGGTTGATAGAAATATTTTGGTTACAGACTCAAATGTGTATTACCGGAATAACCTGTTACAGAATATTTCGGTTATCTTTAACCGAATTGTTTTGGTTTTTGTATGTTTGATAGATATTGAATGTTTAATTTCTCGTTCCGAGTACATATAATTACCTACTTCTTTAGCATGTCTCTAACACATCTTTAAATAAATTATGTCATTGAAACAATATTAATCAAAAACAAAAGTAATGGATTACATTTAAAAGATAACATATTTAATAAAAGGGTCATTTTAGTGCCTCACAATGAAGTGAAAAAATACTTAATAATGTGAAAGAATAGTTAATAATAAATAAAAAACCGTTGTCTACCGTGTCGGTAACTTAATACGATTATTAACAGAATATTTCGGTTATTTACCCTGACCGAAACGAATATCGCAAAAACCCGGGTTAACCGTTAACCGTTTACTACTGTCAACCCTTTCATTTCGGTAAAAAAAAAACAAAATTAAACTGTTAACCGAATCAATCTGTAACCGTTTCAAACGGTAAGCAAATGAATCTAACGAATCTAACGGTAACCGTTCTAAGCGGTTACCGTTATGAATGGTTTATCTGTTCCCTGATCACTAATAATAAAGTATGTCAAGTAAATTAGACTTTATTACACAATACACAATTTTATTGCACACATTACAAAACAAATGGAAGTCTTCTATTTTTATAGATTATATTGGGCAAACAGATAAACCATTCATAACGGTAACCGCTTAGAACGGTTACCGTTATGAATGGTTTATCTGTTCCCTGATCACTAATAATAAAGTATGTCAAGTAAATTAGACTTTATTACACAATACACAATTTTATTGCACACATTACAAAACAAATGGAAGTCTTCTATTTTTATAGATTATATTGGGCAAAAATATCTAGAAGAGTTAAACCAGTCAGTCAGTATCAGTCTCTGACTGACTGATTGAACATATTATAATTTATAATCAATCTCGTTTTAATAACCATAAGGTGTAAAATATAACGAGCTAGGTTTCCCTTTTGCTCGACAGCGAAAAACATTAGTTATATCTTATTGTATGTACAGTTAACAGCACGTCAGGTTACATAAAACTGTCAAATTTCCACACTAGATTTTAAAGTTTAATACATTATAAAACATATATAAAAAAACTTTATTGAAATTTTCCTATTGTTTCAGAAACAGAAGGATTAGAATAGAAGTGCCGATCTCCGACGCTGGACCGTTTGGTGACAAAGATGAATATAGGGTGTGGACGCAGCATTACTTGGATAATTCGACGTACTCTTCTACATACTCGAATTCTTAAAATGGCGACAGAAAATGTAACAGTGTATAAATACTTGATTAGAACTCTGACATTTAGCAACGGTCGTCGAGAAGTCGAATAGAAGGAGAAGTTAGAAGCGCACGAGGTTCTTTACGCAATGTTGATTATTTTACTATGGCAATTCTTGAATAAGCGATATCTATTTCACGACATTATCATCGCCATAATCGATTCGCGCGCTTCGCAGCCTGCATCGTGCTTATCAAGAAATAGTGGTGGGGGGGGGGGGGTGGGTGACACTTGTACTAATTTGGATTTTTTTTATATTTCTTTTTTGCCCATCTAGGGCACCGTGTAATGGATGAGGCATTTGTTACATTGTAACAAGGGACCCCAAATAAATATCTATTTTGTATTGCACCTAGATTTTATAAGGAAGTGGGACAAAGTATTAAAAGAAAGACGAATCATGGTCTTTATACTGAAAAAAGTAATTCTGATGAATTAAAATCAGAATATGAAAAGAATGTTAATTTCATGACGTGGATAAAATGTTTATAACTCCAAATTACCTCTGCGATTTTTATTCCCGGCAATAAAAGAACTGACAGAGTATCACAATTACGGGGCCGATTGTTACAATCGACTTGTGGAATTTATATGAGGTTGTTGGTGATAATAGTCTTGTTTTAATAATTCTACGTAAAGAGAAGTTGTTATAGTTTATACCAAAGTCGGGTACAAGATGATTAAATCAATATTTTCGTCGTCACATCGTCGTTTTATTTTTGTTACACTGCCTTAGCTAAAGCACACGTGTAAGTAACAGACTGCCGCCGCCTCAAAAGAATAAGATAATCCAAAATATTCTTAAGGACAAAATATCCTCCTTACGTTTTGACTGTGATTTTTGCGTAAATGGTCAATCTTTAATCTTTAAATTAAATAAATATTACTTATTACAAACTATTGGCATAGTTTGTAGCGGCTTCGCTTTTTCTAAATTATGCTTAACTTTTTTAAACCCAAAATTGTGGAGATTTTCACAAAATACACATATTTTTTAGTTTTTGGTTTTAAAAAATTTAAAGCTTTAGGAGTAGTTACATATACTGAACTACTTTTACGTCTGCGATTGTAGATAGAGTTCGCCGTAACAAGGAAGTCCCTCGGATTATAATTTTTTGTTTTTATTCCAAAGGAATAACAGTTATGTACTTCTTTCGTAAGACAGACTTTATTACAATTTTGTATGAAACAGCTGAATATTTTTGCATAAATTCAGTATTGCTCCTATAGCAAAATATTCAATTTCTATCCACCACAAGAAGTCTGGCATGTAATAATATTCCACTCTAAGTGATCGTATACTAAATATATTGTCTGATTTTAATAAGATATAACGGATGCCGAGCTATATATGGCCGCGTATATAGCGAGTGTATTTGTTTAAGTACCTAATAGGATTCCTTCGTTTTTTTTTAAATAATTAGTTTATATCAGTCTTATAAAACTAAGACTTTTGCCATATGAAACCTAAAAAACCTAAGTTATTGAGACTAATGAGGAAATATTAAAAAAAAGAAAGCACTAAAAAGCACCTTACTAGATGGCGTCTCTAGCAAACGTTGATCTTTTGCAGGAAACGAATGGACCAAAGATAAAACAACATTAGTATTACCCATATAAATTTAACATTCATTAGAGTTTAAAAGAGTCATTAATTAAATCTTAACGGACGTTTGTGCAACTGACAGTGAGTGAACATCAGTGTTATAATCAATATATCGCATACGATATATTGATTATAACACCGATGTTGATATAATCGTAATTTGATTATAAAAAATGCATCGTGCGATGTTCCTTCAAAACTTCTTCATTCAACAAATCTAAATAGTATCCTAAGTATGGAAAAATAAATCTTTCTAGCAATCAAAATAGTTTTAATTTATAATTATTTTTGTTTTCCATTTAAATTCTCTTTTGATTACCCTTAACAATGAGTTTTATATTTTATCATTAGTTTTGTTATTGTGTCTTTCCTTACGTGTAAAGGCTACCAATGTGACATTGGGTAAATTGTGTAAACGCAAAAAGGACCTAAAGTTAAAAAAAATTAAACTTAAGATTAGCCGGTTAAACTTAGGTTTATCTTCGAGGAGGTGTTTGGAGATTGTTGAGAAAGTAAAAAAAGTGTTATAAATTGTAGATCGAGCTCTGGCAACATTCTTACCGCCAACACTTGTCATTATGGCGTACACTGTATTCCACAGATTACTAAATATGTATGGCGAAATCCACAAGGGCAACGCTATTAATTAAAAATAAGAAGAATACGCACATAGCTTAGCTTTACTGTACTCTTTGGCTTAGCTCATCATTCATTTCGCCGGAAAACTATTATTCTATGATTTCTGTGATTTCGCCACACTTGTGTTTACAAATAATGAAGTTTAAATTATGGATGATTTAAAAGTATGTAGAATATGTCTTCGCACTGATAAGTTTGCGAAATATTACAAATTGGAGGAGTTTTTCTTGAAATGTTATTATGAAGAGATTACTTCCACTCCGGTCAGTTTACCATCTGTTCTGTAAAATTAACTTGAAATTAAACTTGATTTGTGGGTTAAATACATGTATTCCTACGTTATTCAATATTTATCCAAGTTCTTTGGCTTTTTGCCGAAAATTGTTGTAACATCTCGGTCCCTGGGAGTATGATTAAAAAATGTGATAGCTAAGATTTGTTTTTGGTATAGCATACCTTTATTGCAGGTCAATGTTAATGATGGTCTACCAAAATACTTCTGTTATCAATGTTCAACAATACTCAATAAGTACCATTTCTTCAAAGAGAAATGCTGTTTTGCACAGAGGGCACTTATACAGATGGCAAGAGTCGCTCCAGTAAGTATATAGTACTGCCTTTTGAGCAAGTTTGCCCCACTTCATTGATTTCATTGATATCCTTGGGCTAGAAGAGCGTGTCCACAAATAACAAATAAAAAAATGAATGATTAATCATTAAATGATTAATGATAAGAAATTTTAAAATCAATCCAGTAGTTTCAGAGCCTATTCAATACAATTAAATTTTTCTTCATTATAATATTAGTATAGTTTGTTAGCACTCTATGTACAGTAGGTACACCTTATTTAGATTCAGGTCCGAGTCTATGATGTTGTCCAACCTTTTCAATTCTCTCCCCTCACTCTATGAGGTCAGATTTTGTATTACCATATCAATTTCTTTGTTATTGGCTCTTCTATAATTTAGCCAGCATCAAATTTCAGATTGCAGTGGTGTGTTTATTTTTTTTTCGGTTTGACTTCACCAATTATTATCAACTACTCTGCTTGTGTAATGTAACCAGACGCCAAGACCCTATCACTTTGCCTAGTAGTAAGAATTTGTTAAAAAAGCTTTTCCTTCTTTCTTCATTATTTGTTTCTGGAAAAATAAAATAATTTGTTCCTGAGAAAAAAAAATTAAGACTTGTCCTTGCACAGTGCCCTCAATAAGCAGCAGGGTTCACTGATGAATATCAATGGATTTATATATCAAGTGATATATATATATATATATATCTATGGGTGTGCTGGAATCAGGTGGCACAATAACAAAAAAAAACAATCTCTATTTTTTTTATGGCCTTGTTCGGTAAACACATTTCATATGGTAATGTTAATTGTTAACTGTCAACAACTGTTATGTCAAATTGTAAATTGTTTTGAATATTTGTGAAAATATTAATTTATTTTGGGAAAAATTCCAAAAAGCCATAGTAGCTATCTCAAGTGAGTGAAGTTGAAGTGAAGATAAACATTTTTTTTTATTTTAAACTGTGTTTATGAATTGACTGGTAACTAGTAATGACTTATCTCGATATGCTAAAGTTTTTTTAAGAAATAATTAATTAATAAATATTTGTTGGCATGTTGGCTACTAAAACAAGAAGTATGATTTATTAGTGAAGGAGAAGGTATTAAGGCATTTTTCTACACCAGAAAAAAATAGGAACAGTGAAAAGAAGAAAATAAATTCAACTGGATTTTATTTAGATGTGTAACAGACATTTGTAATATTAGTAGAGATTAGCAATAACTAATACATAAAGTATATCTTCTTCTATTTATTTATGTTAGATTCTGTTTGGAATCTATGTCAAAATTTGATATGATCGGAATTTGGTGAAGTATGTTTCAATGCTATGAGATAGTTATTGAAGTTTTTATTTCACTAAAATATTACAAGTATCAAGACGTCTTTATCCTTTCTCCCCAATATTATCTTCTACAAATTTAAGTTTCCCGAAATGCCATTCTGGTTTGGGTACACCTGTGTCAATTGATATTTATTGTTAGTTTGAGTGTTGAGTCTCAGCTAGAAAATGAACCAATCTGATGTGACACTGGTGACATTGGCTCGATATAGCTATCTTACTTATTAGAAATTTCAGGTTTGCCCTATACATTACTGAAAATCCTTGAACGCATTATTTTTTTTAATTATGTGATAATATGTAAACAAATATTAAATAGATCAAACACAATCTTTATTTCATATTTTTTCATTTAAAAGATCAAATATTAAACAAAGCCACTAGCAGCTCAAAATTCGCAGCTTTTATAGCAGAGTAAAGTATTATAGACAACACAGGAGCCTATCTGATGCAAACAAAAAAAACAATCTTTTAAATATATTTATAGAAATTAATTTAGGTTTCCATCTGAAAATATTTGTATAAAGTTAATATGTTCATTTGCAGCTTACCTATGACAAAATATGCAATATGTATTCAAGAAAGCATCCAATTATAAAACGTGGTATCATAGAAATTTTAAAAGCAGATAAAAAAGTAAAAACTTTTAATTTTCAAGAAGAACTACAGATGACACCTGAAACAAAAACTAAAGTGTTGAATATAGATAGCGAGTGTGATAACTTTGAAAGCAATGATGATTTATACGCCGATAGTGTTCAAATTTCAGACAATGATGATGAATTGAAAAGGAAAGATAGTCCAGCAAGAATAACATATATGGAAGAAGAAAAATCAAATGACAAACTAGAAGAAGAGCCAGTCGTCTATGAAAAAAGTCTAAAATACTGCAGAGACTTTTATTAAAGCAGTCAAAAAACAAAAAGAGAACATCTGTTAAGAAGAAGACACCAGAAGTTGCTCATAAGCCAGAGACTGAGAAACGTCAGTTTACAAAATCAAAGGATGGTAAGTTGAAATCTCTTCAGTTTCTCGATTCCGGTTTCTGGAAGAAACTTGCGCTTAATGAGGAGGAAGCTTTGAAGGAATTTCAGGCAAAAGCACATAATGAGAAGTATTTGCATTCACCATACAAATGTACTGATTGTCTCAAGGCATTTTCACAGAAAAATATGTTGGAGAGACATCTACTTCTAAGACATAAAGAGGTAAATAAAAACTGTAACTCAATGAATTTTCCAAGTCAATCATCAACCCACTTTGGTAAAATAAACTTTTTATCAAGTCTGGTCGTCAATAATGAAGAAACACCATTAATGATCAAAAAATTAATTTATGGTTCCTCAAATATTCTTTTCCCTTTGCGTCAATGCACTTTTTCAGACGATTGAACCAATTTTGAAAATATTTTTGTCCCTCCGTAGTGACGTCATACTATGAGTTATGCATACCTGCTAGCTTGTATCGATTTCCAATTTCCAAATACCAGGTAAAAATAGTAATAACTTTCCATAAAGACGTATGTTTTAGAAAATATAAAAATTAATACTGCCAGACTCATTTTGGCAGCGGTAAATTAAGAAGACGCTTTAATTAAAGCTTCCAAAATTAAATCATAAATAAACTATTGTTGAGTTGGAGGACAAGTGTAGTCCATTTTATTGTAGCTTATCACTCAATTTTTATTAAAATGACACTACAATGTGAAAATAATATTTTTTGGTGTGGGATTGTGAACGCAAAATTAATTAAATACAATAAATAAAGTTTAAATATTTGTAAAAATATTTCTTTCGGCTGTTTGGGTGGAGTGCCTGACCCTTAATGAAAATTGCTCTGTAGTAGCGAAAAAGTAAAACAGTGCTTGAAAAATTCGTCAATCCTGTTAGATCCTGGGTACCTCGGTGGTTAGAATAGTCGTCCGGATTGCGAAAGGTCATGGCTCCGAGTCCCATCTCAGAGCGTCCCTGACGCGAATTTTTTAAGCATTTTTTCAGTATAGCCTTTGAATGCAAAATTGGTCATTGAATTTGAATTTGATCAAATATCCCCTGGATTATGCTGGATAATGGGAATTCGCTATGGCTGAAAACGAATAGGGAGATATCATATCATGCCCCCACAAAAGCCCTGGATTATAAGGTGTTAACAACTGCAGATGCAGCTGGTATGAAGCGCTTAATGTCTTTCAAAGCACTGCAAGCATATACCTCCGCATTGTATAACAAACGTGGATGGTTACGTCATCAAGCTCTTCAGTGGATTTTATTATGTTGTTGTAAAATGTCTCAACAGGCGGTGGGTTCGCAAGTTTGTCGATTCTGCAAGGAACGCTTCAAGCAGGCTTGTTACCTCAGAAAGCATATGAAACAGCATTATACCAAATATGAATGTCTGCGGTGCGACCTGGTGTGTAATGTCGAGTCAGTATATGTTTTGTTTTTTTAATAAACTTCTCTATATTGAAATTATGATATTGTATCAATTTTGCATTTACGATGTTATATTGATATTTGTCATAAAGACAATACTATGATAATCGAATCCTCAATCTTACACATCTTACCTGCCTTTTTTGGGTAGGCAGTGGACTTTTGTCCATACAGCCATATGTTTATATTAATAAATGTTTCGGGCAATGGTCTTTTCTTTATTTGTTCGTTTTATATTTGATAATACTTTTTTCAGAACAACTGCTTTGTTCCATGAAGAGTATCATAGTGGAGTGACCAGGAAATGCCCACACTGTAAAAGAGAATTCAAGTAAGTTTTTAAGAAGAAAAACTGTTTCCTATGAAAAGTAGTAATAAAAGTAATCTTCCTTTAAATTGTAAAATACATATACAACGCAGCTATCGGTCTCACTCATACTCAATATAAAATTTCGTGTTAATAGTACCCTTCATAAGTTTTTTAGTTGATCGTGTTCAAACAAGTGGCCTAGGTCTTTGCATTATAAAACATTATATGTAATGTAGTAATCTATAGGTATATAGACTCCAGCGTTCGCAATGTGGCTATCTTCAATTTGATTTCTTATTTGACATTGCCTTAATCACTTGTGTGAAGAATAATGATAACACCTAATACTTGAATAATTTTAGTCTTTACGATCTTCATAATTGCGTTTTACGTGTCTCCTGAAAAATTTATTAAAATGGAATTAGCCTATTTGCAAATTCAGCTGTCTATAGTATAACTAAGAGATCGTTAAAAAATGTGCAATAACTTTCTAAACTTGATATAGTAAGATCAACTCAACTGTGCGCGCGGCGGTATGTGTGGGTAATCTTTTTATATATACCTACAGTGATTTAATGTGCGTTTCATCAGGTACAGCATTACAACAAATTGAAAATTAACTGTGATGGATTGTGACTTATTTTATTTTGATAGATTATTTTGTATTAAAACGAGGTTATAGTGATCTGCTATCATTGATAATTTGGAGTCCAAAAATTACTGAATTTGATAAATACATGTTTGTTGGACTTATTTACCTGAATCGCTTCTAGAAAAGTCAAGGGATGTTTCCGCTTATAGACAACCGAATGTCGTATGAACCCTACGGATCCCCTACGGATATAAGACCTTAATTGATATCATTATAATGTTGTCCCCAGACATATGTCATCGTTTTACGCTCACCTGCGTACACATCGCAGCAAGCATATGTGTTCACTCTGCGGCGAGTCATTCGTCAGTCCGTTAGGTTTACATCAGCATAAGAGATTGAAGCACGTCATTGCACCGGTACGTACTATTTCACTTTGTCGTAAGCCACACACACATTTTTACTAACCTAGAGCAAGGCATAGCTTAACCATGAAACGCCTAATCTTACGAATCGCTTAAGCAGATTAATGTAATTCCAAATAAATATTTCTTCTTTTGTTCTTGCTACATATGAGATCTGTCGTATTACACTAATGTCTAGCGCAAGGTGTCGCATAACGCATGTTAGATAAGGCATTGGTGAAATGCGTTTTCACCATATAGTCAGGTCAATTTAGCCCAAGAATAGGGGTAACCTTGCATTAATTCTCAGAAAGCTGAAAATTTATATACATGTTAGGGACACCACTATTATGAAATTGCGAAAAGTCTCCATCGATCCCATTTCTGCAAAAAAAATTATTCAAGGTCAAAGGTTGCAAAAATGAGCTTTTTTAATTTTCAGCGAAATGGTTAGTTTATGAAAAAATATGTTAGACAAATTTGTAGATACACAATTTTTCATAACACTAACCATTTTTGAGAAAAAACAATTACCTACAGAACATTTTTACGCTGTATTCTCCATAATAAGCATGACTAAGCTGCCTATGATCATTTTAGACCGATAATCCTGAAAATATGATGTTAAAAAAACGGAGTCCCTAATTTTAAGGGACCATGTGCCCTTGAAAAAGTCTGCCTGTCATTCCATTGTTTGCGTGACCGTTCCGTCTACCTGTTTTTTGTTAGGTCGCACCAACTCCCCATTAGTCTTGTAACTTCCGTCGTAGTGAAAACACGTAGTTATTAAAAATATTATCTGCTAAAGTTTGTGATGTATTCACTTTTAGTTGAAAATATGTCGCAATTCTGTTTTATTTGCAGTAAACTTTTATCTTCAAGCGAATGTGTTACTGTTGATCGCGGCATGAAGACGTTAATTGACGCGAGTATTCAAAGGGCGGATCAATTTACTGATTACTTGAAGAACGTAAATTCAGTAACAATTCATGTGCAGTGTCGCAAACAATACACTCGAAAGAGTACAATTGCAGCAGCAAAACGGCAATATGCAGAGGAATCAGCTAGAACCTCTCAAAAAAGTCCTCGTACTAGAGCATGTGTAAGTGAGTCATATTTTTCTTTTAATAATTGTTGTTTATTTTGCGGCGATAAGTTGAATGAGGCATATGAAGAGAAACAACACAGAAATCTCGTCGTAAAATTTGTAACGTTACAACTCTTTAATTTAAAGACTCAGTTATGATGGCAGCTCAGTCTCGTTCTGGTGACACCGCAAAAACTATTGTTGCTCGCATCGGGTTTGAACACGATTTAGTTGCTGCTGAAGCTAAGTACTATAATGATTGCTTTGTTTCATTTTTAAAGCCGACCACTGGAGGTCATGTCTGTCATCCTCAAGATGAAACATTAAATCTCGCCATGGAGGAAATATATTGAAAGTAGTGATGACTGCCAGGTTACGAAGAAGAAATATTTAATGACGATGTTGATTAATAAAATATGTTTATAACCAAGTATAACGGAACTTGTCACTCGAGCTGTATCTGATTGACAACGAGCACTCTGACAAGAGTACAATGACTGAAAAGAAGAAGAAAAACTAAACATTCATTAAATTTTACTATAATAGACCGTGGAATAGGCCTACCGGGGTAGCCGCACTTAAAAAAACGCGCTAGTTACACTACCTCATAGGTGGTGTGGAAACAAACATATTATAGACAATACAGCGTAAGAAAATTTTGTAATTGTTTTTTCTCAAAAATGATTAGTGTTATGAAAAAATGTGCAAGGAAAATTTTTGTAGATAATTGCATGATCTACAATTTTTGTCCAACATATTTTATCATAAAACTAACCGTTTCGCAGAAAAATTTAAAAAATCCATTTTTGCAACCTTTGACCTTGAATAAATTTTTTTGCAGACATGGGATCGATGGGGTCTTTTCACCATGTCATAACAATGGTGTCCCTAACATCTATGCAAATTTTCAGCTTTCTAGAAATTTTTGCAAGGTCAATGTCTAAATTAACCGGACTATTAGGCGTTTCCTAAATATTTAGGCGACAGATTTGGGTGACTATTAAATGAAAACGGCCATTTATCATGTTTGCACTCAAAGCAGAGCATAACTACGAATCGCCTTAGCTAATTTGTTTCATTTCAATGAAAGAAATAATGAAAATGTTTTTCCCCTCCCTCCTTTTCATTCATTACGCAAATATAATATACAGTATATAAAATATTTAACTCACAAATATATATGAAATATAAACGCATTTGTCTATATATTGTTTATTATTTATTTTATCAAATATATATTGCTAGCTATGTCTTATTAATTAGTATGCATCTCCATACACTTGTGAAATATGGTATTTACACAAACCTAAGTAATCTACTGAATTACTATACCTCTTCATACCTAATAACTTATTACCATTCGTTCAGAGTGCAATTTACTTATGTACTTCTAATGATTGTTGCATCTATTATAATCTTAAACTGGCTTATTGTTTCGGGCAGTGATTCGAGAGCTTCCAAGGATAAAACCTACGAATTTTCTAACAGTATCTCAATAAAGGTATTAGTGTGTTATTTTAAATGTCAGAATTACCTTTGGATTACTTATACATGTCATTCAGTTACTATTAACAAGTACTTTTATGCCAATACGACGGGAAAACTAAATATAAATGTTATAAATAATTACTCGTACATATTGGAAAAAAATAAATTATTAATATACAATAATTTTTACCTACTTACTATACAAATTGCAAAATGCCTAAAATTCCCTAGATGCCAAAGAAGTTACATTTCAATTTATCATGATATCAGGTTTTATACAATAAATTACTACTACATTAAATTACAATATGTGAATTTATTATTTTATATGTTATTTTCCATCCATAAAAAATGGACCCTTAAATATTTAATAACTCGTTATATTATTTTTTATTAATGACTTTGAATACTATAGAATTTATAAATGAACTAGATTGTCTACAAGTATCCGATGCAATAACGTGTAAACCGGAACAATGCAAACTTTTAATACCGGATAAAACAACTTATCTTAAAATATTTCATCAAAACATACGGAGTCTGAATAAAAATTTTAATGAACTGAGATTACTGTTAACACGTATAGATATATTTTGTGATATAATTATATTGTCTGAGTGCTGGACTAATGAAGAAACGTTATTACCCTCTTTGGAGGGTTATAATTGTTATAAGTCGCATGACGATTTTAATCAAAACGACGGTGTGGTAATTTATGTAAACAAATCATTATCCTATGAAATAGAAGAGCCTAACTGCAACGATGCAAATTGTTTACTGGTTAAGATAGGGAAGGAAATTGTAGTAATGGCTATTTATCGACCAGCCTTTTTTAAAAATATTGACAATTTTATGACATCCATGCAAACAATTCTAGAAAATTTAACACATTACAAAAATGTAGTGTTGAGTGGCGATATAAATATAAATCTATTAGATTGTAATCACGCAACTAATTCCTATTTGGAAATATTATCTTTTATGGGTTATTTTCCAGCACATAATTTCCCCACCAGAGGTGATAGTAATTTGGATCATGTGGTATTAAGAACAAAATTACCCTCTTATACATTTGTCATCTCTTCTACAATCACTGACCATTTTTCTACTTTGTTGTGTATCATTGAACACCATGAGAGCAGAAATATTAATGATCGACTTATACCCTCAATTAATTATAAAGAGGTGCTATCTGAGATTAAAAAATTTGATCTTGAACAGTTGAGAATGAATGGGGATATTCATGATTCTTTTCATAAATTACATTATTTTTTGAAAACAACACTTGAAAACAATACATCACTTAGAAAACACACGCAAAAACAAATATTGAAAAAACCATGGATGACAAAAGGACTTTTGAAATGTATTAAAAACAGAGATATGCTACACCTAAAGTTAAGAAAACAACCTAATAATGCTACCCTTCGATTGATCTATAATCGCTATCGTAATTTCTGCACAAAAATAATAAAAAAAGTAAAACAATCTTATGAAAGAAATCAATTGCTTGCAGCTAAAAACGATAACAAAAAATTATGGTCTATTATTAAAAATATTGCAAATATTAAAAAAACACCAAACGAAAAAGCACAGGATCTCCTAAAAATTAAATTTAACAAATTAAGTTCTATTAATGAAGTCAATACTTACTTCTCAAACATAGGTATTATTCTATCTGAGAAAATTCCAAAAAATTTACCCGATTTCCCTTACAAAGCGAACTCACAGTCTGATTCTTTTGTTTTACTGGAAACATCTCCTGAAGAAGTAGATAGCTTAATAATTAGCCTCAAATCGGATAGTGCTGCTGGGCATGATGGGATCACATCCAAATTTCTTAAAGCCTCTAGGGTTTCATTAGTGCCTATATTAGTATATCTGATAAATGGCTGCCTACAAAAGGGCATTTTTCCCACCTTACTTAAAAAGGCAATTGTGGTGCCGATTCATAAGGGTGGTCGAAAGGATCGTGTTGAGAACTATCGTCCCATTTCTCTACTACCAGCTATTTCTAAAGTCCTAGAAAAAATAATTAATAACCGGTTAATTAAATACTTAGAAACAAAAAACATCCTGTCTGCAGCCCAGTTTGGTTTTAGATCAGGAAAATCAACATCAGATGCCGTATTTGAATTAACTGATCTTGTTGCAAGAAAAATAGATACTGGGGAAAAATGTTTAACTATATTTATAGATCTGGCGAAGGCTTTTGATACCGTTTCGCATTCCCTCTTAATAAAGAAGCTTGAAAACATGGGGATAAGAGGTATACAGCTTGAAATTTTGAAAGATTATCTTTTAAATCGAACACAATGCGTAAAAATATGTGGATATAAGAGTAATGAGGCATCTATTAATTGTGGCGTTCCACAAGGCAGTATACTGGGACCCACATTATTTTTATGTTATATAAACGAATTGTGTGACTTAAATATAGAAGGCTGTAGAATTATTTCTTACGCGGATGATACCAGCTTAACTTTTCATGGAAAATCTTGGGATGAAGTCTACTATAGGGCTCAAAAAGGATTTAACAAAGTATGTCACTGGTTAGCTGCAAATTCACTTTCACTTAACGTGTCAAAAACCAATCACGTAACTTATACTCCGAGAGGTTGAATAAATGACAGTAACTCTCTGAAAATTAAGGCTCATGTTTGCTCTTTCCCACCACTTAATGAGTGCAATTGTTTATCCATAAGTAAAGTAAAGTCTGTCAAATATTTGGGAGTAGTAATAGACCAGAATCTCAATTTTAATGAGCACATAGCTAGTTTATCTGCAAAAATTCGAAAATTAACTTTTGTTTTTCGCAATCTACGGGGGGTGGCCAATAAGAAGTTGATGATAAATATCTACCAATCACTATGCCAATCGTTACTTACATACTGCATCTCAATCTGGGGAGGCGCCGCTAAAACTAACCTAATAGAATTGGAAAGAGCTCAACGTTACGTTCTTAAAGTTAGTTTTTTCAGGCCTATTTTATATCCGACTTTGACACTATATAAGGAGACTGGCATGCTCACCGTAAGGCAACTGTATATTCTAACAATAATACTTAAACAGCATAAATTGATAGATATTAAAAACAACGACATCTCAACTGTTAGACTTTGTAAACAATACGCTGTATGTAAAACTAACTTTTTTAACACCAAATTTATTAAAAGATTCTTTTGCTACCAAGGTGGACGTCTATATAATAAAATTAATAAAATATTACAGATTAGTTACAAAAATAACATAAATTGCAAAAAGACTGTCTCTTGCTGGTTAAATGCATTAACATACGAGGAAACTGAAAATCTCTTGAAATAAAGTATAATGTAAAGTTTGACGAGTTTGCAGCCGATTTGGTGGCACGCTGGTTTCAGGGTGATGCCATTGTCTCGTGCCTAAATTCCATAAAACGAATACCTTAGCTACCTCAGTAAGATCTAAGCAATGTTTATGGGTGATGCTGTCTGATATTTAATGAACGAGTATCATACATTTTATGTATTTAGTATGTATTAATTAATATATGTTTATTATAAATTACAACATACATATTTTTGATTTTTAAAATATAAAAAATATTTACTATAGTTTTGTTTTGGCTAAAGTAATAATATTGTTTGGTGAGCTGCATGACAATCATGATTAATTTGTTAATTTAAGTTTAAAAAAAAAACGTGCGGTTTAGAAAAAATTGTAATATCGGAGGAGAAGCCTGGTGACTTGAAAACATCAAGCCTTATTTTAGGCTTAGTTTCTGGCACCAGTCTTCCACATGACTGTTTACTTTGGCACTTGTTGATGTAATTTTTAAGAACATTTGTGGAAGAAAATAAATTATTATTATTATTATTATTATTATTATTACATAGGGCAAGAAACGCATAACCCCATTTCATAATCTAAGACATTGCTTAATATCGTTAGGTGACTCGTCTTAGTTATTGGTAAAACGCATTTTCATATTACGTGCTTCATAAATTATTTATGTGTCAGATTTGAATGATTTCTACGTTTAATGAGAACGGACATTAAGGCGCTCCAATCTGACAAAAGATCCATCGAGCGTAGGATGTTATAGTTAGTACGCTATCGGTGGTGTAACTACAGGGTGGTAAGTCGGCAAAATGCCACGGGACCCCAGCTGGAAGGGGCCCATGGTCTGAGGAGAATACTTACTCCTGACATTTATTATTACGCAATTAGTAAAAAAAATCGAATATCCGATGAATTTGCCACGGGCCTCAAACAGTATAGTTACGCCACTGTACGCAATGAATTATCCGTTGAGTGTGCTAGCTTGAATATTGGCCATTTGGTACTTAAAGGTGTTTTATCAATCAATACCGTTAACATGTGAGTCAACATTCATTTTCTAGGAACTCTTTAAAGGAGCCAAACTAGATCTTAATCGTAAAATGGCCTAAGTTGGGTCATCTGCCCTAAATGATAAAGGTGCGAATTAAATTAAGTCTTGGGCGCCATAGGGTGTGTTTGTTTATTTCATATATATATACGAGAACAAATATTTCACGTAATGCGGTAAATTGTGTTACTAATATTTATAAAAACATGTTCTGTTTTGGTTTTGAATAAAGATTATTATTATTATTATCCGCATTGAACCAGCGTGGAAGGTCATGGACCATCCTCCCAAACCATCCATTAGGAAAACCTAGGCCTCTGCAGTGGGGTCGTAAAAGGGCTGATGATGTATGCGGTGAATATTAAAAGATATAATATTATCTTGTTTCTTACTTGTTGTAGCGTGATTTTTCACGAGTGCGTTAGGTTTTGAATTTCCTTGTTCTAAAGTTAAGAGGTAATATCCGTTTTCACATTTGTCATTAGGATAACCTAGTAACGGACGGTGAAAACAATACTTACTGTGATGTATGCAAGATCACGTTTGAGACCAAAGAGGCGTACACGAAACATCTGTTGCATTCAGCCATGCACACGGACGAGTGAGTATTAAGCTTTAAAATTATCATCTTACGCCCGATTGCACAAACGTTCATTAAGGTTTGTTGACGACTTTTAAAGCTCTAATGTAGCCTTTAATTTAAAAATTATATTGGTAATGTCGATTAATTAGAATTTATTTATTGTGATTAAATCAAATTAATTCTCACTACTCACACTTCACCGCACGGTCCGACCTGGATTGCGTCCGCTAAACTCTAGCCATAGCATACGACTTACTATATGATTGTAGCAATGTTATAATGATATTACTTTGGCATGTACCTTAATGACGACGAACGAATGGTGATGATTGATTTGATAGCAGTTTTACCAATTAAGTCGTTTCACAAAAAAGACATGTTGAAGTAGTAAATCGAAACGAGATAGATATGGCTATAACATCGCTAAAATGTCTTATAATTTAGGCGGTCGCACCGCTGAGTACCGTTAGCAAAACTGTTATTATTGCATCTGTTTTTTATGAGTCGTTCTTTTTGTTAAGAATATCCAATGTCGATACGTTCTTAGCTGATAGAATATTGAGCCGATTAAAAATTCAATTATTATTTCTTTGTTGACGGTACCAATGAATGTTCCTATTGACTACATTTAGTGGCGGTCGTCAATGGCCGACTTGGCCAGTTATTGACTTCCCTTCATTTAAGACAAATAAAGAGTCCTAATTTATTACATAATATTTTAAAGAAAAAGAGGCAAAGACGGTTTGTGTTGACTTCTCTCTTCCAAAAATGAATGTTTATGGCATGTCGAATCAAGTATAATTTAAGAGTAAGCCACCGCGATTAACCTTTAAAAGTGGTATCAAACATGATGATACATAAATAATGTTTTTTTTTGTAGTTCCACACCTGGAGGTAAGGGGTCCGATGACATAGTGGACGAGGATGAAGATCAGTCCGAAGATCCCGACGTGAGTATATTGTTGGTCAGCGTTTTTAAGTGTATTAGTCCCTTTAATTAAAATAAAAACTTGCATTGACCAATAAATGGCACAGATGAAACTACATTTGTAGTCTCCCTCGTACACTTAAATGGTATTCCCCGAACAAGCAATATACAACTGTGAGTTCCAACTATGGCGCTATGGTGCCAAAGCTGGACCCCTTGTAGTCAATGAAGCTTGCGAGCGAGACTGCAAGTTAAACGCAACCGGGTAGCGACAGCCGTGCAGCTGGGATGATGTGCTCTCGTGTTTATATATATATAAACAAAAACCAAAACTTCACGGTGTCACATTTCACTAGTAAATATATCAAAACAAATTTTAACTGACAATCAATTGTTACTACATGTAATACCTACATATATATGTCGTGGCCAGATCGTAGAATTTGTCATTTTATGATCAATATTTATTATAACTTAGTTTTTCGGTGCCGGGTATTTTTAAACAGTTATTTAACAATGTAAATTATCATATGAAAACATTTTCAAAAAATGTGCATTATCCCTATCGTCTGGACGTAATATATGTTCACTAGCAGCGAAATTAGTCAAGTCTCGTTAGGTCCCGGTATAACTCAACGGTTAGCTATCGGCCGGATCGTGAAAAGTTATCGGTTCGACTCCTGGAATCCAGGACTTAGGCACCTGGGACTGGTGAATTTTTAAGTATTTTTCTTTAAAATTAATGTTAAAAATATAGAACTGTTACTGCAAAATTGATCAAATATAATAGGTGAAAATTAATAAAGTTCAGAAGTCATATGAAGTTACTTATATTTTTTGACTTTGTTTCAGGCACCCAAACAATTGCATGAGAGGTAAGTAACTTTTTATTTTATTTACAAACATCGCGTATCAATTTATGTCAGTTTTGTAGACTATAGACGGATGTACTGTTGACTGTACCAAAGTTTTCTCTGTTGATTTGTGGAATCAGCTTGAAAATTCGTTCCATAGTGTGGCTGTTACAGTGAATAATATGGAATTAGCTATTGTGAAAAATAGCTAAAGTATGCTAATATGACTATTTAAATATAATATGGCGAATGACCCAAATATAATAGTGGCCTAGTTATTCTTTGTACACTACGGCATCACATGAAAGCATGCTAGGAAACCACATATAAAATAATAATACTTCATTTTTAAGCCATTATGGCAGATAATCCAGATAGTATCTTTATATTTTAGTACTCGTATTCGTAAAATAGAGAATAAATGAAAACTTGATTTGATTTCATTCTAAAGTTTAGATTTAGAATCTAAATCCAATATTGCGGACCATCTAAGATTCCGCCACCGACACGAAATCTTTTCTTGCAACGCCTCGGTTGGCTTTTTATGTCAATAAATGTGAACAGACGACTGATCTTATTAGTTTTAGTTTATTGGTCTTATTAGTTTTATTAAATTCGTTTCGGAGTCTTTTTGAAAGATTTGAGTCGGACTTTTGTTCAAGGATTTTTATGATAAAGATAATAAAGTTTATTTTTTTTGTATAGGAAGTCTAAAGTGGAGAGGACTTTGTCTGCGGTCAGAAAGAACAACTTGTCAGTGGTGCCTAAATGGACTATGCAACCTACCACGTGTCAACACGTATGTAAAATAATAATAAATATGTAAATATATAGATATGTTATGCAAGAGAAATTATATTAATGTGGATTAATGCAGTGTACATCTGGGACGACATATCATCAAGTTAAATATGCATGTTACCTGCTACACCCGATTTTTGCCTAGGCTTAACTACGATAGTTCTGCATATATGAGTTAGAATTAACTGGTGTAGCCTAGACTAAACTACTTTGTATTAAGCTCGATAAGGAAAACCAGTTTAAACTAGGCCAAACTATTGATCCTAAGATAAAGGATACCCAGGATAAACTGGTATGGTCTAAGCATTATAATAACCTATTTAACCATTTAATTTTGCAAAAACAATCCACTGGTCGCTTCACGCTCGCTCGGCTCGTGAGTTGTTTGTTATACTTTAACCTATATAGAAACATATGTTTCTGTTGCTATACTTAATACAAAATTCTTTTCCAGAAGCGCGTTGTAAACTATTTTTTCGCTCAATAAGCGGTTTCGCTATTTGAGCGTAACTCGTGCATAATACATGTGCTAAATGTAGATTAACTAATGTACTAATTTATACTAGGCAGTACCACTTTATCCAGAGTTAGTCTAGGCTATACCGGTTAATCCTATTGTGTATAGGAAGAACTTGTTTGGCCTAGGCAAATCTAGATTGTCCTAAAATCGGATTAGCCGGTAACATACATATGTATATGATCAAATAAAATGTTTTTAAGCGTCATACATTTTTAGACTTTTATAAAAACGCAATAAATATTAGTTATCTAATATTTATTGCGTTTTTTATACGTTTTTTATTTTATCATATTGCTCCAATCCTATAGTAAGTAGGTTTCAGCACTTGTATTATAGAAATCCGAAAAAACAAAGGTATCACAACACCCTGATCGGAGACAACATTCACCCGACTGGGAAAGGTACCCCGGGTCTCAGAGATGGGGACACATTTAACCGATGTGCGAACCACTCGGCCGGGGAAGTTTAATTTGATGATATTTGTACATTGTTAAATTAAAAAGGTAAATTAAAAAGGTTAAAGAAAAATATTTATTCTGCAAAAATCATACATATTACTGATTAAAATAAAAAAAAACAAATAATCTAACTATATTCAGACAGATATTAACGAAAATTTAACAAAAATAAAAATTAACTTCTATACGCAGTTTTTCTATTAAACGTTAGCAATATTTGTAGTAACAAATGTCATTTTAGAAATAAATTTCATATATTACAATGATAGTTTTTTACGAAATTGCTACAATATACCATTAATTTTTTATTGAGTTTATGATATTTCGGCGCTGTTGCAAGTGAAATGACCACGGAGAAACTTAAGTTTTTGCGGGTGGGTGTCATATACAGATATATCGTTCTACCTTCTTTCGAGCCCTTTATACGTGTGATACATATAAAATAAAACTACGTACAATCCCCTTAAATTACTAATGCGTCTGGCCGTCATTTTGATGACCGTTCAAAAATCGAATTTACTCATGTGTCCGAATTCAAGTCATTCAGTTTAGAAAGTCTATTGATTCCATTTTTTGTATAAAAATACAAAACAAAATTGATTGAACATACGTGTCTCAGATATTCTATTCCTGTGAAACTCACTTTTACTTATGCCAGGAAACGTTATTACCAATTCAAGGTTGAGCGGATGCTGATTTTTTTAAGTGAATTCGAGTTCGGGTTTGGATTTTTACAGAATCGCAGGGCTGTTAACAAATAAACAGTGGTACGTTTATAAAGTTGGGTTGTGTTCATCACACATAATATTTGTAATGTTTTTGTTGATTTCGATTGCTATTGTTAAGTTTTGTTTTTACTTGTTATGGTTGACTAAAATAGCAACTGTTATCATGATTTTCGCAAAAAGTAAACATAATTACATTAATAAATATTAGAGTTTTAAACCAACAAGAGTGGTAATCGGCACTTTTTTAACACAAAATGCACACTAACTAAAATGTTAACACTAATGCATTTGCGCAGCATGACGCTATGAAAGCACGTGCAACGGACACGCGAAAAAACTTGCTTATGCGCTATATATAATTTCCATTTTCATATGACGTCACGCGGGTGTCGTAGCTCGGTGGCGTAGTGGATAAGCGCCGCGGCCCGCGATCGTGGTTGTTAGGCAACTTTCGCTATGGTGGGTCACAGGATGGGTGACCAAAAAATTATTATCTCGAGCTACTTCGTGCTTCAGAAGGCACGTTATGCCGTTGGTCCCGGCTGCGTTTGCAGTCGTTAATACTCTCCAATCTGCATTGGGCCAGCGTGGAGGGTCATGACCCATCCTCCTTTGCCATCCACAAGGAAGGCCTGAGCCCCTGCAGTGGGGACGTAAAAGGGTTGATGATGATGATGATGATGATGGGTGTTATTAAAATAAAGTTCCAACGTATTAATAATTTACGGTACTTATACATGTTAGTACTCCCGTAAAAAACTATAATTCTTATGTAGATGACCATGAAAGCTTATAACAACAAATTCAATATAACGTATAAATGCACTTCATATATAGTGTGGAAAGCATTTCCCGTCGCAGTACGCATGCAGGAGGCATCATCTGGCGAAACATTTGCAGACGCCGCTCCATACGGAGGAGGATCGTGTCATATGCGAGATATGCGGCGCTTCGTTAGCTGTGAGTATATTCTATACTAGCTTATGCCCGCGACTTCGTCCACGTGGTAAAGTTACTCTGAGCAGCATTTCTAACGAATATTTATTCAATATATCGTGTAATAAACCTGAAATAAAGTTTCATCCCCTATTTAACTCCGTAGGGATGGAATTTATCAAAATAATTTCTTAGGGGATGCCTAGGTCATAGTAGCTTTATCTATGCAAAGTCTCAGACCAATGGATTTAAAATTGACAAAGCTTCATACAAACTTTCATCCCCTATTTCACCCCTTTGGGGGAAGAATTGATCAAAATCCTTTCTTAACGGATGCCTACCTCATAACATCTACCTGTATGCCAAATTTCAACCCTATGCGTTGATAAATCATTATTATGATTGTTTGAAATTGTTTATAGTATAAACAATCTAAGTTACTGCGCTAACGTGAAACTTTATAAACGTTAAAATGAATGAATGAATGAATGATTTATTGAACACACCATTATCACAATATAACAGCAAGAAATAGCACAGGAATAAAAACAAATTGTTAGATACAGTTTCATGTGGGACTAGGGCCCTCCAGGGTGGTGTGTCCAAAAGGCGCCAGCTCGACATAAGCCGCAGATGACTACACGACTACATTGCGTCGATTTTCAGCTAAAAAAATAAAAATAAAAACAGTTTTCATTTTTTTTTTCATTATAAATGTATTTTCTAATTGGGGTGTTAAGGATGTGCGTTATTTCTGTTACACGTTGTATAAGAGAGTAAATAAAATAAATCTCTTCTTTTTGTTTTTTACCAAAGCCTGGAAGTGTGGCAGTGCATATGAACAAACACACTCGTCAAACGGTATTCACTTGCGAGACGTGCGGCAAATCGTTCACTACTAAGAACATACTAAGAAACCATATGGCGGTAAGTGATCTTTGCTACTTGCATGTCAGGTAATAGGGATGATGACTAAATTTGTTTTTTCTGTTCGTCAGGTAGATTAATAATAAATACGCTTTTTTCCGCGTAACAAATAAATGAGGAAGTATTTAAAAAAAAATTGTTCCCGAAATCAAACTAGATGTCGATACGGTACGCTCTTGATTTCTCCATGACAACTCTTCCGGTTTTCTTTCATGTTTAAAAGTAAATTAGTTTTCAAAACTCAATAAACAACTCATATTCTATTTGTACTTTTTCGTATTTGTATTGATATCTAAGTTTCGAACTTTGCAAATTTCAGTTTTTTAATATGTTAGTTAAAAGGAATGGAAATGACCGTCTTTGTGGTCCATTCGTTTCCTGCAAAAATTAACTTTTGCTAGAGTCGCCATCTAGTGGAGGTTGTTTTTTAAAACTTTCGTTATTTTTTTTAATACTTCCTCATTGTGTGGAAATGTCGCATGACGTCACACTTTAATACATTTTCTACATGGTTGTGACGTAACGAGCCCATACTCCTCAAATTTAATGCCTATTATTTAAGCCATTTCTTATTAAATTGAAGCAAAAAAACGTATTTAATATTTTTCTACCCAATCATCATCTCCATTATAATCTTAAATACGTTAAAATTTTAGTCTAAAATGCATGGCAGGTGACAATTTTTTAAAGTTTTGTTTCTTTAACGCTCGTAAGTGTAAAAGAAACAACTTAAAAAAAAAGAACCACGGTCCCATCAACGTAGTTATATACATATGTATAGTTTTATGAATCTTTGACATATGACAAATATATGACCAATAAATAAGGCTGGTTTCTGCATTGAGAAAAGAGCAAAATCACAATTGATTATTTTCTTAAATTCAGTGTTGCTCAAATAGTAAAAGATGTTCAGTATACTTACCTCATCTACTCCATAAAGTCCTGGCATATAATAATATTACACCTTATATAGTGATCTCACTCTGTTGTGTCCTTGTTTTTCACTTACATGCACCAATTTTGTTATTTAATTACAGACTCACACCGGTGAAAAGAATCACGTTTGTAATTTGTGCGGCAAAAGGTACTCGCAGAACGGCGGTTTGAATCTACATTACCGTACTATACATCTCAAACAACCTTATATCAGGTAAACATAAGGCTCAAATTAAAGAAAATTAATTGGTATACAGCCTGTGTAAAAAGTAAAGAAGGAGTTAGGAAAAGTTTCAAGGTAGAGCCAGTGATGGAAAAATTGAGAAAGAACTCGTGAAAAGTGGGTCACGAAATTCGACAAAACTAAAAGTATCGTTGAAATAAACATAGATATTCTGATTTTGAGGCATGAAATCGCAATACTATCTTATTAAATTGTAATTAGAGTTTTTATCTCTGCATCACGTGACCTGAAACCCGACCTGCTATGGTATGACGTCATATCGGCAGACACATAATCTGAATCTGTTCAGATTAGTCGTAAACGATTACCGATTTATTTTATAGCAGATCTCTAGATGACGCTGTACTGAACTTTTTATTTTGTAGCAATATCATTCACCCCTTGAGTGTCGTGCGCAACATACGTATGTTCGTAAAAAAAATGGTCTAAAGTGTCGGTCGCACACTCTATGTGCATAAGCGGATTGCTGTAATTGGTCGTTGATTTTTATTTTTAGCTTAGTCCGAATCACGATCCGGCTTTACATTTCGTTTCTTTACTTAATATTTAATACACTGGGAACAATTCTAGCTCGATTCGGACCGCTAAGCCAACTCAAAAGTTATAAAAACAAATTGTCTGTCATTCATTGTCGAAGTGAAATTTTACGTTGTTGTTGTGAGTGTTAGTGTGATGTTTTCAAGACGTAAACGGTAAGAATTATTATAATTACCTACTGAGAAATGATTATAGTTTATTTGTAAAGTGTGAAAAGTTTAAAAAAAAGCAAAAAATATGCTTGAAAAAGGGCTGTAACTTTTGAAGTGTGTTTATTTTCATTGTTTCGCCGACCATATTTTGTCATATATTACTGTGAAATATCCTTATATTTCCTTTCAAATGATGATTAGTAGTTAGGTTAAATAACCTAAAAAAATAGTAACGTTACTATTTTTTTGAGATATTTTGATTGAAACGAAATTATTTATATTATAACTTTGTTTCAAACAAATACTTTGTCAAAACCAACCGCCATTTTGGTGTATTACGTAATAAAGTACCGTCAGCATAAAAAATGTTTGGATGTGTCTTACTATGATAACATTAGAAATGCAAAAGTTTGTTAGTATGGATGTATGTTTGTTACTCTTTTACGAAAAAAGTACTCGATGGAATTGGATGAAACTTTACAGTAATAAAGGTTATAATCAGTATAACACATAGGCTATTATTTATCCCGATTTTCGCACGTGAACGAGCACCACGCGGGTGAAGCCGCGAGATGCCGGTAGTATTTTTAAAGTACACTCTTTATTTTCAATTATAACAGATAAAACAATTGCTATATAAAAAGTAGTAAGAATCAATACTCACAACTTTTTTTTTAAACTGATGTTTTTTATTTCATAATAAATACTAAGGTAGACAATAAAATTAACGCCCTGAGCATGTTTTATGCGATGGATAAAAAGATGTGTAAGGGATACTTCCAGGAATAAATTATAAATTAAATATTATATTTTAGTTTGGCTAGACTGCGCTCTACAGATTCTGAAAGGTCGCGGTCATTGACCCTAGGCCCAGAACGGACACGCCATCGACCCTCCACCGGACGTCGTGTTCTTTTGCATGGCCTTATGGGGAAAGCTGAAGCGAGGGAACCAAAAGAAGTCTCCAGACTCCCTCAACGGTAAGCAATTAACATTATAGTTTTAAAATTGTGTCTGTGTACTTGAATTTTACAGTTATATAAAAAAAAACTCGCCTTTAAACAGAATATGTGACTTGTACCACTATACAAATAAGAAAAATAACAATTTCTTGGATGTTTTCTGTAAATCATCAGTGCAATTCAAAGCAAATTTGAAAATGTGTAATTTTTAAAAGAAGCGAATAATAATATTATTTGCACTTCAATTTGATTCTATATGTACAAGTACATTTGAGACTCCCAATAGCACATAAGAATGCATATTATTATAAATTTTTTATCATTTCGTTGGTTTCGCCTTTTTTTTCTCTTTGTAATATTACATTAAAACTAAAAGTGTCAGTGAAAATGGGAAGGTATTGGATTATGTTTTATTTTATTTTTTGCATCTAGCTTGTAAGCAAAATTGTGTTATAGTATAATCTGTGGATACATATTATGTATTTACTGAACTAACACTTTGTAAATGAGAATTGTCATAGGTTGTGCAATGCACTGTTTGTGTCCCTAAATAAATGAATAAATAAATACATAAATCTTTTTCTTGATCTCAGACCCAATATCCGAGCATTGGGCATCGATGCGACGCCAGGAGTTTCACTAAGCGTTCCCGGCGAGAGGTTGGACGTAGTGCAGACCCCTGATGACGTACCACTGTGGTAAGCCTTTTTATTATTTGTGATCCATACAATAACTACTATCGTAAGATGAACTCATATAATCTTGGTCATAGTAAACAAAGTAACGTAAGTAAAATTCTCAATGATTTAGGTTCAGGGATCTAGGTCATGATATAAATAATAGTTAATATGTTTTCTTACAGTTCCGATGTATTGGTGAAAGTGGAGGCGATGGACATGTCGGAGGAAGAAAGCGAGGAACTATTAAAGACGGCTCCTTGTAATGTTCAGCGGAGGGTTGGTGGGGCGGGGGAGGATCGACGGGAATGTCTTACGCCTAGCGTTTTATCTGAAGTAAACGTTGGTCGTACTAACATTAGTAACACTAAAGTTACTGATGCTAACATAACCAAGGTTTTCTCTGGTGCTGATACTGCTCTCATTCCCGAAGTTGATGCTCATTCATCAACTTCGGGTGTGACAGCAACATCTAAACAACCGTTTAGGCATGTAATATACGACGGCAGTGACCTCGACAGTGAAGTCGACGACGAGTTAGACGTAATTCCTGTCGAGACCACTGCCAGAGCTCTTTTAAAAGACATTCCCGATGACGAAGAGTTAGAGGAGACAGTTAGGGATATAGTCAACAACATCGAGAGGGGGATGGATTACGAAGCCGATCGTCTGGTTGGCATATCGAGTGATTTCACGTGGGTTCAAGGCTTTGATTCGTTTAGGGGAATGCCTGAAGTGTTTTCAGGCCCTACCCCTGGACCAATCAAAGATTACGATTCGCCCTATGATGCTTTTACCGATATATGGGATAAAACCATCATAGAGCTAATCGTCCTTGAGACTAATCGATATGCCAAGCAGACGATCGAAGATTTGGAGGCGAAAGAGAACCTGAAGCCATTCTCTCGTCTGCGTGAGTGGACAGACACTAATGTAGACGAGATAATGTCTCTTTTCGCCATGTTCATATATATGGGTCTAGATTCGCGTAAATCGCAGCATGAGTACTGGACATTGGACGTTCTGGAAATGCCGAAGTTCAGGCGTCTAATGCCCTATAACCGGTATGTGTTGTTGAATAAATTTCTCCATTTTGTAGATAATCAACAAATTGGAGAAATTTCTTCAGCAACATCGGGATTTTCTAAACGACTCAAAAAACTAACCCCTATACTTGAACACCTCGGACAGAAATTCTTTTCCTTATATAATCTTGGGTGCAATGTGTCTATCGATGAGTCTTTGACCTTATTCAAGGGCAGCATGTCTTGGGTCCAAACAATAAGGTCAAAGGCTGCACGATTTGGAATCAAGTCATATGAACTCTGTGAATCACAGACGGGATATATGGCTAGATTCCAAATCTACACCAGTAAGACAGAATGCGCCCCTTCTGATCTATCGCCTTGTGTAGATCTGGGAAGAAAAAGCATGAAGGTCGTCCTTGAACTTCTACGAGACCTTGAGAATCGTGGTCACTGTGTTACTATGGACAATTTCTACAATGGCCCATCGTTAGCACGGTACCTTAAGAGCCGAGGCTTTGATTGTTTAGGGACTCTGCGACCTTCGCGTCGTAATGTGCCGAGAGAAATTGTGAAGGTACCGAAGAATGTCGCTAAAGGGACTATTATATCTCGCCAATGTGGAGATATTTCCATTGTCACATGGAAAGACTCTAAATTGGTGAATATGATATCCACTTACCACGACGACGGCACCTTCACCGGAATGAAAGCAGGCAAACCTTTGGTGAAGCCTAAGTGTGTGAGGGATTACATCAAAACCATGGGGGGAATCGATCTCAAAGATCAAAAACTCTCCATGTATTTGTTGGAACGAAAGAGAGGTATGAAATGGTATTTGAAAATGTTTAAAAGGTTGTTGAATGTAAGTATTATGAATGCATTTATTATGTATGCGAGTTCCTTGAAACGGCGAGATAAATTGGCAGTGACGCACCGTGAGTTCCGGTATAAGCTTGCTGATTCTCTGATTAGACGGCATGCCGTATGTCAACCAGAGGTTAGTAGGCCAGTAGCGGAACTCACGAGGCTGAGGCGGGATATTTTGCACGAGCCAAAATACGAGAGAGGAGCGAATAACAGGAAGAGGTGTGCGGTTTGTGTGAGACTGGGTGTGAACAAAATGGTTCACTCCCAGTGTGTGACGTGTGGGGTATATCTTTGCTTTGGGGATTGTTGGACGAAGTGGCATTCTTCCAATAATCTTGAAGGACGAGAAGTACCAGTGCGAAAAAGGAGACATTGAGAATGGATGAGTGTGAACAGAAAACTGTAATATGTTAAATGATTGTATAAAAAAGAAGTGGTGTTACTTGCTGAGAATGTTCTAATATGAGTGCCAGATTGTATGATGGCGAATGGATTCGAAACATTATGGCTTTACCAGGCTTAGGACAGATCACCGAAACTCATTTCAGCTAATGTCATTTTACAAACGCCACATTTCAAATGGTAGTTGTAAAATGAAATTCGGTGAAATGAGTTTTGTGATCAGTACTAAGCTTGCTTTTACCTCCTAGAGCTACACTTCCTCGGCTTCGTTCCCACTCTAGCCGACCCCATCTTTACCCATTTTAAAATTACCTAACACAAAATCTTAACTGAAATCTAGTAAGGATCTCATTCTTGCATAGAAAACTATATTTTTTTCCAAAGAGTGATGATACGATTGGGATGACAATTTAAAACTTGCAGTTCAAATAAAACAATCATTGTTTTGTGGATGCAAGTGCTGACAAAATAAAACAGGAGTTAACCAATCAGATCGCTCAAAAGAGATTTTTGTGTTCGAGTGGCAGGGCCAGAACTGCAGACGGCAGTTTGTAATTCTGACGTACTTATTATCATATCTAGTAGAGCTTGGATTGTTTTTAATTTTAAATTGGGTAGAGGGGACGAAGCCACTTCCTGACTGGCTCCTCAAGTAGTTACTTAAGTACTTAGATAATAATAAAGGATCAATAACACTGTTTGTTTCTTATCTTGTAATCCCGTCGTGCTTTTGAAATAAACTGTTAGCACTACTGCTGGCGACTTAAAAAAATGTAAAAGTATTGCCTTCTTGTATGTTTCGTAAGTTGTAATTTGAGTTATTGTGAAGTTTGTGTTACTGTATAGTACCTTCATTTTTACAAATAAAAAATATTTATAAAATAGATTATTTAATTTATTTCATACCATGGGTCCTATTTTCAGACTGAGTAACAATGGAATAAGCTTTTGGTGTAAGTAAATGAAGAATTCTGTCTTAGTTATTTTAGCAGGCATATGCAAAAATAAATTGACATTATCTATTAAACACTGATGTTTGAAAGTGGACGTGAGTAGGTATAGTTAAAGAGTCATATAGAGTGAATGCTTTAGAGATGCGGTTCTTGAGAACATTCTCTGTAGAACCATTGCATTATTTATTTCTCGTAAAACGTATAATATGAAAAAACATTATTATTTTCTTGTATTCATAAAATCCGTTTAGAACACAGGACAAAAGACTTTATACTGCAAGCACGTGTATTTTGTTTCTAAAGAATCATAACACCCTAAACACAGGACATTTTTGTTTAGTTTTGCCTTTGCGATCTTATTGACCATAATACTGTGCCAAGTGTGGATACTATCTCGTTTAAAATATAACTGGTCGTAAGAAATAGGTATTTCGTAATAAACAATGTCGCAAAAAACAATGTTTTAGATAAGGCTATCATCTAGCATTCAGCTGGGACCTTTCTTCTATATGACAGGTATGTTGTCCTAACGTTGACGTTATAAAGGGTTACAACTGTGTATTTACTTTTACTTGACTCTGAAATTAAAGCCGCATTAAATTTTAGCTATTAAGTTTCTCCTATAAAGTAAGTAGGTATGGAACGATTAGAAAATTACCAATGTTTGCATAATTCAAAAAAAAATCAATAAAACCCTCTTTTCATCGTTTTCATTATTATTAAAAAACTAAACACGTTCATAACATTAATATCATTTTGATTAGGATATAATTATTTATCCTCATTCAACATCAACAAAATCGAAATTACATCAAAAATATTACATCATTTTGTTCATTTTTTTTGTCAACGGTACAATCGTCCCGGCGGACAGTGGACGGTCGACATTACGAATTTCCGCGCTAACGTAATGTAAATATTTGTTTTACGGTATCAGTTGATTGTTTTTTTATGCTAGATAGATAGGTAAGCACTTGACCACAGATCACCTGATGGTAAGCAATGAAGTGCTCTAAGATGGAACGTGCTTGCCTAGAAGGAACCGATTCACTCTTGACTTGAAGAGTCCCAGGTTGTATTTGTCCGGAAACAGCGTGTCCGGTAGCGAATTCCACAGCTTCGCAGTTCCCACGATGAATGTAGATATTGTTTAGAAACGAATAACTTGTGAAATGAATGCGTGAATATATGAATGATAATGTGAATCCGATATTTCAACATTCGTTGTTCGTCCTTTTACGTCCCCACTGCAGGGGCTCAGGCCTTCCTTGCATGGTTAAGGAGGATGCGCCATGACCCTCCACGCTGGCGCAATGCGGATTGGAGGGCATAAACGACTGCAAATACAGCCGGGACCAACGGCTTAACGTACCTTCCGAAGCACGGAGTAGCTCGAGATAATAATTTTTATAGAATCCCATCCCGTGCCGCGGAACGCGGGCCGCGGCTTTTATCCACTACGCCAACGAGCTACTGACTGACTGACTGAGTTTATGCATAAACGTATTTCTAACTAAATAATAAAGGTATTTTATAGCGAAGACAATGATGTGCGTAGTATGTAATTATAATTGCAATAAAATGCCCTAATAACAATTTATGTGAGCCAGTACGAGGGGTGTTCAAAAAGTAGTGAGAATGGCTATGTTAGAGAATGACTTTTTTTATTTATTTTTTTTATTTTTCCACGTAATCAAATCGCCCTTTAGGTCAATATATTTAGCAAATCATTTAAGTAATAATTTAAGTAATAAGTATGATTTAGCAAATCATTAAAGTAAACAAATATACCTTTTGTAGAATTCCCTATTGGTGATGTGATGAGATGAGAAATTACATGATAATCTATAAGAAAGTTGTGAATTATTAAAATTTTAGCGCATCTTTCCATGTTTTTTTGCTTAGATTTTTTGTAAATATCCGTTTTAGTCAAATGTAAATGTCGTCACTTAGAAATATGATTACGTAAATAATCTATTTTCGGATTTTATTTATTTGGGATTTACTTCTTTAACAATCTACCAATAAAGAACCCTTTTTTTACCAGGAAAAGAAGAAAGAAGATTGATGAAAATATCGGTGCGTTATTCGCTAATCAAGAGTTCATTGGTGGAATGCAATGAGTCATAAAAATGTAAAAATCAAGAAAACTCTAATAAATTGGATATGCGTAATTTTTTTCGTTTATTATACTTATTATATTTGATCAATTTTGTTTTCACAATGCTATACTGAAAAATATTCTTTTGGTGGATTTTTCAAGCATTTTTCATTAAGAATATTATTTATTATACTTGATTAAGTATACAAAGTTGCAAGTTAGTGTAAATTTTTTTTTTCTAGTTTTATGTAAGATTTTTTTTCAAAATTTTATTTTAATATTTATTCACTGATTCGAAAATTGATCATCAAACTCCAGGTACATATAATATCTTTTTCTTTTATGAATCAAAATTAAAAAAAGTCGATGTTAGTTGAAAATTAACACTAACAAACGCCAAAAAAAAGGTAGGTACTGATTTTACATATATTACTATAAGATAAGAAGAAGTTTATATTATTCCGCCAATATGTGAAAAAAAATACAAACAGATGTACAATACTTATAAAGTGTACCTTTTTTAATTTTACTCCCTATTAATAGTTAAGCACACATTGCCACAGATACATAAAACATTAATAAAGAACACTTATTTTGAAATGATGAACTTCAAGTGATGATTGTTTCCGACGCATTTGTCAGAGTATGAAAAAATAATTAGTACTTGTCCCAGGGCTGCTGCGAGCTGTGAAAGTGCAACCTTAAGCCTTAAACTTGGGCTCTTCGACCACGAACCCGTCCTGCGTACTTACTCCCAAAGGTAATCGTGTCCGTCGTACTCTAAATTAGATACACTAGCATCAGAGTATGCTAGTGAACCAATCGGAGCGGGGAGCGGCACAATTGCTATGTCGATCGATCGCGATTGCGTTCGAGAGTAAGGGGACTGAAAAGGACAGGTTTAACAGTAGTTTCATTAGCGAGGCCGGCGTACCTGGTTCGTGGCAAGGCGAACTTAAAGCCGTTGGTCCTGGCTGAATGTGCAGGCAGTAGTGGTGAAGTGTCTATTGTTTCGTTTTAGATATTTTCGTAGTAATAGTAACTGTAAAGACCTACATAGTCGGTATTTATGGTAAGTTTTACTTTTTCAAAACGTCCGGGTCCGATTCCCGAACCGAAAAATGTATGAATACGGTTTAAGTTTCAGACTTTTCCATACTGACCCGTCCTAACGGTATTATCGTCAGTATAGTAGAATCAATGTGAAAAACAAATTAACAACAATATTGTTTGGTTTTACCCCACAATTTATACTGCGTGGAGATTTAAATAGATATTGTATAACACATTGAATGCATAAATATTTATTTATATATGAAAATTACTGTTTAAATTCTCTTTGCTGTATGGCGTAGATTCCTTATCCAAATCATTATTAAAAAATACACTTGACATTAGTGTTCTGGAATAGAGATGGGCAAGTGAAAAAAATCGATACAACGTTTATAATTCTATTTACAATCTGTTTTGTTTTTATTGACGAAATAATTTTTTTAAACGATATGTATTTAATATTAACGTATGATTGGTCATATAAAAGGTCACATTATTATTACCATTATATTATTATTATCAAAAGAAAAATACGTATTTTAATTCATACAATGTATAAAAATCTATTTTTATAATATGTTTACCTATTAATCTACTTTTGTTATTTATAGCTGCTGAATAAACTTATTTTTTTTTTATCGAATATATTCACAATAATCCCTCCATATAAAAACCAAAAACCGTTAGTCCAAATAAAAACTATTTTGAGTAATATATTAACCCTATCATATGAAGTGTAAGAAGCTATAAGATTTTTTCAACTTTGTAAGACTTCCTGATTGCTTACCTGCTAACTAATACAAACAATCTCACTTGGGTTAAAAAAACGAATTTAATGCTTACTTGTAAAGGATAACCGAATATCGATAAAAATATCATCTACATATCGATTAGTTTTGTAAGTCTACAGCAGTCAACAGAGTCGAACGAAGCGTAAGCGAGAGGAAAGAAATTGATTTGGGGTTGGAAATCAAGTTTGTTTGTGATTTATCTATTTCTGTAGCCTATTTTTGAAAGAAAGCATATATTATGGACGATTTAAAAGTATGTAGGATATGTCTTCGGACTGATAAGTTTGCGAAATATTACAAATTGGAAGAGTTTTACTTGAAGTGTTATTATGAAGAGATTACTACCACTCCGGTCAGTATACTATCTGTAAAACCTGCATATTAATTATCTCGAAATTAAACTTGATTTGAAGGCTAAATACATGTACACATACTTTGTTTAATATTTATTCAATATGCATTATAAACAAAACCAATTGCATTATTAGTTTCTTCCGTTCGTGTTTTTTCAAGGACATATGAGAATTAAACTACTGTATTTTAATTTCATTATTATGAAGTTTTTGCCTATTTGTGTTTTAAAAGTTTCGGTAAAGTTTTCATATTGTTGTTTCTTAATGTGCAATATGAATGATTATATTGATTAATATTTAGCTGAATCAGTGGCTTTTTGTTTGCAGTTATTCCAGGTAAACACTATTAGAATTTTATTTTATATTTTACTAAAACTTTACTTTTACTTTTTCCAATATCTTAAAAGTTTTCCAATATCCTAAAAAGTCTGAGTGGATGGTTAATCATGCATGTTAATCTCAAAAAGATCTCTAGTTTTTGATAATGTATAATACAAAGATATCTAAACTAAATTCAAATAATAACTATGTTCCAACTTATTTTGATCCAAGAAATATTTATTTATGATCACTATATCTGTGTGATATATCTGTCCCAAGATCTATGTACAATACTTTGTATATAGATCTTGGGATGCAGAGATTGTGAGATGTGGTTCATTTAAAAACTGAAAAAAAACCTTTCTTGTCTAGTAAAGTATGCACATAGGAGAAAAATATCCTATGTTGTGTTGTAATATTATTGTATAGGTATTTAAGCATATACATTGGCTAATAATATCTAAAGTCTTATATTAACTTGAAAGTTTTTGAGTGTGATGTTACAAAAAAAGGACCTTCTGCTGGTTTAAAATGTACTTACCTCTATTTGTTTATCTTCCGTAATCATAAAGCACAATAAGATATTATTCAATTCAATTAATGCAATTCAAACAAAAAAGTCATATGTAAATAAAAAAAATATAATTGTACATTTTTAAAGACCATACTATGTATTTACTTTTGTAATCATAGTTATTACAACACTGAAAATGTAGCTTAACAGTATTAAAACTACATTAATTGTAGTCTTTGAATGATAGTAATATATTAAAAGAGTTAAAGTAGTAAAAATGTACATAAGTCATGAAGTCCAACAAAAATAAATTTATATCTAATTAATTGGGATGACAACACAGTAAAAAAAGAAATTTTATTTAGTCCATCGGTCAGTTGATAGAAAAATAGTTTACATGTATTCTTATTATTCAATTTTAACAAGAAATGACTTAGTTAATAAGCATTGAAGTTGAGGAGTGGGAGCTTGCTATGTCACAGTTTTTTAGAAAATATACAAATGTGACGTCATGTTAATGTCACTCAACTCAATGTATTGCCCTAATTAATTGATTATGCAAAATTAAAAAAACAATGTATTTATTATTCTTCAATAATCTGCTTCATGGACAAAGAAACAAAAATTCTTTGTTTCTTTCTGCTTATCAAATTCTTACAACTATTTGTTTGAACTCTTACATCCCTGGGCATGTAGATGTACTATTAAAACAGGGCGACAACTAAGATCCATATGTTTAATTTTTTTTTAGGTCAATGATAATGATGGTCTTCCAAAATACTTCTGTTATCAGTGTTCGGCAATACTCAATAAGTACCATTATTTCAAAGAGAAATGCTGTTTTGCACAGAAGACACTTATACAGATGACAAGAGTCGCTCCAGTAAGTATATAGTTTACTAGCTGTTTTCCCACTACTTTGCTTATGTCACCTGCATATAGAGTAGCTTCCTGTAGGTGAAAGAATTTTTAGAAATTAAACTTGGTCTAGTAGTTTAGGAGCCTATTCAATGCAAACAAACAAACATATAATTGATATAGAATAGATTATATGGTACTCTTCTAATCTATGTACAGTATACCATACTTGGATAGGAAGCTTTATTTCTTAATAAGGATTTTTAAAAATATAAAAATATTTTTTTTATAAGTAATAAATATCAAATTAAATCAAAACTATTCATATCTTCTTGATTTAATAATAACTTCCCTTCTACTGTTGACAAATAAATCCATGTTTTTTTTATTATCATAATCTGATTTATTTATCATAAAAAAATTGTACTCCTATGGCTAAGCCCAAAGTGTTGCTGCAATGGAAGTTTGGTAGCATAGATGTTGATAAACTTCATGCTGATGCCCAGAGGGTCGATTGGTCAGTAATTAAAGATTCTTCTCCTGAAAATAGCCAAGTTAAAACTATTCAATGACCTCCTGACTGAACTTTTTGATGTACATGCATATGTTGGACTTATGAAGCTTAAGCATCAGTTGGCTAACTGATGACATCAAGTCACTTACGCACAGAAAAAATTGAGTCAAAACCAAATAAATTGACATCAACCATAATCATCAAAAATATAATTTTATAAGAAATAGCTGCAATGCAGTGTGTAGAGTTGCACAGACTCCATATTCATAAATCTTTAGAATACTGTGATCCAGTTAAGATCTTGAAACTTTCGTCATAATTTATATAGACTATTCTCTTTTGTGTTTAGGTACTCAGTTTGCCAATTGTGGTGTTGAAAGGAACATACGAGTTGTCGCTTCTTCTGCGGGTAATGTCTGTATCAGCCGCAACATGATTCTCCATTTACTCGTCATCGTCACTCAAGTTATTACGTCTATCTTGAAAAAAATCCCTCTTCCAGATTTTTTCCTGATACCATTTCACCGCTATTTTCCATTTTTTCCAAGGTTTTGGAACGTTTGGTCCATCGACAGGTGAATGATTTTCTCCACCGCGACAATCCGCTGCTTCTCGCGACCGCGGATGTCGACAAGGTCATTACAGCACAAGTGAAAATTTCTGACGATATTTAAAATTTTAAACTTTAAAACGTCGGGAAATATGTGTAGGTGAAAATACCTAACTATCGCGTTAATACCCGTCTTATACAATCTAATATTCTGACAATATTCACGCGGAAATTGAAAATCGTAACTAACAGTCTTTATATTACTGGGTTTTGATATTTTGTTGGGTCTCATTGTTTCTCAAAACGTATATACAATGACGGGTTTCGTAGTTATCTGCGTGGACACCGGGAACGCATACACTTAGATGATTCACTTTCGTCATGGTTTTTAGTGTCTGCCGGCGTGCCCCAAGGTGGTGTCCTATCTTCCTAACGTTTTTGCTATTTTCATCAATTTTGCGTACCACCTGAACGCATAAGATTTATATAAATTTATGCCATGAAATATCTGGAACATATTAACGATGCGATTGATCGGTTTACACGGATTTAGGTAGCATTTCTGCAGGCAGTAATCCGTAGACTTATTACAGGGAGTAACTATTCCGGTCTTGAAATAAATCCTAGCAAGACTAAAACCATCGTTATAGGCAGTACCAATACAGTAACTTTGTGTATAAAATGAAGCAGATTCAGTTGTAGCCAGTTATTTTCGACGGTACTCCATTTCCATATGCTCATTATTACGGACGGCGGCCACAAAATCACCTCCCCGCGACCTCATCCCTGCAACGAGTGGAGGAAGCACGTCACGGGCGGCAGCAACGGGAGCACCCCCCGCAACCTCGCCACTGCATGGAGTGGAAGGGGCAACACCAGAACATAGAAGTGTTAGGCTAATTACCGCGTTAAAATAGTAGCTAGGTGCGATCGACAAAATCCCACCTAAGTAAGTCGGAACCGTGTGTAAGCATGCTTGCGAACGTGTTCGTACATTGTACTACAAATAACAACTTTGTAATGAGAAGAAATAATAAACACCTCATCCCACCGAACTGTGTTTTGATCCCCAACACTCATCAAGTACATAATCTGGGAGTTCTGTTCGATGAAACCCTCTCTTGGCGTCCTCAGTTGCTAAGGTCGGTAATAAGATATTTGTGGCTGCCGGGTTCCTCAGGCGATTGCGTAACTTTTTACCTAATGTGTTAAGATGTCTATCGCGCAGTGTCTCCTCTTGTCAATACTTGATTACGTTGATGTCTGCTATCCAGACCTTACTTATGAGGAGTTGCTCAATAAACTGAAGCGACTCCAAAATCCCGCTATCATTTTCATTTTCAGATCTAGGAAATATGGCCATTCAGTTTCGACTAGGCTCAAGTGGCTTCTTATTAGACTACGTTGAGATATGTATATTCTTTCCATTCTTTTCTCTGTGTTGTAACGTTTCAGGTTTTTATTATCCATTCACGATCTTCCTTTTCGTTCTTCAGATATTTTTTGCCTTTCTGTTATTCGGGACTTTAATAAATTCTACAGTAAATTCCTCACTTTAATAAGGCGAGTACAATCTTTGGGCTCGTTGAAAACTAAAGTGACGGCATTTTTTCTATCCGATGTATTATTATTACAAGTATTTTGCTATTTTAAGAATATTAATAATGTTTATACCGCTTGCACTAATGCATACCGATTAACCGCCCTCATCATGGTCAGTTTGGCATGATGTCGAAAGAATTTCTGCGAGTGGGTTACGGAATGCCCGGCAATATCCTTAAAAAAATAAATTAGTTTTTGCTCCAGTTTCGAAAGATCAGTTAAAACTGAACATTAATGTTGAGTTATAATCTAATTTCAGTATAGTGTGAGATATTTAGTGGTTGAGTTCTTGGACTTTACATTGTTTGCAATATTTACTTAATTTACATTATACGAATATTTAATTTAGGTTTCCATCTCAAAATTTAATATCGTAAATCCGTTAATATGTTTATTTACAGCTTACCTATAGTAAAATATGCAATATGTATTCAAGAAAGAATCCAATTATAAAACGTGGTAACATAGAAATTTTAAAAGCAGACAAAAAAGTGAAAACTTACAATTTTCAAGAAGAAAGACAAAGGTTATCCAAAATAAAAACGAAAGTAATAAAAAAAGATAGCGACAGTGATAATTTTGAAAGCAATGATGATTTTTATGCTGATAGTAATAATAGTTCAGATGATGATGTGCCAATCAATGAACTCTCGTTAGGATTAAAAAAAGCTGAGAGTTCAGCAAAGCTTATATTTGAAGAATACACAAGCGACAAACTAGAAGAGCCAATTGTATCTGAACCAGTGAAAGAAGAAGAAGAAGAGAACAAAGAAAAGCCTAAAATACTACAGAATCTTCTATCAAAGCCGTCTAAAAACAAAAAGAGTACATCTGATAAGAAAAAGGCAACAAAAGCTGTTCATGAGCCAGAGACCAGCAAATATAAGTTTACAAAATCGAAGGATGGTAAGTTGAAAGCTCTCCAGTTTCTCGATTCAGGTTTTTGGAGGAAACTTACGCTTAATGAGGATGAAGCTTTGAAGGAATTTCAAGCTAAAGCACAGAATGAGAAGTATTTGCGTGCACCACATAAATGTACCGATTGTCACAAGGCATTCTCACAGAAAAATATGTTGGACAGACATCTACTAAGAAAACATGGAGAGGTAAATAACACTGTATAAATTTAATTAATAGTAATAAATTTTCTAAGATACTAGGACCTCCATCAACTCGCCTCTTTTTGATCTCCAACAAGGCTAATATAGAGAATAAACGGCTTATCATATCTGATTGGATTATATCTGGATTATTGTTTAGTAATTTTGATAACTACAACTTGTAGTATGTTTATCATCAACTTATAATGGTCCCGCTGCTAAAGTACGGGACTTCCTTATGGATGGAATCGAATGAAGAAAATAGTGCATATCATATCCCTCAGGGTTCAGAGTGATAATTATCATTGATAATTATCTATCTATTAATCAAAGTACCCTTTATACTTTTTTAAATAGTTCAATGTGATTTCACAGTTATTTTTTGTCTAACTATTATAGGTAATTTGAAACAATGAAAATAAATTTATTCAATTATGATTGTCTTTACGTTTTTAAAAAATTGTTGCCAGTAACTATGGATAATTATCGGATAACTATCTGATAATTATTAAATAAAGAAAAAAATATTTTGATAATTACGATCCTTCCAAAGAGCCCAGTGCGGATTGGCGGGCGTTAATAAATGCAGATGCGGTCGGGACCAATGGCTTAGCATACCTTTCGGAGCACGTAGGGGCTTGAAATCATTTGCAAATCCTTCAATTATCAAGCTATTCAGTAGATTTTTTAAAAATGTAATTGCTAACTGTTTTTACAGGCGGTGGGTTCGCTAGTTTGCCGATTCTGCAAGGAGCGCTTCAGGCGGGCTTGTTTCCTCAGCAAGCATATGAAACAGCATCTTACTAAATATGAATGTCTGCGGTGCAACCTAGTGTGTAATGTCGAGTTAGTATGTTTTGTTTATCTGGATGTATTGTTATTCTTAATGAACTATCATTATCATCATCACATCAGCGTTAGACGCCCGCTGTTGGGCATAGGCCTCCCCCATGGGTCTCCGTGACGATCGGTTCTGCGCTGCCCGCATCTAGCGGTTTCACGCGACCTTTAAAAAAGTTACGGTCCGTCTGGTTGGAGATCAACCCACTGAGCGTCGACGGTAGGTAGTCGGCATTCCGGAATCTTTACACACCAACGGCAGTTCTTTTCACTGTGTCCCGCCCACTGCCATTTCAGTTGAACAATCCTTTATGTGCTATTAGGTTGGTTTCCTACGGATATCTACCTTTCTTATTCGATCTCGTAATTAAACATCAAGCATTGCTCTCTCCATTGCCCGTTGGGTGAGTTTGAGCCTACTTATGAGCCAACGACCACGTTTCAATTCCGTAGGTTATCACTGGCAACACACACTGTTTGCAGACTTTTGTTTTGAGGCACTGTGGTAGATCTGACGTGAAGATTTTTCGTAGCTTCCCAAACTCTGCTTATTCGAGCTTGAGTCGACGAGAGACCTCTTTCTCGAAGTTGGACTTACTTAGCTGGACTGTCTGTTTATGGTATCCGTTTAATGGTCGGTATCTTCTATTGTAGTATTCCCTATTTTAACTGATGTGGGCACAACATGGGCATTTGGGATGATTTTTCTTTGACTCACTCTTTGGGAAACTGATTATTTCGAGCATGGCGTTCAGGTCTTCCAAGATTTTAGCCATTAGGACTGTATGGCACAGCAAAGGTGTAAACATAGTAGTATGATCTGATGTATGCGAGTGAATTGCACATTCCGCCACTAGTTCGAAGTGAATACACAGAGAACAAATGTTTCATATTGTGGCGACCGCGCCGCGCCAGTCGCGAGCTCGACTGCTACATTCATCGCTGCTGCATTCATGTTTGTACACAAACATGTGCATATATTACTATATGTTTGACATTTCGAGATTCCCGAGTTTGCGAGTAAACGTAAAATAGTATTTTAAAACAATTTTCATTGATTTATTCTATATATTTTTTTCAGAACAACTGCGTTGTTTCATGAAGAGTATCATAGTGGAGTCATTAGGAAATGTCCACACTGTGACAAAGAATTCAAGTAAGTTCAATGAATTAAATATATTCTTTTGTAAAGTCACAAAAGTAGTCTTTACCGTTAAGTGTAAAATACAATGCAGTTGTTGTTTGTCTCACTCATATCTTATAAAACACAAAATTTTGTAGTAAGGATGCCCTTCATTTTTTATCGAGTTGATTATTTTGAAACAGGTGTAGAGGTCTACGCATTGTGTGATAATATGTAATGTATTGATATATGAATTTCAACGTTTGCAAATGGCTATTTTCAATATTTTTTTATTTACTTGACTTTGCTATTGAAAATTTCATAAGTCCTAATTGTCAGACCCATTTATTTAATTAAACGTTTGTGAAGAATAATAGTCGAATAACTTGGTGACCAAATGAATTTGTAGATTCTTAAAAGTTCGTTATAATTTTAAAATTATTGGGTATTAAGCGTCTATTGTAATTTTTTTTATGGAATTTACAGTTTTTTATTTACAGTAACTAATATGGTTCACCATCTCATCAATGTACTTGTGTTTTTCAAATCACAATGATTCACGTAGCGCGCCATCGGGGAATCCCTTGGAGTATGGAATGAAATCGTTAACATATATTATTTTATAAATCCTACATTCGATCATGATCAGAATTGTTAGAACTAGTTTGCACAAAAGGAGATTCAAGATACATCATATTTATTCGGTTTTACTGTATTGACATCATAGAAGTATTATAAATAGAGGTGACAAGTGTACACCTGTGCCTCTATTGTCGACAATTGATATCATTATAATGTTGTCTCCAGACATCTGTCAACGTTTTACACTCACCTGCGTACACATCGCAGCAAGCATATGTGTTCACTCTGCGGCGAGTCATTCGTCAGTCCGTTAGGTTTACGTCAGCATAAGAGATTGAAGCACGTCATTGCACCGGTACGTACTTTTTCACTCTGTGGTATGCCACTTAGGCTCTGCGTAAACGGACCACTGACTACTGCCAGTGTCAGGAGGGCACCGAATTTATCATTATACAATACCTACTTACTTACTTTTTATAAACATTATAACCTCCTCCTCCGTGCTGTATAATACTGCAAATTTAAAGTAACGTGATCGTCCGTAAGTTGTGTTCGAAGGCCGCTTCATTTTATAACCCGCTCTCACCTGCGCAGTCTTACGATGGCCTAACAGCCGGTTTCTAATAGAAAAGTATAGGGTAGGCTGGGTACGGTTGTAACAATTTTTCTTTAATTGTCCACAGCACAGCTATTACAACTGGAAACAATCTCCAAAGTTTTTGAAATTAAAGCATATTTATTTGTCTTTAAATTAATATCAAAACCAATAGCTTAGGTAAGATAGTTTAGCAGGAATAAGTTGTTTTAAAGAGTGTGTGCGATTGTTACAATCGACCCCACACCAGCGGCGGTTGTAATACCTATGGGGGCAGTTGTAACGCCAAAATATAATATATAAATCCCACGTAATAAATTAGTTTTATTCATAAAAAATAACAAAATGCACTAAATACAAAATAACAACATTTAAATATTTTAATAGTCTTTTTAAATAATAATAATTAATCAAAGTGAGTTAACAATATCTGAGGTTATACAATAGTTTTTTTCTGTATTAAATCAAACTCATCGCGATTAAGCCATATATAAAATCTACTCCCATAAGTACAAGCTACTTGAGACCATTGTTTGCAGCCTCCTTCACACTGAATCCAATTCTCTCCAGACCGAGTAGCAGGATACGTCTCTAGGCAAAGACGACAATAATACCGCTCTTGGTATTCGTTAAAAACTCTATAATAAGCTACATATCCCATGCTAACATATGCAACCTATTCTTGGTTATCTTAATTAACTACATACGGTTTTCGCTTGTATCTCAAAAGAGATACATAGTTAACGCCTTACTTCTCTGCAGCTTGCTTTAAATAAGCCCCTAATTTAACTTCATCGTAAGAGTTCTTGTACGAAAAATGTCACTTCCACCTCTCGAAGTCTTTCTTATGCATTTCCTAGGCATCCAAAATACAAAAATATTATAAAATTAATGTTACAACCGTCCCCATGAAAATCGTTACAACCGTCCCCGCCCTCCCATTTTGATAATAAGTCTATCAAAAGGATGAGGTAGCATAACTTATACAAAAACAAATGAGCTTTTTATAATCTTAAAAATACGAAGATTATATAAGCACATTTCGAAATACGATAATTATATTAATATTTAAGATATATCATAAAGAAATACCACAGAAATACTTACTATTGGTTGACAAAACACAAGGGGCCTCCTTGTAAGAGTTATTACCACGCGAAAGGTGACTCTACATAGGCGATCGTGTCGAGACTTGTTACCCGCGTGCCCTTCCCTTTTTGCCCCTCACCTACCATTCATAGTTTCGATGATATTCGAGTTGTTACAACCGTACCCAGGCTACCCTAAAATCCCAACTGATTACTCATTAACTTAAGTTTTTAC